GGAGAAGTTGTATTCATGTGTTAATAATTTATAAACACACAAATATACCGAAAAACCCAAATATTAATGATGTATCTTTTCATGCTTGAAAAGATACATCAATATTATACATTCATTAGCGACTCACCCTCGCTTCGCTCAGGTTCGTCCCTAGGTACGTTTTATTTTTTTTGAGCGGAAACCTAATTATATTTCTAAAATAAAAGTAGCCTATGTTACTCTCTATAATACCAGCTATCTTCCAGTGAAAGTCCCGTCAAAATCAATCCAGCCGTTTCAAAGATTATCCAGAACAAACAGACACACAGAGAGACAAAAATTTTAAAAATTGTGTTTTTCTTATAAGTACTGTATATAATTTCATATGCATATGTCAAAGTAAAACGCTGTAACTTTGACATTACAAAGAGACACTTCAATATTATTTATCTGTATAGATGTATAGATAATCATCTAATCAATCGTTGGGATTGTCTAGTGAAGCGGGTTCTTACAGGGGTCTCTGGAATTTTCATGTGTGAATAATTTTCAACATTTTTACCTCTAATTGGGTGAAAGAAGACACATTGAGTATGTTTGAGGGAACCTAACTAGTTTTAGAACGATTCTTCTAGAGTTGTGTCCAGAAACGGAACATCCGAAGAGCCAAATTTTAAATTATTACTAGATTATATCTATAAATAAATATCCTTTCAAAATTAGTAAAAGCTTGTACTTAATATGTTTAAAGTTTTGCTCGCTTACAATTACTTAAAAGATTCGTGTTTTAAATGGTAAAAAATCTTTTATATAATAATAGCTAGAATCACAATTTGCACTACATACATTAGCGTTATGACTCGTAATTTACGAGTCATGACGCTAATGACACACGCTTGTGACTCTTTGGACAAGATTTATTTGAGAAGAAATATGTTGTGTATAAAATGGTCATAAAATATTTTGTTGCTTCTATAAAAATGAACTATTGTAAATGTTAAAATTGATATTTTTGTTATTTCTTCACGATGAATTAGTTGGTGTGATTTGTATGAAATGTAATACGCAGATAGACAGTTTTTTAACGTTGGGAAATGTACCAGCAAAGCCAGTACTACCCACTAAAACCCAACGGAACCTCTCCCATCTCAATAGGGCGTCGCAGGATCGCTCACGCACTCAACCACGATACTCCGACGGCAGATCGGCCGAAGCAGACCACAACAACAATGGGGTTGCTCCACAGTCCACACTGCCATCAGAGAAGTACCAGGAGCAACCCGTATAGCACACCATCCACCGAAGTGGGCCACCTCCCAGTGCGTTTTTTGACTTCGCGCCCGGCTGAACTGCATGACGTTAATGAGCCCCCCTTCCCCACCACGACACGTTTGGGGAGAGATGACCTTTTTTTTTAACGTTGGGAAATGCATTTACGCACGACGTGTGGGACTCACCGGCGTAATACTGCCAGTACTACCCACTAAAACCCAACAAAACCTTCCCCCGTCTTAATGGGGCGTCGCAGGATCGCTTACGCATTCAACTACGACGCCCCGACGGCAGGTCTGCCGAAGCAGACCATCACAACCATGGGGTTGCTCCAAGGTCCACTCTGCTATCAGAGAAGTACCAGGAGCAACCCGCATGGTACACCGCCCCCCGAAGAGAGCAACCTCCCTGTGCGTTTCTTAGATTCGCGCCCGGTTGGGTTGCCGGGCACTACTGAGCCCCCCCCCCCCCACCACGACAAGGTGAACGCACGTTGGGGGGGGGGGGAGAGATGACCTTTTTTTTTTTAACGTTGGGAAATGCATTTACGCACGAAGTGTGGGACTCACCGGCGAAGCCAGTACTACCCACTAAAACCCAACAAAACCTTCCCCCGTCTTAATGGGGCGTCGCAGGATCGCTTACGCATTCAACTACGACGCCCCGACGGCAGGTCTGTCGAAGCAGACCACAACAACCATGGGGTTGCTCCACGGTCCACTCTGCTATCAGAGAAGTACCAGGAGTAACCCGCATGGTATACCACCCTCCGAAGAAGGCGGCCTCCCACCGCCCACCGAAGCGGGCCACCTGGAGGAGAGATGACCTAGCGTAACACATGCATGTATCACAGATACATTTAGGCACCCTGGGACTCCTATTATATATGCTAAAGTTTGTATGTATGTGTATATGTTTGTTACTCCTTCATGTTGAAACCGGTTGGCCGATTTCGATGAAATTTACTACACAGATAGAACATGACCTGAGTAATAAAAGCTTCGATTAGGCATAATACTTTCTTAGATTTACGCGAATGTTTGACATTATTAAATAAAACTATCTTTTCGGATTATTTCGCGGATTTATTTTGATTTTTGGTTCCAAGTTTACAAGCTTGATTGTGATTGTGGGCTCTCTTACATTGGACAAACAAAGCGATCCATTAGAACCCGGGTCAAAGAACACATAGCTGATGTGAAGCACCGTCGCAATACAACATCTGCTGTCTGTAAACATAGCCAGGACCGCCCAAGCCATTATATTCGTTTCGATAGACCTCAAATCCTGGCGAAAGAAAACCGATATCGCCCTAGAATGATTCGAGAAGCCATAGAAATTAAAAACATCCAAATTTCAATAGGGAAGATGGCTGGGTACTACCATCGTCATGGGATCCTGTTATTAATATAATAAAATCAAATAATAAATATAAACAAAACAGACAGGCAGATGTAGTAAGTTCATACTGTGTAGATCAAAATGACAGCTTATCAGATTAATATTTTTCATTTTTCATTTGTAAAAGTATATATTAATAGTGTTGCTTAGTAAGTTGTTTTTAAATAATAGCAAACTAAATTAAAATTACTATCCTTAATTAATTTTAACTTTTTTTAAATTACACATAGAACAATTATATGGCTTAAATAATTAATACTATATTTTATATTTTTCTTTATGGTTATAAATATAATAATGGCAACACTAAATATAGATTACTAATTAATATTTTAAAATTGTAATAATTATAAAAATAATAGCAAAAATTAAATAAATAATTTTCCATATTCAATTATAATTAAAATTATAAAAATGTTTTAAAGTTAGAAATATTGTAATGTAATTGGTGCATTTTTCATTTTCTTAATTGTGGGTAGGCTGTCTGTAACAACTATACATTCAAGACATGTAACACCTCAGTCTCTCCCGTGACCATGGATGCTGTAAAGCATTCGAAACGTCGGGAACCAAAAATCAAAATAAATCCGCGAAATAATCCGAAAAGATAGTTTTATTTAACTTCGATTAGGCTCTTAGGCATGGGAGTGAAATGAGGGCAATTCGCTAGTAGTTAAATAAAACGTGATAAATATATTCATTTTTTTTATATGTTGAGACATTCACACAACACCATCTAGTTCCATAGTAAGCTACGAAGCTTGTGTTATGGATACCAGATAGTTCATAAATTACACATATATAACATTAAATACATACATATTATAAATATAAACACCCATGACTGGAGTACAAACATTCGTGCTCATCACACAAATGAATGCCCCCAGCGGGACTTGAACCCGCGACCGCCGGCACAGTAAGTAGGGTCACTACAAACTGAGCTAAACGTGTCTTCAATTGCAATATAATTTTTTTCTTACTTTAGAAATAAAACTACAAATGTTTCCAGCCGTACAGCACCAGACCATCATTCATTCGCTATCGTGAATACAATTTATCACAGTGACGGGAAACGAACAATAAAGAGAAATATAGGGAAAAAACCAATAAGAATTTAAGAGTAAGCAGTTAACTAAACCCATTTACTCGTAGTGCAACGACCTAAACATGAGTTGAGACCATCCACATTTACCTGATTAAAAGTAGTTTCTGTACCTTTTAATTCTATTTATTACAGAACTCAGAATCTAAAAAAAAGTAATACACACACTTTTTTGATGTTCTTCTAATACTGTTCATTTTTACAAAAAAAGTATAATTGACAATTCCATATTTAAAATATTAAGTACCTGGGCTACCGAGCTTTGCTTGGAGTTTTTAGCCGAAAGTACAATTTTCTTTTTCTTTTTTAGACTAAATACTTGAATAAATATTTAAAAAAAAAACAAAAGTCAAAACTTTGTATGCGACTGAGATTCAAACCTGTACACCTGTGATTGTTGATCTTGCACCTTGGCCGCTTGACCACGATACTTATGCCCGAGCGTGCAAATTACCGACCATATTTTGCGTGGAATAATGCAAAATAAAACTGTATGAAAACTCGAAAACACGCGTTTTCTCAAACATAAGAATAATCTAGATCGAATTATCGCCCCCGAAACCTCCTGTATACTAAACTTCATGAAAATCGTTGGAGCCGTTTCCGAGATTCAGATTATATATATACAAGAATTGCTCGTTTATAGATATAAGATATAATTAATACTACATTTAATTACATATTATTACATTTACTTTAAAAAAAATATTTACATTCCTTAACATAATATAAAGACTGTTTTAGTATTTATCATTTACATAAAACATTGCGTTTCAGAAACTTGGCTTATTATACTAATACGTATTATAAACGTGAGATGTATGGTTCTTCTTAAAACTAAAACTGCTGGACGGATTTGGTATTTTAGTACAGATTTCATCGTCTTATATTCTTTCATTTGGAGTAACATAAAATACTGTCAGTAGTAAAATTTCTCATAAGTTGCGGCTAATTAATTTTATAAATACAAAAGGCACCTGAGAGAGTGACCCGAGCGAAACGAGTTGAGTTTTGGTTAGTTAGTGGTTTAATAAATTTAGATTCACAGGGGATGTAATGATAAGATACATAAAAACGAGATTATTGATTAGAATAGTACAAAAATATTTTATTTTTAATTATACTTACAATTAAACAAAAAAACGTACAACATATTATAATATTTTAAGTCGAATTAAAACAAAAGCATGAACTACATAAAATTATAAAAACACGTAGAATAAAAATGTTTTATTATTCACAGTGCACCAAAACTACATCGGCGTCGACGGTGCAAGGGAACCATACCTTCTCAGCGTGGTACAAGAGGGCGCCGGCCTTTTACGAGCAATACTTTTCAATAAAATGGTAAAGAACTTTCATTTTATGTAGTACCTACTTTATTTTCATAAGAAATCTATTCTTATTTTCCCTTGTATTGTACTTGTTTGTTTTGTAAATGTTAAAAAACAAAAAGACCACTCTTTATATAATGAAAACGTCTTCAATCTTCTATCGAACACATAATATCTATTGAATTGTTAAATATATATGAGTACATAGGTTTTGTATGTACATACTATATTATTCGATCTCATGGTTCATTAATAGATTTTGTAATGTATGTATATAAAAACATGACTAATATATCATAATTACTATAAATAAATCTTCTCATCACTGACCTTTTTATGTCATTATAACGTTATAAATGCCTACATAAATTGCTTAAAGACCTGTTAAAAATATAGACCTGTTTAAAAATATAAACTTATTAATATTACCAGCCTATTCTTGGAAAATACTAAAAAAAGTTTATCTATAAAAATAATAAAATAGTAGTTTAAAAATGAATACTGAATGAAATATAGGTACTTTTTACATACTTTTTAATTTAAATTGATTTTAGGAAAAATTTCTGTTAGATATCTTTTCTCTCGTCTTCTCTCGAGTCTGTTATTTGAGTAATACGGCGCGTTTAAAGAGTGTAAAACATTGTATTATTTATTATATTGTACTGAAATATCTACATATTTAAAAAGGAATAATAGTAATATGACAATCAATGTATAAAACTATAATATAGACATTTATCATGGATTTGTTGATATATATATATATATATAAACCTACTAATATAATATAAAAAATCTATGAGCACGTCGGTATCGAGAATTCGCCAATGTATTGATGTAGAATGTATTGACTCAACAAACATACCTGAAACCAAATAGGAATTGCTGAATTTGTAGCGGTTTGTATTTACCGAGTCAGTTGAAAGGAAATAATTCATTTTACTTTCTAGAAGATTTTTTAGGATACACGTTTTTTTCGTATCCATAAAAGGACATGACAAAATCATAAGTGTTTTGTGTACAATTTTTGACATTTGACAGCAAAAGCTTAAAAGCATACGCGTCCAATAAACAACCGTCTTTGTTTCGACGCCAGTTAAAGTAATTAATTAAGCCATACTTAACTGCCTCGGTTGTGTAGTGGCTAGCATGTACGGCTGCACACTCGGAGGTCCTGGGTTCGAGTCCCGGGTCGGGCTAAGTTTAGTTATTGGGTGTTTCTGTATAGTAATTCTCAGTAACAGCCCGGAGTTGGGAAGTTGGCGGTGTGTCAACCCCGTGCCTCGGAAAGCACGTAAAGCCGTCGGTCCTGCGCCTTAACTCTCACTGGTCGTTTCGAGCAGTCGTCCCACCGGAGTATGAGAGTGACAGGAATAAAGAGTGCACTTGTGTCTGCGCGTACACTTGAGCACTATAATATCTCCTGCGCAATTGGCTAATCTCAATGAGATTGGCCACCGTAGCCGGAATCGGCCAGGAGAACATCATCATCATCAATGAAATTTAATATCCATCAATATTTCAATCCACATTTCTTGATTTTTTTTACCAACAATAATAATAATATTATTTTACTGTATACGTTGCTAATCTTTACACCAGGGACTTCAATGTTATTTTTAAATTCGATCGAGTATGAGTAGGAATCTTTTAGATGATAGTTAAAATTTTGTTTTTGATCAGTTATTTGTCCTTTGTCTTTTGAATTAAGTTTGTTTATTCTAAAAATATAGTTTTTAATTGCAAAGTTTAAAGATATCTACTCTACTTAGTAAATGAAAAGTTAGAGTTCACATTAACTTCTTTGGGATATGTAGTAAATTTTAATTATTTATTATATGTACTTAACCTAGGGTGCGCATAAAATTTACCTCCCAGCGAGTGCGTGGAGCGGCGGAGGAGGACAAGCGCCCACAAGACCTACCCTCAAGCAGATACTAGCTCAGTTCACTGCCATTGAAAGGATCGACAAAATGCCTAGAGAAGTAAGGGTGAAATTATTTAAACATTTTTTTAACCGTAACTAACAGTTTTTTTTTAAGTAATAATAATTATGTTTAAATACTTAGAGAGAGTTTATCTTATTAAATTCATGCAATATTGACATCTTAATCCATCTAGTACTTGTGTCCAAATCGCTGGTTCTCAATACCAATTTCATTTTTACTCAGCAGGCCGAACCAATCATCTGTAGAGTCAATTGAAATATTCTTTTCATAAAGAAATATGAAATAAGAAACGAAAATAAAATATCGCGTTCAAACCACGTTCATTTACCAATTCGTATTTTGTAAACACTTATGTATAATCTCTGTGTAACACAAAAATCACGTAGCTATCAATGTAGCGGTGTATAAAAGAAACCAATATCGTGTGGCGACGCGTTTTCTAAACAAAAATGTATTTTACAATTCATTCGCAGCACTTGTACACTTACTTGTAAATTGTGTTCATACTCAATTTGAATGCCACTTCAATACGTATTTAGCAAAATGCATACATATTAGCAAAATGAGATACTTAAAACAAAAAGATGCTTATATAAGTTTTAGGTTTTGTGTAGCATGAATGAATGAATACAAAGAAAGGAAATTTTAAAATTCAGAAGAAGGTGCAAGAGGCGGCCTAATCTTTAAAAGAGCGATTTCTTCCAGGCAACCTTTAGGTGTAGGTAAAAGTACTAAGATAGAAGAGGCGCGAATAACAAATAAAGAGACAGTAGAAAGAGTATATATTTATACATATACGTATCATGCAAATATATAATATATACAAAATAAATACAAGTAAAATATAACTAACCAATACCTAAATACTATAACTACATACATAAATACTATACCTATATTATACATATATAAATATAAAATATAAAAAGGCAAGTTTAGCAAGAATTATACTAAAGTTCATAAAGATACTCGTAACAATATACAATATACGAGTACATACTAATAACAATACAATCAATAAAGAATCTTCTTTCAAAGTGTATGAAAGTGGTCCTTTAAACGACCGACGTAGTAATATTTCGGTAAAACGAAACTTAAAGAATAACACATAACAGGCAACGAGTCTGACACGACTGAATACTGCTTATCTGTAAGAGAAAATTTATATGCACCGTATTAGATCTTTGTCAAGATTAGATTGAAATGGAATAAATATATGGATGGTAATAGTAAAAGAGGGTTAAGAAATGAGAAATAAGTAAGTTCCTCGATTTTCTCATCAGAAATCAATTAGAAAAAATATGCATTGATGACTAATGAAATATATATCAGCAAAAAATGCACTATACCCAGCTATGTGTTATAAACTATTGATAGTAATAATGGCGTAGAGGTAAATGGATTGCTCGGATAGTGGAAACAATCGATATTATAGTTATGCCAAGAATTACAGCGCTTGAAAAATATGGTTTTAAATAAACTTACTTATATATTTAAGATTTTAGATTGATTTCAATTGTGAGACTGAGTCATACATAATGTGTCTATATTTAAAATGTCAAATATTCGCGTAAGTCTAAGAAAGAAACACCCTATAAAGTATTATTATTTTAAAAATTTGCTACGAATAAAAAATTGCGAGGGAATAAATAAATAAATATTTTGCAATTATAAAATTTGAACACATAATATGTGTAGTATAATAAACAAACGGTAGTGTCACAATATAAAAACAGCGTCTTTACCATTACGATAAAAGTTAAGTTTTTATAGACACAATCGATATATGGACAGTAATAATAATAATGTACGAATATAAATATAGTATGGAATAGTATAGACACGGTAATATTACATTACATTACCGTGGTATAGATACACAAATTGCAGTTGTTTCCTTTTCTAATAACTCTACTTATATGACTGTATTTATAAAACAGTTATTTTTAAAAGCTCAGGATACAATAAAAAACTTGTTTTATGACTACTTCTAACTATCATATGGATTGAGCTAATTCAACACTGACTTCAGCTCAAGTAACTTATAGAGCTGCAAGTATGAGACTTGAACTGCACACTCAATATTTGCTCTACCGGGGATTATCTATTGTTTCGTTTATAACCCTTATTCCAAGCGCGGATCCACCGTTATAGGCACAGTGGGCATGCCTACTGCCTTGATAAACTGTTCCAGCTGATATCAGCCATTATAAATTAAAAAAAATGTGTGTGTGTGTGTGTGTACTTATGTACGTACGCGCGTAAGAAGTTATACTGCTTTGGCGTAACAGACCAAAAATAGCTAAAGATTTCATTCATCCCGTATGTCATAACTCTCTGTTTGTAAAAGGAATCATAAATTAGTAAAAAATATCGCAATTAAATTAAAACAAATGAATAAATTAATAAGGCATATTAGGCATATCACAATCATAAATATATTTATAGAATATAATTTAAGGAAAGAATATAATATTATATATCATTTGTCAACAATAACAACGGTTACCATGGCAACAACCAGTTATTAGCTAACTTCATCATGTCGCTTTTTGGCTGTCGGTGTGCGCGCGCATCGTAAAAAACTAAGATTAAAAATTTTATACATATATCGATTATAGGCAAGTCCGTACTCCGATACTCACTGAACCGAATTTTGAACAGCTGCGGCTACAACCTCTTTTTATAACTGGATCCGCGCTTTCCTTATTCCATTTAAAATACCTATTGAAAACATTATTTACATGGGCGGCGGTAGACTTATTTCTAGCATCTCCTTCTTCACAACTAATTTTTAAATGATTAACTTTATATTTTTTATTCATTAATGTAATGCTTTTTTTTTTAAATATTTGTGAGGAATATTTGATTTTTTTTCGCAGATATTTAAATGTAAACAGGGATTTTACTTAATTGTATTTCTTTAACCGGCGCCCATGATTATTTATCTATAATTTTCAGAGCTGAGATAATACACAGTGTACCTATTTATATGTATAAAATATATGTTTGTGTATGAAAAATGCCATTCTTATGTTTTAATACGTATGTATATATTTTTAGATTACGTGTCCAGAATTACAAAAAGATGTTTTGTTGCTGGAGGAACAAGAGGGTTCGGTGAATTTTAAAATAGGTGTTATGATAATGAAGCCTGGGCAGAAGACGGATGACGAAATGCTTTCTAATGGTAAAGAATAGTAATGAAATTTTATATCGGATGATTATGAAAATTTTCATTAGGCAAAAATTACATCAAGTAAATTAAAATTATATAACTGAAATATAATATGTGTAAGTCCAAATAATGATAATTATAATACAGAATATTGCGTAGCAAATAGCAATTCTAAGGTAGGCTACGTAGGATGTATGTATAGTGGCAGAGGATTATTTTATCTCTCCACTATTAAGTATTCATATTTTTTGATTTATTAGTATACTAGGGGCTCACCCTCGCTTCGCTTGAATTTGCATCTAGAAAAACAAAAACAAATATATCCCACGGGAACCGTAAATTTTTCCGGGATAAAAAATAGCTCTTATGCTATTCCAGACTATATTCTATCTTTGTATCAAATTTCATCCAGATCCGCTTAGCCGTTCTGATTGAGTATCAATCATTCAAACATCCATCTAAACTTCCTCATTTATAATAGTAGTAAGATTTAAGTGTTAACTTGCGAAATAGGTAAAAAGTTTTAAAAGCTTACCAAATGTTTAATATATACTTCGATTAACAGTAGTATTGTTGATCGAAGAATATATATATAAGTTTAAATTAAATATTTCTAACAAGAACCTCGTTTATACACAGGTATTTCTTACCTGTGGGTAGGAAAGGTTGTATAGCTCTAAAATAATAATTCATAGAATTAGTCTTGAAAAAATGAACTTCCTCCCGTGGATTGATGATAAATCTTCAAAATTATATTAACCTCTTAACTTAATTTAAAAACTTCTTCGATAAATTAATCAAGGCCTTGTGTTTCAGAGAAAGGCAACGAGAAATGGGAACGATTTATTTCACTTTTGGGTGACAAGATTCGATTAAGAGGATGGAACCGATTTCGAGGAGGCCTAGATGTCAAAGGTACGAGTAAAGCTTTCAAATCTAAATATTATCTCAACACTGAAGAAACGTGACTAGATTATAGTACATACATAAATGTATATACAAAAAAATATTTATTTATATTATTATTTGCATACTATGTGTTCCTTAATAAAATCATTTGGATATTACTTAAGTATTACTTCTTATTATGAATGTTGTATTTTTAACTATACATATAATAAAATTCTAACTGAGTCGAATATTTTTTGGAAAATCTTATTGAAATAGTCATTATTATCGACACAGAAGCTGAATCTATAGTTTATACAATTTGCAGCGGAAAAACATCTCATCTCTGAGAAATCTATGTTTTCAGCCCTTCTTAACGTCCCACTGCTGGGCTCGGGCCTAGCTTCGATACGAGGGGGATCAGGCCATAGTACACCACGCTGGCCAAGTGCGGGTTGGCGGACTTGCTAGGTCTTTCGAAAACTTGCTAGGTTCTCTCAGACATGCAGGTTTCCTCACGATGTTTTCCTTTACCGTAAGACAAGTGGTAATCGTGTCAGAAATGATTCGCACATGAAAATATCAGAGGTGCGAAACCCGGGATTTGAACCCGCTTTATTTGGTTTCCCAAGCGAGCGCGTTACCACTGGGCTACCACTGCCTTACTGGGAGAAATCTAACCTAAGCGGTAAAACGTAATTATAATAATTTAAGTATTATAAAAATCTAATAGGTATGTCATGTATTGACAGGTGACATGACTGGGAGCCACTCGATATACACAATGCACCAGGGACATGAGATAATGTTCCACGTGTCTACCATGCTGCCCTTCTCGAAGGACAACAAGCAACAGGTCAGATAAACTAAATTTTAACTCTATACAAACTTAATGGTTTCGATTCGATTGTAGAATGTTTAGCCCCCACCAGCTTCTAAATAACCCACTTTTTATGCTTACAATCTCTTATAACTCGAATACTAAATTAATCGGTGCTATATATCACAATTTAAAACTAAAGCACAAACGAAATTGTCGCCATTTTGTTCTTATAAGTACCTACTCCATCAAATCTCATCTTAAAAGAAAATGTTAATAAACTTTTCTGTATATTAAATGGAATCGAATTTTTCAATTTTTCCTTACGAATAACGCTCATCAAGACGATAATGAGCTGAGACTGTTGTTTAAATAAGGGACTAAAATTATCCGCAAAATAAAAAGCCTAATAAACGCCTAATGGAATTTCTAATAAGTAAAATAAATTAATACACATTTTTAACTTTTATGTTAATTTAAAAAATACTAACTTCTCAACAAATTTAATGATTTTAAACTTATTTTACATTTATGCGAGATGACGATAAATATATTGTAACTAGCATTGCCCGCGGCTCCGCCCGCGTTCAGGTGACCAAAAACCAAATCCTTAGGTTTTACATATTACTATACTCTTACATTGCAGTTTTTGTATTCTTTCTCAGACATGAGACATTTTCCCGCGATAAAAAGTATCCTATATGTTGTATTATATGTATAGATAGTAGACTTATGACGTAAGGTAGAAAAATAAAATGCTATGTGCTTTCCAACAATAACAGTTACATCACAAAGACCCTTAAGTGCCTTATTTAGTATTTTCACCCACTTCCAGAATAAAGTAATTTAAAAGCAGTAAGTTGCGTCAAGCGGTAAATAGGCTATCCGGGGTGATATAAAATTTCCTTAAAAACTCAGCCGTCCTTAAGCCGGTTATTTAGGAGATCTTTGTCAACATTTTTTACTACAGTTTCCACACATTATTAACATGGTGTGAAATTTTTGACCGTACTAATAATACTACATAATATACATATATAAATAATTTACTTTGAATAAATTTATTTTTACTAATATAGTTTTATACTTATAATTAAAAGCTTGAATATTTTAAATTTTAAAATTATGTACTGCAACTGCAAGTATAATATTCAAGTTATTTATTTTAGCACTTAATTGAGAGCCATATAAATGTATAACTGAGCCAATCGAATGGCCAAAGAGGCTTCCACGGTCTCTAATTTGATAGAATTGCATTAGACCTGCTGCTACTCCATTATACAGTGTATATTAATGACATTTAGAACTAGCTGTGCTTTAAACTGTATAGCCAACAGACTATGGCGGCCGAAACATGTTCAGTGTTTAAGTGAATTTTAAGTAGTTTCAAATTATGATCTACGGATTCATCTACAAACATACGTTTTTATTATGTGTCGTGACTGTCAACGACAAAACGTCATCGTCGTTGTAATTTATACATATGTATAATAAAATTGTGACGAAGCCAAATCTTTACATTAGATATTTTTTGGAAAATCTTATTGAAGTAAACATTATTATCGATACAGAGGCCAAATCTATAGTTTTTAGAATTTTTGTCTGTCTGTCTGCCTGTCTGTCTGTCTGTTACCGCATCACAGAAAAACCACTGGACGGATTTTGATGAAATTTGGTATGGTGATAGCTTGTTATCCAGGTCAACATATAGGATACTTTGTACCGCGGGAATATGACTTATTTCTGAGAAAAAATACAAAAACTGCAATGTAAGAGTATACTAATATGTAAAACCTAAGAATTTGGTTTTTGGTCATCTGAACGCGGGCGAAGCCGCGGGTAATGCTTGTTCATTATAATATGTAGCCTTGACGAAGGTAATTTGTCCCGCATCCTTATCAGCTCTAGTAAACTTCTTCACTACATGTATGATGTTCTCCCTCCTAAGATCCGTTGTCCCATTAATATTAGTTGTTTATTCATGTTGGTGTTTAGTCTATTTTATAGATTTTTATGTAAATAGGTATATCAAATATGTAACAATATGAAATTGTAAATTATTGTAAAATATTTAATTCATAAATACTAACCTGTTTTTATGTGTATTTATCTTGTATATAATTTATTGTAACGTCTTATTTGTTGTAGGCAGATTATACAATAAATTACTTATATTTTAAATGTAATCAGACCTTATATGAACATCTCTTTTTCTACCCGGCTAATTCCTAATATCCACCATGTCTACTTCATTCTACAAGACATTGGCAAAATAATCTGTGCACAACTGGCACGCCTAAACCCCACATAACAAAGAATTGAATTGAAAATTATTATTTTAAGGTGTACGCGGTTTTGCGTTGTTGTAGCTTAGTTTGATTAAATCTACTAGCGAGATACACCCAATTGAATATCATTAAAACTTTATCCAGATAAAAATATATAGGTACATTTTAGAAATCCAACATTTTTATTTTTACAGATAAAATTGAAATATTGTTGGACCTTGTCGCACGGTATGCTTCGCACACTTGGCGAATGAGAGCTAGATGGGAAAAAGTGTAATATGTTGACTGTCACGACATTTTTTATTATTCACTAAGAGCACCGAATGTGAAGTCATTATAAATACCAGGCGATCATAAGTGTTAAAAAATGTACATATATATACTATACATGTAGTACCTAAGTAGTTCGTTTGCACTCTTATGACGAGGCCCTACGTATGTATAGACATACACTCGTACATACATGTATATAGGGTATTCATTAAGATGTGTACCCTAGTACTCGTGCAATTATGTCAGCAATGAGCTAAGATCAGGCCATAATGTGATGTCATCGTCAAGTACCAAGCGATTATAAGTGTTAAGGAATGTATGCTGTAAGAAATTCGTGTCCACTCTGTACAGGTTTTTCTTCGATTAGCTTCAGCGAAAGAACTTCGTTCCTACCGTGTGTACACACGGTTTCACCTCTCGATTTTTTATTATTATAATATATGATTGGGTCGGTCAATCGACTTAAAAAAGAGTTTTTATCCAGAACATGTTGCTGTCAAGTATACTGCTTAGTATCATTTTTTGATATGCGAGCGAGTTGCAATTATTGAGCTTGCTTCAAAATGTTCCAGTGCACAAAGATCCACTATACGAGTTTCATTATTGTCACAGTTGGAGCGGAAACGTCACATCGGAAACGATATTGTCAATATAGTCTTCACAGAAGACTCCGTTCATAACACCTTCAACCCGCAGTATGTGAAGAGCCATTTTACCCGTATCCTTTACAATATATATCATTTTATAAAAACAAATTTTCAAACAGAATATTAAACTAAATAACAAAAGCTAGACGAAAGCTTGTAAGCTACTTTGATTTAAACCGCCGCGTTGAGTAAACACATACATAGGTTTAAAATCAGTTTTATAACAAGTAACTAACAATATTAAATGAGTGAAATAAATACATATAAAAATATTTAAATATACCTATTAAATGTTAATGTTTCAATCTGAATGACTTTATTAGTCGAGTAAGTTGCACAATTCAATATTTTAAATGAAACCAAGCTGTATAATTATGGACACTACTAAACTCGTATAAACAGATAGAACTTCATTAAATTCTATCAAAGCTTATTTGAAACTGCATTGCAAATAGAGTATATAGGCCACGTTGAAGCATACAAATAGAAAGTGTACGTGTACAAATTAGTGGTAATTTCGTCAAGAATACCCATTTAGAGCCTGTTGTATTTATATTCTTAGTACAACGGGAATCAATTGAGTTTTAGAACTAAATTCCCTGATTTATACATCGAAACTATAAGTCTTACGTATTTACTAAGCGTTTTTTTATTGTACTAATTTTATTATAACTATTGAATATTTTCATGATTAAAGCAATAATAATCCGATGAGCCTACCAGATGTATTCGCGGTAGTGTCAGAAGTGGAAGGCGAAGGGTACAGGTTGAGCGTGTACACGGATGACACCGTGCCTCCGTTCGGGCCGTCGCTACCATGTCCTCCAATTTTCAACGATTCACAGCTGTTCAGGGAATTTTTGCTAGTAAGTAAACAAACACATAATTTAATATTATAAACAAATATTAGTCATTATTTATTGTAATATAAAAAGGACGGGTTTGTTGATTTGCTTCTTTCACGCAAAGATGTAGCAACAAATTTTCATGATATTAATATACAAATAGATCTTTTTCTACATTAATATATTGTAAAAATAATATAGAACGTGCGGAAAAGTGAAGGTTTATAATCATTTTTTGAATAATAATTAGATTTTAGAGTACTTACTAAATCTTTAAACCTTTTACACTCTGAACGAAACTCAAATTTTGAGAATAGTTTTAATTCTTTGTCAGACCTATGACGGATAGTATAGACAAAATTAAGGACTAAATATTTTAGTTTCTAAATAAAGAAAACCCCTCCCAGCGCCTAAGAAAATAATTATTCTATTTATACATAAATACAATAGAAACTAAATCTATTTTAAGCTAGGGCGGACGAAGTACTTTCATTTGAAATAAATTATAATAGAATCTCACGGCCTTCCCTTGATTTGTTAACTTAAGCTAAAAATTGATAGTTATTTTGTGTAATACTTTCCATAAGTTCAGGAAAAATAACTATGTTTTACAAAATATCCAAAACCTAAATAATAAATCATGCTTTCTTAAGGGCAGAACTGATAAAGGTTAAAAACATACTCAATTCTAAATTCTTGTGAAAAGGGTTAGACAGTAACGTTAATGTTTATGATTGTAGATATGATTTTACATTAAAAATATATATTTTAAAATTTCACATCAAATCATTATCTAAACGTGAAAACAGCGTAAGGCCCTTTTCACACACACGGTTTCCGTATTAACGGTGCCGTGAAGGTTAAGTAAAGTATTTCCTCCACGACTGCGAACACATTTCATTTTCAAAAATTTTCTCCTAATAGCTTTACTATTAATATTTCAAACAATAAGTTAAGCTTATCAATCCAACCGTTTTCAAGTTCACACACCAACGACCTTTCCTTTTCATTTTATTTTTTTAATAATTACCTCAATTATTACAGGTAAAACTAATGAATGGGGAAAAAGCTGCTTTTCAAACTCCGACTTTTGCGTTAAAGCGACAGCGAACTTTAGACACTCTTATACGAGACATATACGCAGAACATTGCTCTGATCACAAAGTGGTAAGTTTATGACAAAAAGTACTTTTCATTCTTTGGTGGTTCAAAAATTCGCTATTATTTATTTACAAGAAAACAAGAAAAAAATATAATTTTAATAGAATTTCTAAACCGGCCTTCTATGCTAATGAAACGTTTTTTAACTCATATGTATAAAATTGCGTGCATATATTTCCTTCCCAATATAAACAGAAAAACGGTCAATAAATTTAAAATAGCCACTTTGTTACTTTTGTTTAAGTACAAAAGAAACTAACTCGTAGAAGAGGTAAGGATTATAGAAAATATTATATTGTTAATAAATAATTACACAAATGTATAAAAATACCCTTAATAATAAGTTATAATATTATGTATGAAATTTATAATTTTATTAACCATACTTCAGCCCATGCTTTCTCGACGTGCTCTGTCTGATGTATGGTCGGGCGGCGCAGGCGCAGGCGGCGCGGGAGCTGCCCGCACTGAACGCTTTTTGCACGTAGGGCAGGCTTTGAAACTAGATGCTGTGTTAAGAGGTGATGCTCCCACTAGCTTAGTGTCAACGGGTGAGTCAAAATCTCAATCATAATATAATAAATTTGAATAAAAATAATATTAATTGATTAATCGTTGGATCATAATCAAGAGCCAGCCAACGCTGCCTTCAAATTGTTAAAGTTATTTTTTTCGAACTGGTTCTTGACTGAATATTTATAAATTATAGTCCCCCGTCGCACTGAGGATGTGTTTGTCCAAACAAACTAATCATAAAAACTACTATAAAGATTTTCATACGGCTTTCACTGATAGGACGAGGGATTCTCTAGTAAGCTTATTGGCTATGTATACCTAAATATATTGCGAAAATACGATATTATGATATTTTTGTATTAAGTTAGAAAAATCCTTTTTGAGAACTATAAATACAAACGGCACGTTGGAACGCATGGTTCACCAGTATTAAATCATTTTCAAGGTTGTGGAGGCTCACGCCGCGCTCCATGGGAAGGAAGGCTTTGGCGCGCTGCTCCATTACCCGCTACACCGATATGTGCAGAGCAGTTAGCTGAAGGTCGACTTTTACTGTCAACAACATCAAATACGTACATACTAGAAGGTATTATACAATATTTTACCATAATTTTTATCTAGCAAGAAACGCCCATATTGCATAATTTCCTAATAGCTTATAGGTAGGTACATCTTTAATACATAAATCTAAAATTCAAGTATATGTTTAAGTTAGATAATATATTATATGCTAAATCGTTTATCATTTTTTTATATTGATTATACTTTAAGAGACTAGATGTCTTATTCAAGAATGTCATCCACTCCAATAAAACTCTTGACATTGAACTTCTTACAACTCAAATGATCTTAATAGAGATTTTTCTCTTTTTTTCCATATTAAGTAGCAATAATTTTAGAATGATTAGTGGTAATTATTGATCTGACAGAAAGCGGTACAACAAAAGTAGTACTACGATGGGAAGGCTGTGTGCGTTCAGCGCGAGTAACAGAACGCGCTGGAATATTTCGGGTGGGCCCTCGGGTGATAGCGGGGGGAGGGTCCACAACAGGGGGCGCGGGGGGAGCGGGGGTGTACGCGCTGCCGCTGCCGGAACTAGCCGCTGGCGCTTGGGCTATGCGCCCCCTACAAGACTGTAAGCACGCGAGGCTTCCGAGAACTAAGACTGCACATTTCTTCGACATATTGGAGCAAGGTAATCTTTCGGCTAAACAAGTTCGTATCGACAATCTAAATTTTAAAGTAAAGAAATGTTCATAGAAAAAAAATTACTTCGGCTGTTACTATAATCATCTTACTGTAAACTGACAGTGACCAATCTGTACATCACCAATTCATCAACGCCCAGAACAAAATGTCCAACATTTGTCCTAAATAATTGATGAATGAAAAAACTGATAATATTATTTTATATCTATTCTTATTTTAAATTAATTATAAAAGTTTAACGGTATTGTATAATTTAGTTGTAAAATTGCAGGTGAAAATGGAAAGACTTTACTAGCTATAGCTATAGGAAGAAGAGTACTCTTGCTCTCAGAAGAACTCAACGCTGATAATGATATGGGTTTTGAATATATACATATTAAGGTAGTATCCAAAATAGAAACTTATTAGTTTAATGTAATTGTAATAAACTAATGACTACTCTTATCCTTTTTAGGACATCCAGTTAAGTGAATCCCCTATATTAATAAAGCTAATGGACGGTGAGTTTGGAATAATGGTTGTCGGCTACAAGCACCATTGGGAGTTGCTGGAGCTCAATACAGCGCAGGTTTTATTTACTATCTACTTAATCAATACATTTTATAACGCTTCTTTATTACAACAAAGAACAATCTATTATGTACCTCTATCTATATCTAAGTAGATGAAAGATGACAATAATAAAAATATTATCAACTAATTTTACAGACATTAAATTGTTTGAAGACTGTGTGACGTATCTACATAATTCTTGTACAATCCGCGACGGACTTTTAAAAAACTATATCTTTGGCAAATAAGAATTGCATGTCTAATAGAAATATTGGCTTTGTAGGTCATAATATTAGTTTTTTTTTAGACTATTAAAAGGGCAGAAGGGTCGGATGACAGCCCGCCGCGTCGCGGTGCTCTCGTCAACGCGCTGCGCATCGGGGATGAACGAGACGGACAAATCATTTTATGCTACAATCGTTAGTGACCAGTTATTTTATTTTTTTAACAATATTTTAAAATAAAATGACATTAAAATTTTGCTAATGTTATTTAATATATAACGTGTTAAATAATTTTTCTAATTTGTTTTATATACATATATGAGGATAAAATAAATAAATATATACCAAAATTAATTTTTATTTTATAAATAGAAACGTTATTCTTAGATGCTAAATATTAAATATACCATCTATCTAGAAATATTTTCTTTTAACGTTTCAGATACGTGTCATTTCGAACGGTTAACGAGTAAAGGCCTAGAAAGCGACAGCGAATATGATTTTCACTGGACCACTGTTCCTACTGCTGTAGGTAAGAAAAAGTTAGCTTAAGGTAGGCTTATAATTAGGTACTACGAGTATAATAACATAATGTACGAAAATGTCTTATGCTCTGAACCCGTTTTCATCTCTATCGGTCTACATTGTATATCATAGACAATAGACATTAGAAAACTTTAGAATGCTTTTCATCTTGTGAAGAGAACAAAAAGCTCTTTTTCAGGATGAAAAACTATGAATGATCTATAAAGTTTCCTAAGATAAAAAGTTTTTAGGTCTTTACGAAGTTTTCGATAAGATTAAAAAGAATTATTCTGCCTCCATATAGAAATGTACAGTTCTTACAATAACATACCTATATATTATGTATGTATGTACATATGTATATATATATATATATATATATATATATATATGTATGTATGTATGTATGTATGTATGTATGCATGTATGTATGCATGTATGTACTTATTTATGTATTTAGGATGCAATTGTGTGTAGTAAGTACACCGCCTATCATTTCATATAATTTCTCCTACGCCCTAAGGTTGCCTGGAAGAGATCGTTTATAGCGATAAGGCCGCCTCCTGTGCATCATCTATTGTTTATATCTTCTTTTTGTATATTTCTTTGTGGTGCACAATAAAGTATCTATCTATCTATATTTTCACAGTATGTGCTTTCCCATACATAATGGCATTTGCGGAGGATTTGCTGGAAATACGGCTAGTGGCTAACGGGTCCCTCGTACACGCTGCTTGCATACCAGGACTAAAGATACTTTGCGGACGACGAGTAAGTTAATGTATCAAGAAATATCACATAGCAACTCTTATGATACCAAATTAAATACATTAGTTGATTACAATGATCTTAATTGTTTCTTACTTGTGCATGTTCGTTTTTTTTATATATTGAAGACTCTAAATTCTAGCTTAATTTTAATTAAAAATATATTATTATGAATTTGTTTTAAATTATTTAATTTGTTATTAATTATTTAAATATTTTCAGGATATATTTTACGTAGCATGTGCACCAGAGTATGTACCTTTAAGCCGTGAGATTGATCCCTGCTTCGCGCTGCATGACAATTACGAGCTCGTCCGACAGATGAGCAAGTGTGGACCATACTCCGTCGAAGATGATGATGGAAATGAGAAGTAAGTTATATTGTTTTAAATAACAATATGATTTTACAGAAATAAATAAAAAATACACAAAAGAACGTTCATTATTATTTAAACTAGTAGTAATAAACAATTGCATATTTTTTTTAGAACAGATCAAAGCAACAGCCGCACTCCAGACTACAACTCGGGTTCAAGTCGAAGCAGTTCGATATCGTCGGAGCAAGAGAACATCCGCCCGCCCCTGACGCGAATGACGCCTATTTCCCCGCCGACCTCTCCACAAGGTAATCGTTGATATTTATGCTCGAGGATGACGATTTTTCCCAACTTCAAAAAAGGAAGAGTATAGAATGATTATTCTGTGTTTAATAGATCAACATTATATGATAATAGATTTTTTAATAATTCTTTTTCAACCGACTTCAAAAAGGAGGAGGTTCTCAATTCGACTGTATGTTTATTTTTTTTTATTTTTTTTTTTATGTTTGTTACCTCAGAACTCCGTCATTTATTAACCGATTTGGACAATTTTTGTTTTGTTTGAAAGGGTATACTTCCAGATTGGTCCCATTTAAATTTCAAAAAAAAATACCACCTCTAAGGGTGGAAAAACAACTAATGATGAATTTAACCTACTTCTAATTGTCATATTGACTTGAAACTTTGCAAGTATTTCTATTTCCGTTGATAGTACAGTGGTTCGGTGTTGTTGACCTGATCTGATGGCAAGGCCAGAAGGTGGATAGGTGGAACTCTTCAACGGCTAATAGTAGATACTTTGAGTTTGGGCTTATTTTGTTTAATTTGACAAGCCTAACACGTTAGAATCCTTACTTTGCTACTACTGTCTACACTAAAAAGGGAAAAATAAAAATTTTTAACAAAAAAATAAACCGACTTCAAACAAAAGCACTAAAAAGTTAAAAATAACTGATTGGTAGTTTTCATTTACTATACATACCTAATCAAATGTTTTCGAAGTCGGTGTGCTTTGGCTAAGTAATTAAAGCCTACCTATTAATTACATACCTTATCAAATATTTTCGAAATCGGTGCCAGCCCATACAAAGCAAAGCACACCGACTTCGAAAATATTTGATTAGGTATGTATAGTAAATGAAAACTACCAATCAGTTATTTTTAACTTTTTAGTGCTTTTGTTTGAAGTCGGTTTTTATTTTTTTGTTAAAAATTTTTTTAATTAATAGGTTATAACTATTTTGTGGAGGATAAACACGTTTAGCGTGATTTTATATCAGCGTACATTTAAAAAAAAGTCATTAAATGACAATAATTTTATGGTATTTGTGTATGTATTGTACGGCATGTATGTAAACGTATGTTATCTATATTAAAAAGCCACTTTCTATCCGATTTATTTAATAATTATTCTACGCGTATTAGGAAATTTTATCAACGTATTAGGATGATTTATGTCACTGAGCCAATCTAATGGTAAAGCCAAGAAATAAATATAATTTGAGATCACTGTGCACTTAATACACCTGAGAGCAACTTTACTTTGTAGAAATGCTACTAACTACGTTCCCTAGGGCTTAACTAAAGAAAAAGGCTTAACTTTAAGAATTCTATGGTTTTCAACAATTTAGATCTTTCATATAATTGATGTTTCAACAGTACCAGAGAACAGCGGGCGCTGCGTGCGCATATACAAGGTCCCACAAAGCAATCTCAGCGCCGCTGCCTACCAGCGACAGTCTGTCTCCGCTGACCACGTCGTCACAGACTACTTTTCTGATAGGTGAGATTCTGTTTAATAATAATTAAATAATTAATAATTATACAATAATAATCAACACTTGTGATACAACCTTTTTAGTGTTGCCCGCCCTTTTTTTTCTAAAACCGCTCTTTAAACTGATTTAAGTGGATAGAAGATACCTACTTCAATAAAAATAGATAAATAGATATATTATATAGAGATAGATCAGCAAAATTCCGCTCCAAAGTAATGTTTCCAAGATGATTAAAACGATGGCAATCATTAAAAATGAACTAGTTAAGTGTATAAAATACTTAAATATTAGATTCCATAGTTTTCATTTTCAAATAGGTACGCGAAGTTTACCTCAAAATATCTCGAAAATGCAATACCATATTGCTAATTTTTTTTTGTTATATCCTGTATAACCTCATACTCCACCGATTGAGATTGAATTGAGTAAAAATTCAAATAGCGACAGATGGTTATTGTCAGGTTACATAGATAAAATATATTTGAATCCATTTATTCTACGTTACAAAGAAAAATTGTTCTTAGGTATTCTCCTTGAATGAATTATGTTGATACGAAAGAACTTTCCTGTAATGTTTAGTAATTTCAAATTTGTAAGTCCTTTTTTTTCTTACTGGATAAAAAAAGGAATATATCGAGAACATTAACTTTTTACAGACCAAACAGTATAAAGCAAAGACTGGCAGAATTAAGACTGGACAGCAAATCAAGAGGAGGTGGCGACAACGAGTCCATAGAGATCACCAATTACCAGCCGTCGATGCCCTAAATAAAGGGTAGATACGCACTTATATATTATACCTAAACGTAAATATTATGTGTTAAAACATAGTACTCCAAAGATGTAGTCATAAATAAGTAAACTTTAAGCTAAATATAAATACCCAATACCTATTAATTATTGTACCTAGATTATAATTTTAAACTACTTTGACTGATTTTCAAGGAAATTAGCTTGTGTGATGTGTCTATTACTGTAATCATCTATACATAAATAACTTGGATAAGCACAAAAATTCTTAAATAATAAAAATATAAAGTCATAATTTTAGTTAGATATAATTTTGCATGACATGATTCTTTTTCATTTGTAGTCTACTACATTACAGAGCCCAGAGGCATGGCATTATTATTATTTGTTAATTCAATATTTGGCATTAATAAGAAAAATAACGTAGGTACCTACCTCAAATAAAACATTTAATATTTTTATTAAGAATGCTAACTTTGTAAAAATATAGGTAGAAATATTAAAGTGACATTAAATGAACTGTGACCACTGCAATGTTTGGTTCCAAAATACGATAGTGTAATATGTCTATAAAAGAAATACCTACTACGTAGCTATCTAAAAAGCAATTTAAAATATGTGGTTATTTAATATGTAATTAACTCGCGTCATTGCGATTGTAACGAAAAGATATATTTCTTATATAGGTACTTGTCATATTTTTATATAATAAAAAAATAGAAGCATTGTAGATGGTAATGACAATTTATTTTATTTACAAATCAATAATTTTACGAAAACAATGAGATAATAATACCAAAATTTTTATTTAAAAAGTACAAAATACATGACCTGATAAAATATTATTTTTATATAGTTCATATTATATAATATATTTATAGAATTATTAAACGTTATATAAAAAAGAAAGTATTAATAATTGAAGGTTTTATTTTTATAACGTTAGTCTGTTAAATATGCTGTTCCAATATGAACGCCCAAATAAAGCAGAAGTCCCACATCGGGCGCCAATTTGCTAATCGTGATACATGTACATGTTAAATCACCTGTTTGTTGCTTAAATTATTTTTGGTAAACTACAAAATTAACAACTCATAGTGTTTTTATGTTTTATTTCATTTTTAGGTTAGCTCTTGATATAATGTATTAAATACTAGATTCTATTGAATCTTTAGTTGAAGAATATTAATAGTATAGGTAAATAATTTATCTAAATGATAAATTGGGCATACAAAGCTAGAACTATATGTAGTTACTATCTTAGTTATACTTATTATTATTATGCAGAGATATATTGTATTAGACTTAGAAAAGTTAAGCAACTAAGAAATGTGTTTTAAATTGGCAGTTGATATAAGGACCGTATACCTAGAAAGTGCACCATTCATGTAAGAATAATGTTAGACAACGTACTATCAAGAAATTACATCATTCGATGCAGGGCCGAATGAACCATGTCGGGGGCCCCTAGGCAACGCAATTCTCGGGGCCCCTTCATCTTTTTTTAACATATTGATAAAAAAACATTTATTCTATTACAATGCTATTATATTTGTAATTACGCTAAATTTACCTAAGATTACATAGAAATTTTCAAACATTTTCAAAAAAAAATCTTGATACGTGAGGGCCCTAGCCGATGCGGGGCTCCTAGGCAGTCGCCTAAACTGCCTTATGCATAATCCGGCCCTGGTTCAATGTGCATATTAATGTATATTTTTGATGTACACATTTCCTAAAACAAATGAATGCTAAGAATAACAGCAAAAATAAGACTGTCAGTTTAAAACTAGTGTTTACATTATTCATATATACATATTTCTAACTAAAGTAACTCTAGTCAAACTTGGACAAACATGCAAGACATAAAGTGATGTAATATAGATTTTTTAGATTTAATAAAGACAACATAATATGCATTGTTTATATAAAGTGCCATCCAGTCCTTTGGTTACGATTATAGATTTAAAATGAAAACTTTGCGATGCAAGAGAATTGAAATATTATTTAAGGGATAGAAAAAAACTATGTAAATAAAAAAAATATTCTACGTAGTCTATAATCTTTGAAACAATATAAGGTTATTTGAAACTATATTTGTGTAGAAATCATCGATGAAAAAAGTTCTAGATACACAACCACATGCAAAAGTTCTCTAAAAACCACGGTATTATTACATACAGTATTCCATCTTCAAACAAACGGTCGGAAATCCAGTTATACCTACGCGTGCCGCGTTCGGTATACACTCGGTAGACAACCGTGCGGGGCTGCCACATCGTATTATTGGATACGAAAATTGTATAAGCTGGTTATGTTATGTAACTTTTATAATTTAATACAAAAATAAACATTTTATTCCTCCCGTAACTTCGCTAATATCAAACAAAAACGTATCGAGACGCATCGTATGTTTTAAAAATAAAAATTAATTAATTAAATTAAAAATAAAAATTAAAGTATTTTAAATTAAACTTTTTATCCGAATGCGGATTCTTTATACTAATTAATTTAACAATAAAGCTTTTCGTACGTCTCAGTCGAGGCGTAAATATTTTTAAATCTCAAATTTATAAGGTCACATATCACCCTTATAAATTTGAGATTTTTTAATTAAATCTACTAATAATAGTTTTTAATAAAAAATATAATATTTAAAATCACAAAATTAGAAAGAAACTCAAGTAGGTAGATGAAATTAAAATACTGGCCGGCGAGCAGCCCTGTCGCGTGGGTGACGCTCGGCTGTAGGTAATTATTTCAAGGACAGGCCCGAGTTGGAATACTGTACATTACCGTGTAAAACTGTCACCAATTGTGTTTAGGTAATTATTCCAGTTGAAACAAATATACAACAATGTATGTGAACCTTAAATTCAATGCTTAAAGTAGTCAGTCAAATGTTTAAATTAGTCGGTGAGGATATTTTTGTCGCTGATTGTGTATCTACTGTCTAGTACTTTTTTGATCAATGGTAGAAATCATTAGTAAACTGATTAGAGTTTTAGACATTAATATTATGTAGGTACATGTAACAAGTAATTTGTAATAGATGAACCAAACTGATAGAAACTAAGTAAAATATTATATTACCGAACTAAATTTATATAGCACAGATAAGTTACCATAAAATTACTGTGTAGTAGATAACTTTGTTAAGTATAACATATAGCATTATTATTATCCAAAAATAACTTTCGAAGTAAAACTGAATTAGTTATACTTATAAGTAATGTTGTAATGATGTTGAAATTATTCTAATATTATACTCACAAGCAAACGGTGACTATCGACTTTTGAATGGCTGTTACAGACAGGGCTGCCAATTGCCGGGTAAATTACCCGAAAAGCGGGTAATTTAAGGCGATTTTTGATGGCTGGTAATTTTGACGGGTATTTTAGTAGAAAGCAGGTATTTTAGTTTAGCTGATTAATTTGATATTTTAAGTTTTTTTAATGTTTGATTTAAATGTTGTTTAAGTGAGAACTGATTACAATGACTCCTTTTTCTAGCATTAGTGCTTTCTTTTATTCTATATAAAACATGAATAAATTACTTCAAAAAAACTATTTTCGGGTATTCTGCTCATGGTTGGTGCCGGTGGGATAAGCCGGGTATTTTGAGGTTTATTGGTGGGTAAATCAACGATTGTTATCTGGCAGCCCTGGTTACAGATACGTTGAATACATTGATAGGAAAGCGCGATCATTGCTTTCTTTATAAAGTAATTTTCTTCCATGGACGCAAAATGAATAATCCTTTACAAAGAAAACAATTCGAAACTGCTATATAGTCTAAGGCTCAAATCGATTAGATAAATTATAATAGGTACATTTTTTGCAAAGATGTCTGTTATTATTAAATAATATTTTTAGTTTTTAGTCATAAGGTTCATGCTTCGATAAGCTCACGACAAGTAACGGGGCCTATGTATTTTTTTACCACCGAGAGTAACGCCGATATCCGAAAATTAAAAATGAATAGAAATCTTCGCTAATATAATTAATCAGTGGAAAAACTTATTTTTAATTTTTATTATTTGTGCTTCCCCAGCAACGTCAACATATTTGCGTAGAACGTAACCAAATGATTAACGTTATTAAATACGGTTGACGATTATTGATCTGCTGTCGACTGTCTCAACTCTCATGGAAGATTCATTAAATGAAATAAAAAATATTGTCATAATGTCATTTCATAATGTTCTATAAACGTATAAGAAATTACTTTATATAATATACTAAATGGATGTTTTAGAATGTTTAATATAATGTTACAGTAGGATTCAAACCTTATGGCGGCTCACAGCTAATATCCGAGGTGTCATTAAGTTTACGTCGAACTATACATATTGAATTCAATATTAGTATTTATTTAGTATATTGAATCCATTTTATTGAATTTATTACTAATATTGACTGACAAAATCAGTATAAAGTAACTATGTGCACTTCATTTAATTATACATATAATTAAAAAAAATGCTGTTAAATCTTTTTTCAAGCATAAGCTAAATGTGGGAATTTAAAAAAATATATATATTTAGCATCCTACAAAAGTAATGTAGTATCTATTTACTAAGAGTAATTGTAAATTATCACTACAAGATGTTGGAGATAATACGGTGTACCCAAAGTTTAGGGGTTTAATTTAATCTGTTATTTGATGTAAAGTTTAAATAAATGTCTGTTCAATAATAACGTTTTTTATTTATAAATAATTAACTAATATTAATAAGTAATTATTTAAAGTCATTAAGTGTAATTTTATCTAAAATTATAATTATTAAATATAACATTTACCAATAGGAAATATGCGTGTGAAATATTTTTTGAAGCCTATAGTAATATTTTTTATGTAATTTCTTTTTGATTAAAAAAAACATTATTAAAAAGTGCAAAAATAGGTAGGAAATTCAAAGCTGTTGAATCGCTACGCCATTGGTCATAGCGAATACGACGTCAGAGTATATCATAACAGAGCGAAAAGAAATTGCTGAAGCAAAAGTTGTCTTTTTCTGTGTATGATATATTTTAACGTCACGTCAAGCGCGTGAAATGGCGGGCCATCAAAATATTAGTATCGGTATGATATATATTTTTTTAAACTAAATTTTGTTTTTTGGAGCTGGATATTTTTTGTACAATTACATAACGATGTAAGCTATTGTATAAAAAAAACACGCATAATCCCTATTAAGACGATTGCTTACAGCAAGCACATAAAATGCAATTTTGTAACTCTGTTCCTCATTTCACAAAAACTCAGCCATAAATATTTACAAGAAAATGTCTTTAATTTATTAATTATAAAACATCATAAATTATTCAAATATCTTTAAATATGTATATGTATTATACAAATTTTAATGCCATGTTACTTTCGGCATCCAAAAAACAATAAAAATGTACTAAAAATATACAAAAAATTTGTAAATTTAATTTAGTAAATTTCATAACAATTTAGGTTGCTGCTTCAAAGCCGTAATGTCTAAGAACCTTGGGATTTCCAACTGAGTGCATGGTTTTTGAGGAAGGTTTGTACCTGAAACAATATAATTATTATTCAATGTATAATTCTCAATATTACAACATTTTTAGATTAGAATTAGAAAGTCAGGATTTTCAAAGTATTTGCTGTTTGCAACTAGGGTGATCAATGATGTCTTATTATTCGGTGATATATGTTACAGGGAAATTGTAAAAACCGTTAAATCATAATTTCACAGGTGAAATTATAAATTCCCAGAGTTTTGTCGATTGTCAAAGGGGATAATTTTCGGTATATATTTGATTCAGTCATTCAGTGATATTGTGAATCAATGAGATTTTAACAATTTCACTAAATTCCATTAAATTGTTAAATGGTCACTGATTCGTCTGATTCTCTTTTTTTATGCACAGCATGAACCATAAACTCAGTAATATAAAAGAATAGACATGTAATATTTTTAACTATTTATCACTTTACTATTATGCATAGGTTTATTAGTGAGTATAAGTAATTAAAAAAAATCTCAACTTGCAATAATATATGTTTTAAAAAAAAAGGTCATAATTTTATAGATTTTATACATAACATGTGTTATACTTTCTTAGCTCTATGTGCTGTATCCTCTAAAATCTAAAATTTCAATGCCAAAATTTCAAACTGTCACCTGTCTGATATTCATACATATATTGGGATCTTGTAGAACATACAATTCTACCATAAAGTAATTAATGACACTTTACAATATATTCACAATAAAATAAAAAAATGTATTTGCGATTATGCTTCAATATTTACGTTTTTAGTTTTAAAAATGGCCGATTTCCTGATCGGCCAATCAAAACGAACAATGGCTTCCCCCACTACATCCATGTATTGCTACTATTGACAATATACCTAGGGTATTACAATATTACTGAATGTGTTTAGTTAAATTATAATATACCTATGACTATTGACCATGCATTCAGATCTTGACAAAATTTTGAACTAGTAATTAGTATTATTTAGAAAATCTATGAATAATCACAAAAAGAAATATTTTCTTGTATGCAGATTTACCTTGCTGTAAAAGCTTGTGCTTTTCCATGTAGTTTCTTGTAGCCAAAGACATATCTAGGGGCATAACTGTAGGTTTTGGTGATGGGGAGTTTGTTATTAGTGGACCATTCTTGAGATACTTTGCAGCCAGCTGGTTCATTTTTAGGCTTGTGTCAGTTGTAGGAGCATTAATGTGGGCTTGCACTGGTTGATTGATTAATGGATCGTCACCAAATGTTACCCTTTGAAGGAAAATCCACATAATTAATAATAAAAATATTATTTATACTAGGTAAGCAATATTTTAATTACTATTTATTTTTAAGTTATACTTCTTTTGGCACATTTAGAAAAAAATATGAGGGTAAAATTGTTACGATATGCGTGCACACCGACAGCCGAAAAAGCGAAATGATAGCTGGATTCCTTTTACAAACAAACATATGGGATGACATCTTTTGCTATTTTTGTTCTGTTATGCCAAAGAAGTATAACTTCTTACATGCATACATTAGTACACACACACATTTTTTTTATAAAAAACAAAGATTAAGTGACATAATCAGATACAATACCTCTTTGCACTAACATTAGTCTTATCAATTTGCACCTGCATACATTTTTGTCGAGCTTTCCTATACAATGCACTGGCAGAAGAGGGCATATCAGACTCTTGTAAGATGCCATTTACATGTGTCTGCAAAAAAATTAATTAAAAGAATTAAAACATTTTCAAAACACACAAATATAGATTAGTAAGTATTTATATAATAATATCTTACCATAACTTTATTGTAATATGTCCATCCTACATTAGACTGGTCATCACTACTGGCATCAGAACTGTAATTAAATAGTACTTTGCGTTATTTCAAAAGCAATCTGAAACATATTATATTCCTTTAGAAAATTATATAAAAGTAATAATAAAATTGAAGACAATACTTACTCACTGTAGTCTCTAACATCCAAATATAAGCTTTGTTCTGGTGACATAAGAGGAGTAATTGCATTGTCTACCTGGATATTATATAAACTCATTTCATTCAGTGTCTTATCTTCATTGAAGTTATCTGTGTTTTTGGTGAATTCAATTTGTTCTTCTTTATTATTCTTGTTTTCTGGTTTAGTTTGACCTTTTGTCACAGGTGTTATACCATCAAGAAAATTTAAATTCACTGGATGTGTCTTGGCCACAACTTCTTTAATACTTATTTGAGATCGATTACATTGAATTTGGGCCTCATTTTGCTTAACTATTTCTTTATTAATTATAGTGGATGTTCGAATCATTTCAAAACTTGTCATTACTCCTATAGATATTTTTTGTTCTGACCCAACAGACTCCACTGCTACATGCTCTGTCACATAATTCTGAATAGGTTGTGTAACTTGTGCTTCATTTTTATTATTAGTAGAAATAAACTTATCAACCTTTTCTTGCAAGAGCTGCAACTGTTCATTTTGTAACTTTATTATTTTAAATAAATCAGCAACTGTTGGCTCTCTTTTCTCTTTAGTAGTACTATTTTGCACTTCTAAATCCAAACACTCTGTTTTTTGGCTTTTTTCATATCTTTCAATATCCCAAGTTTTTTTATCAACTGCATTTTTAAGAGTACTTTTAGGTGAAGAATTACTACAACCACACATTGGTGGAAAAGGATTTATAGCTTGATAAGAACAAGGCCAGCATGATACAGGATGACTTACAGGCTTAGTTACACAATGACAAGTATTAAAGTTATTACTATTTGCCGATAGAACTTTGTTTCTTATTGGTGATGGTTTTGAATGTAATATTTGGACACAATTATGACATCTACAAACATTATCAATAATCATAGGGTTGTTATAAGTAGGAGCATGCATTTGTACATGATAACTTCCTAAATGCATTAATTCTTTTTTTTTTAGAAGTGGGTTATTTTCTTTATCTAAATGTAAAGTACTCATTTTACTTTTCAAGTTTTTTAAGTCATCTTTTTTTAGGAAAAAGTCATCACTTTTACTTAAAGTATTTGTAGGTTTTGAAGATACCTTATTATCTGTATGAGACAATATTTGTATTGAGTCGTTTAACCTACTCGGTTGTATGTTGAAATTGCTTTTCAAGTTTCTATTATCAGAACATACTGTAATATTCGATTTTAGTAATGTACTCCCGCCATCATAATGTGCACAATCAAGAGTGCTTAATTCGAGCTCATTGGAAGGTACCCATTTATTATTATCTATGTTAGATATATTTGTTAAATAAGTTTTACTTACTTTAGGACATGGTGAGGAATTACTACACTCATACGTCTGTATAGGGTCATTTGTATAAGGTACTGGCTTAAAATCTAAGATATTTATGTTGGGTATACACTTTACTTGTCTCTCAATAAAAGGGCGAGGGGAGTGACACTCTGAATCTTGCATAGCTTGTATTTTAAAAGCTTTAACAGGTGACTCGAAACGTACTTTCTTCATGAAATATAAAAGTTTAAACTTTTAATAATATTTCAAAATTTGTTCTGTATCAATATACTATTACATTACAATAAAGAAAATGCAAAATTTAAAAACTATTAGTTGTATTTACTGTTTAGCGAAAATGTCGGTTCAACGTTTTGACATTTGAATTTCAAATTCAAACAATATAAATATCACAGACTAAAATAAATATGCAAGTTTCCATCAGGCTGAACCACAGACATTACAACCTAATAGGTTGTATTGTCTATGGCTGAAAGCTGAGTGACAGTGGAGGGGATGTGTCAGCGCATGGGTAGTGGGTACAGTCGTCCTAAAATGCTAGGCTCAATTGTTTTATATCATAAGTATAATTGTTTTATTGTAAAATCATGATAGGTACTATACTAGCTAATTTGTACTTTGGGATATAAAAAATAGATAATGTTTACTTGAGCATTCTTTTTTATATAGAGATTAATAGTAGGTTGATATCAGAAAACTTACACTAAGGCCCATTTTGTGTCTTTTTATAACCTTTTGTTTTTAAGAGTTCAAAAAACAGCAAGAAATTCTGAATGGTTCGCATTTTTATAATACGTCTCATTGCAGTCTCAGTAGTTTTCGAAGCTGCAATCCGTTTCATTCACTATAAATCATTTTTCTTTGCTTCCTATGTAAAATCATCCTCGTGCAATAGCTGTGTGTCGTTCGCGATTGATAGAATCGAACGACCCGGGTTGCGTACACGGTCGGGTCGCCAGTCGCTACGAAAACAACGATTTATTCTTGATCTCGTTCATTCGATCGAATTCACAACTGAACTTGCGAGACTGAACGACTGAATCGAATGTATGGGCTCGTCGTGACCGCCGCGGTTAGATTAGGCTGCGTTAATTCATAATGATGACATTTTTTACTGAATAAATTAATAATCTTAAAATGTAATTGTTATTATTATGTAAAATTAATACGGATTCTTCTCCGTATTTCTTCCCTTCATACTTGTTTGGCTTAGGACTGGCTAAATAGAGTAAAAGTATCACGAACTCATATTTAAGCGTATGTAATTAAAAGATCAACTGATTGTTTGTACACGATTATATTATACTAGCGGCTCACCCTCGCTTTGCTCGAGTTCGTCCCCAGCTTGCTTCTCAATAAAAACTTTCATCCCCATTTTCACCCCCATAAGGGATGATTTCCGGGATAAAAAGTATCCTATGTCCTTTCCAGGGTCTCAAACTATCTTCTTAACAAATTTCATCTAAATCGGTTCAGTAGATCCAGAGATTATCCCCTACAACGTCACAAACTTTACCTCTTTATAATATTAGTATAAATTACAATATTAATAATCTTTTAAAAAAAAATATTACTGTACTATATTTACATTACCCAATTTACGTAAATTCTGATGCTCCATTTTTATATATGTTCGCCAGACAATTATTTTAATTTTAATGCCTTTGTGGGTAGGAAAATTGAGTTTAGAGGGTGATTGGCCCCTTGGATCGGTCTGTCTTCTTCTAAAAGGTTTTAAAATAGTTGTATGGCCGACGGAAAGTGTCTGGCAGTATTGACGACTTATTTTTAAGGATATTATCTAAAATATACATGAAAATCACCTTGGAGAATGTACGTGAGGCAACTACTACTTATGAGGTAAGTAGTCTTTTGAGGTACCTTGATTACCTGATACCTGTAAATTGCCGTCTAACCAAGTTAGCAGGTAGGCATGCGATCTTAGTACATACTAACACTACCCAATCGTCCACATTTCGATCGTCATAAAATACGCGACGTCTGGCGGCCCTGGGATCTTGCTCTAATAGTAGATGTTCTGTTTTTCCAATTTTCAAATTCTGACAAGTGACAACTGACAGCTGTCATATGTAACATAACCCTTAATTTTAACCATTTATTTGTATCGTAAAATATTTATCTAAACTAATATGAATAATCAGCTATTGAAAACGTATAATCCATTAATCTTGGCATCTCGTTGGAGAGGCTATAAACATCCAGGGGGAATCAGATATCCCGGAGGGATAATATATTATCCCAGGTAATTTTTAAAATTAAACTACCTATATACATGCAGTATTATTTCAATTATTAATAAGAGATTTATTTCGAGAAGATTTAAGTAGTTTTTAAGTTAAATTTTGCAATGAAGTTATTATTATTTTTAGAAATCCAGACCATAAGGATCCTGAGTGTACACCATCAAAACTATTCAGAGTTGAACAAATTAAAAGTAGTAAACATCATCCTTGGTGGCAAAAAAGGATTCTAGCGGAATTAAAACTAAATGAAGATGTAAGAGTTGTTTCAATATTTTATAAATTAGCTATCATTTTTCAATATTTTTACCATTAATTGTCTATCCTAACCTTACTTTGTTTTTTTAGAACAACGTAGCAATCGTTAAAAACATACCAGAAATGAATGGAAAATTGTGGAAGGTAAAACATTTAGTTAGGATAACACCAATAACATTTCCTTATGGAGAACCAACAGAAGAAGATATAAAATATACTGTTCTTAAAGAAAATGGGCAATGTATAGTAACAAAGACATTAGAGCCAGAACAAAAGCAAATTGAAGCTTTAGAAATGTTTGAAAGTGATCCAAAAAAAATGGATTCTACCACAATTAAGAGAGATTCAAGGCTTAAATGGAATAATGCTTTTACAGGAGGGTTTTAAATTTTAATATAGAAATGGAAATGAATAATTGAGTGTTTCAGTTAATTAAATAAAAAGTAGGTTCAAACTTATTCTATTTTTATTTTTAATACATTTACTACATTCTATTTATAAATAAAATATTCATGTTACAAATGTTTCATTCTAAGCTTTATGTTTATAAAGTAAATAGTTAAAATGTTCAGGTGTTTTAAAGTATCTGTCAATCAATATCCCATGTTTTTTTCCAAGTCCAAATCTTGCATCTCCCCAAGAAATAACAAATGTTGGATTTAATTTCTTAAATTCTTGTAAGTGAAATTTGTGCTTAATAATGGAATCATACCAGTTTCCTCTAAAAATTGCTATGTATTCATCACCATTGTTATATAAACGGATTACAAACTTTGAAAGTAATACTTTGACTGCTGCATGAAAAGCAATAAATGCACCAAGATATATAAGGCACTCCATTGCATTATTAGCAATTACTACATCTGGGCCTATGAGGACTGGGTCATTTATAGTAGTCACATCAAAGACAAACGCAGCATAATATATGGCACTAGCCGACACAACAGCTGTTGAAGCAGTTAAATATGCGACAGTATAATTAAGAATATTCCCCATTGGAGCCTTGTATATAAGTTGCCATTTTTGAGACATGCCATCCTTTTCTCTCCATCTATCTTGAGCCTCTAAAAACTTTAAAGGATGTTGAGAGAAATACTTTACACTTCTAATTTTGCCAAGTGATTGCAATTGTGTCGGCTTAAAAAGACGTAAACAGTTCATTTTTATTTAAGTTATTGTCCTTACTTTAGAAACATCAATTATGTTTTACATAATACAGTTAAATTAATCAGAATTTGTAATATTATGTAATAATCTTTCTAAAAAGGAGAAGGAGATAATGTTATTTCAAATCATAGGTTCTTAAATTTTAACCTCTAAATATATTTTCATGTCAATAATTGTCAACAGTCAAAAAGAAAATATTTAAATTAGTGCTGCGCGACTATGAATGATTCCAGTCGAATTATTCGACTTTATAAATCACTCGACTCATTCGAATGAGTTACAAAGTAACTAATTTAATTCTTGCTCGAATTTGTCGCTAAGTATTCTGTATTAGTAATACGTTTCCTGCGACTGACAGCTTGTATGTATGTTTTACGCACGGCGCCCAACTTAATCACACCCCACAGGTAAAGGGAGCAAGTAAACTTTTACTAACCACTAAGAAACAGTAACAAGTTTATAATTGTTTAGAAGTTTGACTGAGGCACTGACAGAACGGCGACCGCTCTAACTGATTATTCGGCGCTGGAGGGGCGGCAAAGGATCCATTCGATCGTATTTCATTTTAAACTGGCGAATCGCAGTCGTGACCAATTTACATAGTTGAAACACCATTAGTAATTACTAATTAGTAATAGTTATTCGATTATTAACATTAGTATATTACTTATATTCAAGTCGAATGTATAAATTAGTAGTTGTAGATGATTCGAATCGTCAGTTCATTCGTAAGAGCGCATCGCTAACCTAAATTATCATTTCAAGCAATAATGTTGCTATGGACAAAAATGTAACTCCTCCTAAAGATGTGTCAACTCGAGTTAACTCGAGTTGGGCTTAACTCGAATTAACTCGAGTTGAATTCTCTCTGACTCGAATTGGATTTGCGTGGTAAATGAACGAATCAAGCGAGTACGTGATTGACCTTACGCAAACGCGGCGATTCGTTCGTTGTGTTCATGCTTTGTACAATCGTCAGCACTTCAGACTATACATTTATGTTGCAAAATCGCTCCTATTACAACCAAATAAGATGCCACAGTATTTAACTTAATCGCTGTCGTCCGTACTCCTGTTATAGCGTTTCAACCGAATGAAAGCGTTATAATATCCATACTAATATTATAAATGTGAAAGTATGTTTGTTTGTTTGTCCTTCTTTCACGTCGAAACGGAGTAACAGACTGGGGGTAATTTCTTGGGTGAAGATAGTTCATAGTTGGAGAGCTGGAGAGTGGTATAGACTATTTTTTACCGCCGAAGATTATCTCATTTCCATGGGAAACACGTTATAATACAACCCAAAAAAATATTTATGATCAGAATTACTTGAAACTTGGTATTAACGCTCTTCAATACAATCAAATAAATATATGTTTTAGCATTCTTCGAAATTTATCCCGTTAAGGGGTAAAATAGCGGATGAAATGTCGTATGAAACCTACCTTTTTAGAGTGTTTTTTTTTGAGTTTTAGCGCGAGCGAAACCGCGGGTTCTGCTAGTAATAATATAAATAAATAAATATAAAAAATATAAATAATTATAATTGTCCCAATAAATATTTATTTAGAATCTGTACCATTTTTTTAATATTGTTGCGAAGCCGAGTCATTAAATTGGTACAAGCAAAACAAATCATTGACTTCATTTTTCATCCAGTTAACTCGAGTTACGTAACTCGAGTTATATTTTTTCCGAGTTGGCACATCACTAACTCCTCCATTCATTGGCTATGCTGGGGAAGAGATAAGAATTTTGAGTTTTTCTCCCGCCAGATGTCGCGATCACTATGATCTACACTATATTGTAAAGCTTTAAAGCGTGGATGAAATTTTTTTATCTTATCGGTTATCCTCAGACTGAATGTAAATAGATCATACGTGTGGCATCCTCCTTTCGAGAAATCTTCTCCATTACTATACTAATACTAAGCATGAATTTATGCAACTGATATTATGATATCATTTTTAATTTTTTCGAAGATTTTATAATTTGATGACGCATCCTTAATTTTTTAATTTTTCATATTTGTATAATATGTAAGTCCAATTTTAGAAAAAGGAAGTTTTATTGTATTTCCAATAGATTAATTTAACATTAAAGCTTAGATAATGTCTGAAATTAACCAGTAATTACGGAAATGAACTTTTGTAACTATTACTGTAATTATTTTAACATTTAAAACTATTTTAATGTTAAAACCTGTTTTAATCTAATTATACAGTATAAATAAAAATAAAATAATTAAAATATATACGAGTTATATCGAGATATGTATAATATGAATGTGTATTTTTTTATAAATTTCCGTTTTCACATAAAAACCTAACAATGTTTTTTTTATTTAAACTTAAATAATGAAGTACCTGGGCGACCGAGCTTTGCTCGGAGTTTTTGGTCAAAAGTACAATTTTCTTTTTTTTTAAACTAAAAACTTGAATTAATACAAAAAAAAGTAAAAACTTTGTATACGACTGGGATTCGAACCTGGACATCTATGATAATCAACCTTGGCCGCTTGACCACGGTGTTTATGCCCGAGCATATGAAATTAGCGACCATACTTTGCGTGCGTAAGAAAACCGCATGAAAACTCAAAAACACGCGTTTTCCCAGACATAAGACTAATCTAGATCGATTTATCGCCCTCGAAACCCTGTATACTAAATTTCATGAAAATCATTGGAGCCGTTTCCGAGATTCAGATTATATATATGTATAAACTGAAAAATTAGATTTGTCACGTACTTGTCGCATAAGAGCGATATATTAACTAGAAGATTACATAAGGTGTAGCTAAGGCATGCAAAGATAAACTATTTTGTAATAAATATCATGTTTTAAAATTACGGTTTTGCTAAGGATGTAAAACAAATCTATTTCTTTTTTATATTAAAGGATAAATAATATTCAGTAAATAAAAACTAACATATGCTTAATACAATATTATGTTTGTAAAATATTTATTTATTATAAAGGTATTATAAACACTATATAACAATATGTTACTTTTAGAATGTTATTTATTTAACATCTGAAAATTTGAAGTAAAATATGTAATAACAATTTTTATTTTGTGTCTCAATAATTCTAAATGTAACAAAATTTTAATTAAACTCAACTGAAACTTAAACTAACAAAAACGATAACACAACCTTCAGGCAACATAATATTAGATTTATATTTTTTAATTTAAACAATTACTGTTTATATTATGTAGTAATCTAATTTTTATTGAATTAGTCATTATTACCGATACAGAGGCCGAATTTATAGTTTTTAGAATTTTGTCTGTCTGTCTGTGTCCACATCACGAGAAAACCACTGGACAGATTTTGATGACATTTTGTATGCTGATAGCTGGTTATCCGGTTCAACATATAGGACACTTTTTACTGCGGAAAAATATCTCATCTCTGAAAAATCTATACAAAACAACCTGAGTAGAGACGAAACCCAGCGAAGCGAGGCTGAGTCGCTTGTAATATATAGTATAAAAGCAAGATAATAATAATACAAAACCCACCTTGGGTTTGAAAAAAAATATATCTTAGTTATTATTATCATCTTATGAAAAGAGCAGCTAAATGTTACTTTTGTAGCATACATGTGAAATAATAGTGTTTTATAAATGTTTGCACTATATATAAGTAATTGAAAGGTAACTTATAAACTTAGTTAAAACTAAAACCAATAATTCATAGTCACAGCTGTATATGATTATACTTGTACAAACTCAAGAATAGTTAAATAAAATGAATGTTGTAAGTAAACATAAAATTATAATGAGATCGGGCTGTTACATCTTTTTTAATATTTTAATGTCATATTGTAATATTATTATATATACTTAAGGTAAAATACATAAAATTTTAACCATTTTTGCTACCTTATGAAGAATAATCATGTAACCAATTTTATTATTTACATAACAATTTTTTAATTTATTAAAATTAAAATAACATGATATATTCATTTAGTTGTTACTGTTATAAAATAATTAAATAAAAAAAACAATAGATATAGTTAGTTATATGATTGCAATATTATATATTATTATGTTGAGCTGTTAGATGATGATTTCTGTTCATGACTTTTAATTATTTCTAATTTTGTGATTTTAATTGGCTCCTCCTTTAGATTACGTGATTTAGATAACAAGTACTGAGTGAATAAATCATTTTTATTGATATCCATGTCCGCTAAATTATTTTTATTATAGTTTATATTTGATATATTATTGCTTGTATTGTACACAGTATCACCAGGACTAGAATCAATTTTAAGTCTCTTCACCTTTCTATTTTCTGGCTTAGGATTTATGTCGACAGGTTTCTCATCAGTACTAGTTTTCCTTAAGCTTTCTGGCAATGCGTTTGATTTGAGCTTGACTAGGGTTGTGTTGACGACGGAGCAGTCAATTTGCATTAAGGTTACATGATCACTCATTAGAGAATCTGCAATATGAAAATGTTTCGTTAATGTTGATATAAATTATTGAAAAGTAAAATAAAAGACATGTTATTACATATTATATTATTTTCATTGTAGCATGGTGTGGGTGACATTAGGCAAATCGTTCCTTTTCACTAATTAACTAATGGTCCTATGATTTACTAACAGAATTACTGCTCTAATCTAAATAATATGAGCGTACGGTACTAAATCATAGAAACCTGTAGTAAATAAAAATGGAACCCCTAATACTATGTTACGATTTTTAAGTAAATTCAAAATATTAAAAAAACATTGAAAATTGTTATGCATGTAAAATACGTTATTTTAGGGACTTTAATGGCACAATGGATTGTTCATATTCATATAGGAAGTACTTTGTGTACATTATTTAAATGTTTGTTTTTTAAATATAAAATAACAATTTATTAACAAAAATGTAACACGTCGAAGTTTTACGTAACTGAAGTAACCATATTTTTTTTGTTTCATTTTGAACTGATAGTAAAACTAAGGTAGTATTTTAAAATATTCTTCTTTGAGATATTACCCTGAAAATATTTATTGATAATGGTATCAATTGAATGTTGTCACTTTCTAGTTCATATGCAGAACTAAAATACCATTAACTTAATGAATATTAGATAAGTATTTAACAGTTTTAATGGTAACATGTTAAAAATATTTCTTGTATTAATTAAAAAACCATCCAACTCACCATTTCCAGATCTTGCTGGTAGAATCAACGCCATTTTTGGTGGTCTCGTTACATTATGATTTACAGCTGGCAATAACAAATGTTCTCCCTTCCCGACACCTACTACATAGAATGTATCGTCTCTTCTATGTAATGCTTGAAGTAACGCGTTCCATTCACCAAATTCATCCACATTTAATTTATCAACAGGTTTCCTTAGTGGTTTATGATACAGCCTTTCATAATAAATTGCACTTTCAGGGAATATATCTTTATCTGTTTGTGAATTTCGTCTTAATCTTCTTAGGCGGGATCTCTCACGTATGCTTTTACCATTTTTAATTGTATGTGGCACGTCGATAATACTGTTGTCAAGATTTAATTTGTTGAAGAGTCTATATGTTTCCAATAGTCCACCTAAAATTTTATAAATAATTCTTTAGCTTTTAATTTACTATAAGATAACAAAATAGGTCAGCACGAATCGTATGAAGTCATAGTAAGTATAAGTACACTATCAATGTATGCACGCAAGTGGACTTTACATGACATGGGCAGTCCAACAGAAAGCTTCTTCTACAAACATTCTGGCCACTGTCCACCACAACAATCTCACGAAGATCATGCAGCAGACATTATTATTAAAAATAAATAAATTTGCACACACAAGTACACTCTCTATTTCTTTCTTAAATCCGACATTCCATAGGATTCGATATGACCCACAAGGGATCAGCCGCAGAACCGAAACCCACACCGCCAACTATTAACTCTCTACAGCTGTAAATTTCTTGACTTACTTGAAATCCTCAATAAATATATATACATACTAATTATATATACATAATAATTAGCTCAAATCGGGATTCGAACCGAAGACCTCGGAATAATAAAATAATTTTTCCTTTTGCTATTTAAACCTCTGAATATAACCCTTTCACATACCAGCTATTTGTTCTTCATCTAAATAAACATTATGTTTTTTTGGAGCGTTCGTCCAGTTTAAAGTTTTTCCTCCTCCAATCCACCGTTTAAGTTCGCCAACTATACGTATACTCTCGGTTTGATTGATTTTTGCAAAATCATTTAATGTAGCGTTCGGGCAGTCGACACCTTCATTGCTTCGATTAAATGAATCATAATCTGCAATAAAGGTTAAATATTAAAAAAAATCTCAGTAATAAGGCTGCGCACTGGCTTCAATTTTATTTTGTTTATTAAATCCTATGGCGTATTTACTACATTTTGAATAAAAATTATGCGTAAAATATTTGTCAATTTTTTGTCCAATAACATTCTAATATTAGAATAATCAATATATATAAAAATATAATTTTAATTACCAGTAGACATTGCATCTTTGTTATCATCAGTCCACAAGAGATGCCGTGAATTCACATGCGTTGTACTTGGTTGAGAAAATGTTCTTGTGTTCCACCTGAAAAAGATAATCCATACTAACATTACACATGAGAAAGTAACCCTGTCTGTCTGTTACTTGTTCACGTTGAAGCTGCTAAACAGTTTCGATGTTATTTGGCAAGGAATTCATAGATTGCATCATGAAGAAGGGCATATGCCTCGTTTTATCCCTATCCCTTTTATTTAGAATGCGAGCGTAAAAGCAAACTAAAAGATTCGTTTTTTATTTGTGTGTATTTCATAATGTATAAATATTAAATATTCTAGAAATTTGTCAATCATTAGCTCTTTTTTTCATAGCTATACAAAACTAATATAGTTCCAAAATAATTTTAAATATTATTAGTGGTATTATTATATTACTTTAAGGTTATATTTAGTGATATTATTCATTGACATTTGAAACACATCATTTATAATACAAGTCTCTGAACACTCCAATATAAGTTTTTGTTACTTACCCTATAACATTCCAATTAAGGGATACCATGAAGACCATTGCGAATATAACAGCTATGTTCTTTTTAGGTATTAAAATAGAAGTGTCGAGTCGTGGAATCTGAAAAGCATAAAGATTGCTTATTTTTATATAATTGTATTAGGATTTTGTGGCAAATATTCTATCTAGGAATAGTTAAAGTATTTTTTGTAATAAGAATGATAGTTTTAAAACTAAAAATACCCTTTTGACAAAATGATATAATATAGGGAAGTCAAAACGAATCAAATAAGTAAAGCTCATATTTCACCTTCTTATCTTTCAAATCGATACAACAATCAGAAGTAGGTTAAAGTCGAATTCCAAGGTTTGATTATATGTTACTATTAAATGTAATACTCTAACATAAGTTCCGCTCGCGTTCACATTTTACGCATAGGTACATATTTTATTTCATGGATTAAGCAAGCATAATTTGCATAGATTTAAGTGCCGTGAAATTAGATATTAAAACACTGGATGAGTAACTGGGTTTTGTGAAGTAAAAATTAATGCTTTGTTGCAGTTTAATATAATAATATAATTTTCTTAAATTGAATAATTTGATTTTTCAAATTAATTTTACAAACCATATTAAAAACATTTTTATATAAGTAAATACTTTGTTTATATAATAATTTTTATTTTTTTGCATTTATAGTTTAGTAAAATCAAGGCCATAAAATCGTACCTTTCGAGATCTTCCTTTAGACTCTAGTTCATCCCTTAACAACTTATTTTCAAGGCGTAATCTCGCAATTTCTTGGTGGGCCTCTAATAATTGTTGTTCCAATGCAGTAACATACTCTTTTTTCTTTTGCCGAGATTGACATGCAGACTCTCTGTAATTATATATTAATATGAGTATGATTATGATTTATAAAACTTTGAAGTATAAATAAATACAACTTTTGAAATTATAAATAACTTAATTTCGAAGCAACACCAAACTTCCCACAGTATGCCAATAACATTTCATAAACGATGACTGATGATGACAATATAGAAGTTAATTCTCCTATCATAAAAAGAGCATACCTATTCTTGATCATTCTCTGCTGTTTTTTAAAAGCTTTAATTTCAGCTTCACTAAATGTAGATAAGTCTATAAAGGAACTCTTTGGCTCATCCTTTATACTTTGGTGTGTGTTAGAAGTGTGACGGACATCTGGGCTAGGGCTTATCACTATGCTCCTTGTAGACGGGGGAGTCTGAAACAATATATTCTGAAATACATATCTATAAATATTTTCTATAGCATTAACTATTCAAGCGTAAATATCTATTTCCTGAGGTCTGCAACTGATGCAATAGGGCATTGATGCAATTTCAGTTCATGTTTTTGTACTGTTTAGTTATTATTTGATCAATTTGTAATTTGACTTATATTATATGACTTTTTTAACATTAATTAAATTAATTATTTTAGGTGACAGGTGTTGACTTATAAATATTTGTTATTGTATTTGAATTGTATTAATTATAATTTAAAGTATATGTTTGATTATGTAATTATAGCGAATGTTATGTACACTTATAAAGACATACATATCGAAATACTTATTATTGTCTTATAAATGTATATGAATGTTTTAATATGTGTGTTGTTAGTGTACTTTTCTAAATAAATTAAAAATATATATGTTTCTTATTGGTGTTAAGTAGTGAAGGGCCGAATGTAGTTTGAACCGAATACGAACTTCGGCCGAACATTCGGTGAGAATGAAAAATTCGGCCGAGCTTCGGTTAACTTCACCGCGCTTTCACGAGAGACACGTTGTTTTATATATATTTTTTTCCTCACTAATAATTAAAAATACTTAATGTTTCTGAGTATTTAGTTAGTGAACTAAAAACGTGATTTTTTAAATTCAATTTACTAATTGTAATCAAGATGTTTGTTAGAAGAATACTAAGTTTATTTCATTTTATCTATTTAATTAGACAAAGATTTTTGAGACTGTTAAATTATGAAGATCTAGCTTAATTTTTTATCGCAAACGTGTTAAAGTTTACATATTCCTAACTAAAATAAATGACTATGCAGACCGATCGGAATCCGTTTATTTTTAATAGAAAAAAATATTAAAACCTGAAGTTTAACGTCTTTAAAATGTTAGCAGGTAAATAATGATCAAAAATCCGTAAAATGCCCCCGATGTCTCTCCGATGTGTCTCACAAGGCTACTCCCGAGAAATGTAGGGATGAAAGGCGTTGAAAAACATTTTTTTTATTTGTAGCTTACTGTGACGTCCTATCGAAAAATGTTCTCTACAAAAGTTGTAGGTCTAGTAAAAATCTATAACTTTTATAGATTACATTTATTACAATAACCTCATAGTTTGAGAGATATTTACAAAATACAGTTTTTCAAATTTTTCTTGGTTTTTTATTTTTAATTTCTGCAATTTATTTTTATTTTTATGAAACTAACGAAATGCAATTTTCGAAATATAACTATTTTTCAACGCCTTTCAGCCCTCCATTTCTCGGAGGTAGCTGGACTTCGGGGGCATTTTACGGATTTTTGTTTCCACATACCTATTAACGTTTTGAAGATATACAACTTCAGGTTTTATTTTTTTTGTTCCCAAACCGAATTCCGATCGGACTAATGAGTATATAAAATACTTCATTTTATTTTATTGTTATGACAAACATGCTTTCTATAAATTTCAGTCAAAATAGTGGAGGTAGGTATTTTTTTTTCTATTGCCGAATGTTCGGCATTTAAAACAAACTTCGGCCGAATGCCGAAATTCGGCTCAAACTGCCGAAATTCGGTTAAAACGAATGTAAAACGAATTTCGGCCCATCCCTAGTGTTAAGTGTTATCATGATTACATTTACATTACTAAATTATAAACATTTTAAATATATTACCATAATTTGCAAGGTTTAAAAAGGCTTTGAGAAATGAAGCAGTCAAGCCAGTTATGTTGACCTTTGAATAGATTAATGATCATTTTATAATAATACAAAATAGGAATTAGATTATAATATTTTATTTTATTAATAACCAATATACTTTACCTCAATATGGTAACCATTATTTGATATTTGGATTGGCTTGTTGTTTGATAGTGGTGTTATAGAAATCTTGCCATTCTTGGTACTCTCTGCTGGTATATTTGCTGGTTTAGTCAAAAAAGTTGTGATAGGTTTCAAAATTCTTGGCAATCTTTTCTCACTTAATAACTGATTATGTCTATCTTCCTTTTTTATTCCATTAGAATTTTCATTCACCACATTGAAAATTGAATTAGTAAGATGAATAGTTGTGCCTAAAAAAGAAAAATAATAAATAAATAACACACACATATATTAGTGCTGTACCTTTTTGTTTATGGCTTACAATTACCTACAACTACAATGTATTGATAATTTACCTTCTACTTTATTTGCTATAGTTTTTACAAAATTTTGTTGATAAGTATTGTCTTTCTTTACAACCTGTAAAATATGATACAAAGTTATTTTTAAATGTAGCGAAAATCATATGGATAATATTATTTTATTTTGAATATAATAAAATATGAATAACAAAAAAATACAAGATATTCTTTTTACCTTAATGACACCATTTTCTATTGCCATAACATGACTGGATTTTTCGAAAACTTTTAAACTTGTTTGTTTACTTTCAGAAAGCTCTAGATTTGTACTATCAGGTGCTAAAAATTAAGGTTATAATTAAATATGAATTAATGTCTCTAAATAAATAATTTGTTATTGTAAATACCTGTTTTCTGAAGAAATAATTCAACATCTTCTAATTTTAATTCATTGGTTGGTTCATTGTGGAAGTTCCAGTCAAGAGGCGACTGAGATGAATGTCTGGCTGATGAATCACTGGATCCACTATAAAAATTGTTGTATAATTAAACCCATGTTTATTTAATGTTGTTACATTTTTGTGAAGTAAATTTTCATTAACAATTATTAAATTAAAACGAATAAACGGATTAAAGAGTATTAGTCTTTCCTCACTTCTTAGAATCATCATCACTGCCTGAATCAGAGTTGCTGCTTTCATTTGAGGAAGATTTAATACTTTGTACTGGTGATATTATTGGTACCAGACCAGCATCGGCCAGGATTTCACTAGGAGATGCATCTGCAACATCTAACCAGGATAGTTCATTGTACTCCTGGGTTAATTGATCCAGGAGATCTTCATCTGAAAATCAGTACATTTTATTATATATAAGAAATCTATTTTCAAAATATGACGTATATTATTTAGAACGCAAAAAAACTAAAATAAAATCATTTCTACCATTGTTAGTAAGGATGATAAATAGTTATTATAAATAGAAAGTGCTATAAATAATAACTCATAATTAACTTCTTACTTAAAAATTGGTTAACTTGAAGGTCAGTACAAGCATTTATTGTTTCACGATGAATAAACATGTACATTGCACTAACTTTTGTAATCAGCCGGACATATTGTAAACTAAAGTAATAATGTAATTACCGTATAAACACTCCTTACTTTCGACCAGTACGTCCGTATCCATGGAAGTATTCACTTTATGAAATCTTTTTTCGACTATATTAAAGATTTAAATAATTTTATCACAACACAATACGCCTCATCCAACACGCAGGTTTATTTATGTTGTTTTAATCTGTGATTTCATGATTTGTGACTTCAGACTTGTGATGTTTTGCATTGTGCATTGCTTGGCAAAAGCATATTCGTTTTGAAATATTTTTCTTACAAATAATGGTGACCGTGAATTCATGTATGAGAAAATATAACGTAAATTAGAAAAAAATATTTTATTTATAAATTTAAACAAAGCGATGTTAATTACTGATGTCCTAACATTTATAACTTTAAACATACTCAAATGAATGGAACGTCACCTTTTTGACATAAGACCGATTGTTTGATGTTTCGTTTCTGCAGCCGATTGATTGAATCAATCAGTATTTCTTCTGAAATATAACTTTTAATGCTCTATCATGCTTTGTTTGCAATGTCTTATGTGATAAAGTATATTTAAATGCTTTTATGCAAACATTTAGTGTGTGCAAGATGTCATCGATGTGTTAAACGAATTGGTTCCGAAAATGTCTGTCCCCGAGGAGCAGGACGATTTCATATTTCGGCCGCAACAACATTTAGACTCTAAATGGCTAAATCCTGACTTACAAGAGGCTCTTCATGATCCAGAGGCATTATGTTCTATGTTTAACAGCTTATTGCAAGACAGGGAAATATATTTCGATGCCAGAAACGGATTGGTCAATGGTGCTGGTATTACGGCTAAACTTGGAGATAGTGGAAAATATTATTGTGGCTTAAGAGTAAGCATTATGAGGAAAACCATAAGCTATATTTAAATATAATGTTTTAGTTTAAGTATTACTATTTTGCTGCAATATTCTTAATGCACATTTTTCAGATCTTGACATGTACTTGTTGTGATGGTCTTTGTGGTCCTCACTCGGGATGCGCATGCACACCTTGCACAGCTCTTTCAACTGAAGAAGAATTACGTGCCTCTATTCAATCAAAAATTGTTGCACCACAACCCTCTCTTCAGGTTATAGATGATATAAAATGGAAGCTAGATCCAGGTGAAATAAACTGATATTTCTTTATTCTTATATCAAAAGACTTTTCTTAATCAATAGTATATACTCTTATTAAATAAAACTAACTTTTCGGATTATTTCGCGGATTTATTTTGATTTTTGGTTCCCGACGTTTCAAATGCTTTACAGCATCCATGGTCACGAGAGAGAATTGTAAAAACAAATTTGTAAAAGTATATATTAATAGTGTTGCTTAGTAAGTTGTTTTTAAATAATAGCAAACTAAATTAAAATGATTATCCTTAATTAATTTTAACTTTTTTAAATTACACATAGAACAATTATATGGCTTTAATAATTAATACTATATTTTTATATTTTTATTTATGGTTATAAATATAATAATGGCAACACTAAATATAGATTACTAATAAATATTTTTTAAAATTGTAATAATTATAAAAATAATAGCAAAAATTAAATAAATAATTTTCCATATTCAATTATAATTAAAATTATAAAAATATTTAAAGTTAAAAATATTGTAATGTAATTGGTGCAATTTTCATTTTGTTAATTGTGGGTAGGCTGTCTGTAACAACTATATCTTTAAGACATGTAACACCTCAGTCTCTCCCGTGACCATGGATGCTGTAAAGCATTCGAAACATCGGGAACCAAAAATCAAAATAAATCCGCGAAATAATCCGAAAAGATAGTTTTATTTAATAATGTCAAACATTCGCGTAAATCTAAGAAAGTATTAGTATATACTCTTGTTTTATACTAAGAGAATATGTCAGAAAAATATAAGTATATTTTCTTAAAATATTCTGTTTTTTTAAATCTTTTAAGAACTGTTCTCATAATCTAGTAAAAGAAACACCAAACGCTAATGATGACTATTACTATACATGCAGCTTATTTGAATTCTTATTAAAAATAGATAATTTCAAATTTGATAAAATTTCTATTACTTATGTCTCAAATTATTTTAAATATAATTATGATTTCTAATACATAGGACCAGAATGTCTGCAAAATTTAATGGATTCTCTAATTTGGGAGCAGCGTGTGAGAGCCATCAACACTACTGTTAGTTGTCCATTTATATCTCAAATTCGCCGCCTAATTGTTCTTTGTCATAGACACCTTGTAGCTGTTATAAGGTAAAAATATTCTTGAAATTATATTAATTATTTAATATCATACTTATTTTTATATATTATACTGTGGCATAATTTTCTTAAATTTTTAGGGACCATAATAATCATAAAGATGTAAAAAAGGTTACATTGGAGAAAAAACCTCCTCATGGTGTTAGCAATAGAGCACTTAGTAATGTGGTTAGTACCTTAAACAAGCAAGTGGAACTCTCAAGTGAAACTCAAGAGGAGACTGATGAACAAACTGAAGATTCTGAGAGGTGTGTAGCAAAATTTTCATACAAAATTAATAGTATCTCCTTCAGGTAAAAACGGTCTAGCGGTAGTGCTTTCTGAAGAGCTTCGGAATGGTCTCCTTGAAGTTGACCGTTGCTGTGACCGGCTGATGCGGGTAAAGGTACTGATTGAGGGTGTTACCACCAACTTAATCAGTGCCTATGCCCCCCAGGCAGGCTGTAGTGAGGCCGAGAAGGAATCCTTCTGGGAGCAGTTTGAAGAGGTACTACGCGCTGTACAGACTACCGAAGTGATAGTTGTTGGGGGGGACTTGAACGGTCATGTAGGTAAGGCAGCTGAAACGTATGAACGTGTCCACTGTGGTTTTGGGTTTGTTCGTCGCAATGCAGAGGGAGCACACATTCTAAGAACCTGTATCGCGTCTGATCTGGCCATCGTGAATACGTTCTTCCAAAAGAATGCTCAGCACCTTATCACGTATAAGAGCGGTCCTCACTCAACTCAAATTGACTATCTCCTGACCAGACGGTGTCATATTGGCAAGGTGACTAACTGCAAAGTCATTCCGGGTGAAAGCCTAACGGCCCAACATCGTCTCCTTGTCATGGACTATATGTTTACCCCGAAAAAGAAACTAGCCGAGAAACGCAAACCTAGAATCAAGTGGTGGTTACTGAATGGACCGATGCGGATGGACTTCTTGGCGGAGGTTGAGAAGCAAAATGTATCGAATGACACCGAAACCGCCGAGGAGGCTTGGGATCGAGCCCAGTCAGTAATTACCGCGGCAGGAAGGCGAGTTCTTGGCGTTTCTAAGGGAGGACGAGTCATCGACAAGGAGACGTGGTGGTGGAATGATCAGGTGCAGGGGGCGATTCGAGAAAAGAAGACTGCGTTTAAAGAGTGGCAGCAAACCAACACTGCTGTAGATAGAGAAGAGTACAATGCAGCCAAACGTGCTAGCAAGAGAGCTGTAGCCAGAGCCCGCAGCGATAGCTTATCACCATTATATGATAAGCTAGAAACTGCGGAGGGGCAAAAGCTCATATACAAGCTGGCACGTGCCCGGGATAAAGCGACGCAAGATATTACAAAATGTCTTTGCGTCAGGGACTCCCAGGGCACGCTGCTTTGTAACCAGGCCTCTGTGAAGGAGAGATGGAAAGATTACTTCCGGGAGCTCCTGAACAACCAGCACTTATATAGTCTTCCCCCCGAACCGCCCCCTAACCTAGGACTTGTTGCCCCAATAACACCTGACGAAACTCGGGATTGTCTTCGCCGCATGAAGAACAGAAAAGCGGTGGGACCTGACGACATACCGATCGAGGCGTGGAAATCGTTAGGCTCTCTTGGTGTACTCATGCTTACTGATCTCTTTAACTGCATCCTGAACACTGGAAAGATGCCTAACCAGTGGCGCTTAAGCTTCATTACCCCTATATACAAAGGCAGGGGCAGTGTTCAGGATTGCGGTAGTTATAGAGGGATCAAAATCATGTGTCACACCATGAAGCTGTCTGTGAGTCTGCTGTCTCTGAGTGTCAATATGGGTTCCAGCCGGGATCGAGCACCATTGACGCCATTTTTGCCCTTAGAACTTTGGTCGAGGCTTACAGGGAGAAAAGGAGAGCTCTGCATTTGGCATTTTTGGACTTGCAGAAGGCCTTTGACTGTGTGCCTCGTCAATGCATCTGGTGGGCGTTGCGATTCAAGGGCGTGCCCGAAATCTATATTGACATTATCAGAGACATGTACCACAATTCCACTTCCGTGGTTAGAACCGCTGTTGGCGATACCGAGCCCTTTCCGATCACTGTAGGGGTCCACCAAGGCTCGGCTCTCAGCCCGTTCTTGTTCAACGTAGTACTAGATGTTGTCTCTGCCTGCATCCAGGACCAGCCTCCATGGCTGATGATGTATGCAGATGACATAGCGCTCGTTGATGAGAGCCGTCTGGAGCTGGAGCGTAGGGTCAACCTGTGGAAGGGTACGCTTGAGAACGGCGGTCTCAAACTAAATGTGGCAAAGACCGAGTACATGGCTTGCGGGAGTCCGGACTCTAGCACCATCCAAATAGGGCTTGAACCAGCCGTTAAGTCGGAGAAGTTCAGGTACCTTGGATCCGTCCTACACGAGTCCGGTAGCATCGACCACGACGTTCAAGCCCGTATAAGCGCTGCTTGGGCCAAATGGCGAGAGGTCACAGGTGTGGTCTGTGATCGCAGAATACCGCCCAAGCTCAAGGGACAGATATACAAGAGCATCATCCGACCGGTCCTTTTATACGGGAGCGAGTGTTGGCCAGCGCTATCTCGGCACACTCAGGAGCTTCACGTCACGGAGATGAAGATGCTGAGGTGGATGTGTGGCGTAACGCGGGCTGACCGCATACGCAACACGTTCATCCGGGGTAGTCTCGGGGTCCGTAACGTAGCGGATAAGCTCCAAGAGCGGCGTCTGAGGTGGTATGGTCATATCGCACGTCGGTCTGAGGACTATGTCGGAAGGAAGTGCCTTGATATGTCTGTCCCTGGAACAAGACCTCCCGGGCGCCCAAGAAAGCGATGGCTGGATGTCGTGAAGAAGGATATGAGAGCCAATGGACTCACACAGGATGACGTCAAAGACCGTGCAAAGTGGAGGAGACTTAGTAGGAAGGCAGACCCTGGCAATAGCCGGGATTAATAATGCCAGGCAGAAGAAGAAGAAGATATAGTTTACATGATGATATTATAACACTTTCTGACTTATAAAACTTTTGCTGTTATTTTTGTTACTTTATAGTTATATTAAAACTCAAACTTAAGTTAAAACTTTCAGATTTAAAATTTTGAATTTAAAACTTTAAAAAGATGATTGATTCAGACATCTTTTTTACTAAAATTTGTCCTTTAATTGCCATCCACACATCTGCTTACAGTTTTTTAATTGATTACATGATTAAACTCAAAAAAATATTTATTTATTTTATTTGAGACAACATATTTTAGCTCATATCATATATTTAAAAGACTTTTTTTTAAATAAAATTGTTGTATTTCTGCTTATGTAGATATGTACCGGAAAAATTAATTCAAAAAAATATTTTTAGTGCATTCGGTCTAGCACGAGTAGGCGCGCGAGCTGCTTTACGTCTCGCTCTGTCGCTCGTACGACGCGCGTGGCGATGTGGTGAAGATGCAGACGTGTGTTCAGCTTTGCTGAAAGACGCTTTGGACGCAGTGCGAGCGTTACCTGACGCGGCACTATATGCGGGTGGTGGGCAGTTGAATTCCATCGCACAACAAGCACCACGCTCGCAGAAGATATGGGCGGAAGTGGTGGACAGTGCTGCCAAGTTCCTACATCAGGTTGTTGCTGGGTAAGTTTTGATATAATAAATTTAGGTATTTTATGGTTTAATGTTATAATGGCATTATTAATCATTGATTATTAAAATCAATTAAAATTACCAATTGGTAAAAGTGTATTATTAAATCACTATAATTATTTCCACACTTTAACTACGAGTAGCTCCAAGCTTGCTACCTGTGCCCTCATGTTCTTCAGTAACTTCTACATTCGTGATAACATAAAGAATAATAGCGTTATTGTTAACTTACGAGAGTCGTGTCTTCAGGCCCGTTAAAGGCCGACTATGCATTCCGCACCCACAAATTTTCGCCTTTGTAATATTAGTGTGATAGATAGAATATCTAGGTTTTCAATAAATGTGTTATGTTTAGTACATATATTACAATTTTATTAAACAGGGAAGTAGGATGCAACGTACCGCAAGGAGATTGGCGTACGTCACTATGTGTATGGGTCGAGCTGTGTGCTCGCCGCGCTGAACTACCCGCTTTGTTGAAAGCAGCAGATGTTCTCGTCACTTTACCACCAAAGCAGAAACGACAACCAGACAATAGGTAAAATAGTGTAAAATACTTATGGTTTATTGTAATATTGTGTGGTTAAAAATGTAAATATGGTAAGACATTTTGACCACACGTTTGGTTTAGTTTGTAGTGCTTTGCCAGGCTGCCTGCGTTCGCGGATGCAGTCCCACTGGGGGCATTCGTTTGTGTGATGAGCACGAATGTTTGTACTCCAGTCATGGGTTTTTATATTTATAATATGTATGTATTTAAAGTTATATATGTGTAGTGTATGAACTATCTGGTATCCATAACACAATTCTCGTAGCTTACTATGCTAGCTAACTTGATGATGCTGTGTGTTAATGTCCCAACATATTTATTTATTTATATATGCATGTATATGTATGTGGATTTTACATGGTGATAGAGGATGCGGAGTTCAAGCCACATTTCTTTACTTACAATTTCATTTATTTTTTGCATTATTTACTTTGTAAAAGTAATATCATGGATTTACAGAATTGTGCTAGAAGAATGCACAGCGCCATTAGGCCCTTTTCTAAGACGCATGGCAAAAGTGAGCGCTCCTAATCCATTGATCAATAGTGAATCAAATGCAGAGAGTAATCCAACAGAAGTGTACCTCAAGTAAGTTCATATTAAATTGTAGATTGTAGTTGCCAATGAAGTTACCCATTTCTTTGAAAGATATTTAAATTTCAACATATTAAATAAGTGCTTAAAAATGCAAATCACAGGATTGTTCATAGTTGCTGTAAATGCTTATATATTTATTATTTCCAAACTGGTAATTGATATTTATATACTGATTATATATAAACTTTTTATTGCTATTTTTACTGCATTGTACCTTTGTAGGGAGCTAAATATCCCAAGTGGCGATGGACTAATGAGTGTAAAAAAAGCAGGAATTGCATTGCTCTGCCATTTGGACAGACTCGGTGCTCCTTTATTACCACCTTTGAAGGGATTTGTCACCGTAAGTTTTAATCTAGAAATAAAATAAAGTTAAATTTTGTGTACAAAAATTTTTAGTTTTAAAATTTATTGAATAATATTTTTAGTGTACAGAGTCAGCGCAAGAAGTAGTATCAGTTGGATCAGGACTCTTGCAATTGGGCAGTCTACGTATACAACAAATAGCGTGTGCTGAAAAATTAGCCTTGCTATTAAATCATGATGGTGTTGTGTACACTATGCCTTATGATAGTATGACTCCGCATCTGGTTCCAGGTTGGTGTTACGTCAGTGTTAGTTAATTATGTTATCGTTAATTGTACATTTTAGTCCCCTGCCGTTCAGTTTGTGTTTGTCCAGACTCATCTCGGAAACTGCTGTATGGGCTTTCAGTTGTTTCGTTTCACAAACATCTGAACGAATTTTGATGAAATTTTAATGTAATCTCTCGACGACACGTTTGGCTCAGTTTGTAGTGATCCTACTTGCTGTGCCAGCGGTCGCGGGTTCGAGTCCCGCTGGGGGCATTCATTTGTGTGATGAGCACGAATGTTTGCACTCCAGTCATGGGTGTTTATATTTATAATATGTATGTATTTAAAGTTATATATGTGTAGTGTATCAACTATCTGGTATCCATAACACAAGCCTCGTAGCTTACCATGGAACTAGATGGCACTGTGTGTTAATGTCCCCACATATTTATTTATTTATTTATTATAATGTAGCTTATACGTCAGAGTAACATATATATAATTGATAAAGCTACAGTCAGCGCCGGATTTACACTAGGGGAACTCGGGGCTAGTGCCCAGGCCGGCAAATTTTTAGAGGCGGCAAAATTCGGAGGGTGGGAAAAAAATTCTCTTCGCGTTATCGAAATGCTTTATTTAATTTCCATAAAAAATAAATAATTAAAAAAGATTAACTAGTACATTTTTCGAAAAATTGAAATCATTTATAAATATTTTTTTGCATTTTTCATAAAATTAATTAATATTAAAAAAAATGAGCTTCATCGAGATTTTACCCATTTTATGCAAAATTTCTATAACTGGGCGGCATTTTTTAAAATGTCCCAGGGGCGACGGTAGGATTGAATCCGGCACTAGATATAGTAATACATAACGCTGCCGAAGCCACGGGAAAACGCTAGTTCATAAACTTAAACCGTATATCTCAACAGGTCTAGAAAACAAGATAATAACACAAGTAGCGTGCCACCCGACCGGCCGCCACTACCTGTGCCGGTCGTCGTGCGGCGGCGCGTGGTCGTGGGGCGCGGGCGAGGACGGGCGGCTCGGGCACGGCGACACGGCAGCGCGCGACGCGCCGCAGCCGCTGCACCACCTCGCGCACCACGACGTCGTGCGCGTGGCCGCCGGGCATGCGTGCAGGTGCGTGTGTTGTGGGTTTGTGGAAGGAAATGTAAAATTAGTTACAAGTAATTATTACGGTCAGTATAGGGTGGGATTTGTTGTAAGCACCCCGTACCCGAAGAGTGTCAAAGGGACCCTATTACTAAGCCTCCGCTGTCCGTCCGTCTGCCTGTCAGCGGGTTCTATCTCATTAGTATATAGTGGTATATCTTGTATGTACGGAACCCTTCGAGTGCGAGTCCGACTCGCACTAAGCAAGTTTTTTGATATTTATATAAGTGGTCTGGTGGATTGATGTCTTTTGAGGTATAATTACTTAAAAAAATATGGAATTATGAGAATGTACATACTAAAAAATACTACTGAATATATAAGTTTATCGCTTTCTGATTATTATTTACGTATTATGTGGACTACCACTAATGTTTATTATAAACTAGTGCCTTATCCTCGCTACGCTCGGGTGCGTCCCTAAGGTGGGTTTTAAAAAGATATAAATAGTTATTAGCCAGCGTTAGCCATGTACATTTAATTATTTTTTTTCGTGAATTTTTCCAATGTTTTAATGGTTATTCTGCTATTCGGGACGGAGATAAATCCAAAAAATCAAAGATCATAAAAATCGATCTCGCAGTTCTTGAGTTATAAATGGTGTAATTAACCGGACTTTGTTACTCAGTGCGGTGATAACATCACGAGGTGCCCTCTATACATGGGGGCGCGGCGCGCACGGCCGCCTCGGGCACGGCACCATCGAGAGCTGCCTCACGCCACAACCGGTTTCCTTCAACGCACACAATATTGAACGCATTATAGACGTAGCTCTTGGTAATTATTATGAAAAAAAATGTAAATAAAATGTATATTATCAATTATGTAATGAATTTAAAAATATTATATTAGGAAAGCTGTAGTCATAATGCATAAATGAAACAGAAATGGTCAGAATTTTTATTGCATCATATTTACATCACTATCTATGTTTTATTTACATAATTCTCTTTTATTCAGCTTAAACTGAAAATAACTATATATTGCATTGCTATCATATTTAACACCTCCAGGAAAATTTCTAAGAAATTAATTAAATTTCTAACAAATCTATTGTTAACTGTAACGCCGGCGTCTCCGCGGTCGTTGAGGGAATAAAAACGCTGGAATATCAGTATTTCTTTATTCTATGTTCCTCCACATTGTTTGTATCCGAAATGATCAAGCAACCAAATAACACTTACTAAATGTAAACTTGATCTGATATCAGGGTGGGGCGAAGGGCAAACCCTGTGCTGCACGTGGGAGGGCGCGGTGCAGGTGTTCGGCGAGGGCGAGGCGGGGACGCCGCGCGCGCTGGCCGCGCTCGCCATGTTCCGCGTCACGCGCGTGTACACCGGCGAGCACTGGCACGCCGCCTTGACTGATGGGTGAGTGGAATGGAGTTATAGTGCATATGTTAAATATTGAAAAAATGTTATTTTTTCGTATTATTTATTAACTGTATTGTTGAATCTGCTAATATTATATTTTATATGGTGACTTTGTATATATTTATTAAATAAGTTTACCTATAAAAGAATATGGTAGTACTCTAGCTAGCTGCGAGTATAAGAATAGAAAGACTAAAAATATAATCAAAAAGAACAAAAACTTCTGTATATATTTTTTATTTATTTTTTTTCTCTACGTAATCGCAGTTTTTCACCTTTGTTTTCATATTTTTACAATTTACATTTTTATAGTGGACAAGTCTATACATGGGGTAAAGGCGATGGATATAGACTGGGACATGGAAATACGGAATCAATCAAAATGCCTAAGTTAGTGGAAGCCCTACAAGGTATGTCAATTTTGTCGATGTTTTTAAGTTATGCTTTATTTTTATTGTCTTTGTAGAATTTCTTTAATTATTAATTATATAATATTTAATACTTTTATTTTTTCTTAATAAAATGTTTCAGGAATAAAAATAGTAGATCTGTCCCTGGGTGTGTCGCATGGTGTGGCGCTATCCGCCGAGGGCGTGCTGTACGCGTGGGGCACGCAGGAGCGGGCGCAGATATCTAATCAAATTCCACAACCTTTGCAAGTGTTTAATCCATCATTTAAAGCTAATGGTTAGCAAATATATGTACTTTTGTTTTAAACATTATTTTATTCCTTATTAAAACACTATTACTTTTGCAGCAAATATAAATTATGATAATAATATATTGTCCCAAAAATTGGTGTCCTTCCATTTTTACAATACGATTAAATAACGCAATATATGCAAAGCTAAGCTATTTTTTTTAGAAAATGCGTTATACTTTTAGGTGTCGCTAGTGGACCATCTCAAGTATTTTCATGGAGTGAAGAAAACCCACGAGACCTACCTTCTTCTCTACCTTTCGTCATTGACTTATCAGATAACACATTTAAGTATGTTACATTATATAAAATAAAAATGAATCGAAAAATGAAAAAAAATTGAGATGCTTATTACATTATTTTTTTTATTGTTTTTAGGTTCTTAGAAAGACTTCTAAGAATTGTAGTGGAACAAAGTGGAACTGCCAATATAAGAGATAATGAATGTTTAGCAATCTCTTGTTTGAATCTCCTTAGGTTACAAGTAAGTTATGTGTACATATTATAATTTAATATAACATTTAAAATTATAACGTATTTTTATAAAATTATAAGTCCATACTTCGTTTATCTATATGTATTTATTTTTGTGGAAGTTTGTGTGTCTGATTCATGCAGAACTTAGTCCAAGTTATAAAGTTTTTTTCCACGCTATCGCGTTTTAACGGATTTGAATATAATTTAAAATAATTACAATGAATATAGTATAATTCTTGTACATATGTACATATTCTAGATTAACACATACTTGTAAATAGACTATTTTTTATCAATATATGTACCTTGCGAGCGGAATCATGGTTAAATAGATCGTTAAAGTCGATCATTTTTTGAAATTATTATAGAAAATTGTGGTTAAGCACTGTCTGTAACAAGTATATAATGACCCTGAGACCTCTAAAACTTTAGTCTCCCCCGTGGCCATGATTGTTCTAAAGCATTCGAAGCGTCGGGAAGCAAAAATTAAAATAAATCTGCGGGAAAATTCAAAAAGATAGTTTTATTTTATCTGTAAAAAGAGCTTTTTTTTATTTCGTAATTAAAATAATTGTAGGTGCACGCATGGCAATGCGCCCGAGGCCCCGACAGCGTGGACGGCGAAGGCGCGGGCCGGCCGTGGTGCGCCGGCGTGCACGCCGCGCTAGTGGCGCTGGTGGAGGGGCGCGCGGGCGCCGCCGCCGCCGCCGCCGCGCGCCGCGCGCTGGCCGCCGCCTGGCCCGTGCTGCTGCCTACGCCGCAAGTGCGCGCGCAGCATCTTATTGCTTTGTTGCCGCAAGGTTAGATATTAAGTTTTTTTTTGTTATAAATATTATCGAGTATTAATGCTGCAGATGAGTATAAATGTTGTTGTGAAAGCACTCCAATGAGAGAACGACTCTAGTTTTAAAAGTATTAATAAAAATTGAAATTTAATAATTTGTTATGAAAGGGTATTTCAAAAATATACATTTTATGTCACCTCAATTGCAGAATGTACTATATTATTGATATATTCAATATAATAGTTGACCCGATAGATGTTGTCCTAAGCAAATTTCATACAAAAATGTCATAAAAAAGAGTGGTTCAGAATACTATAAACCTTTACCATGTATAATAAAGAATTAAGAATTTTATCATATAGAAGTCTTACATAGTATGAAAATTGTAAATATCGAAAATATAAAGAGAACGAATATTTAAAATATTTAAAATATACAGGTTCTGTACCAGCAAGTACCGGAGCTCGTTTTATGACGGAGCTGTTAGTGTGGTCCTTGCTGGGCGGCGGCGGACTGAGAGATGCCTTACGCAACGCCCTTCAAACACACTCATCAGACGCGTACAACCATTTACAATTGGATGAGTAAGATACATATTATGTACAAGCTTTTACTGTGGCTTTTATATTTTTATTCAATTCATAACTAAATATGTCAACTTTAACACTATTATAACTATATTAAATGATTTCAGTGAATATGATCAAATTGATATAGTGACGGGACAGCGCGGGGTGCCAACCACAACTATGTCAGAAGATACCGAAACTATTCAAGGTAATCTTTTACATAGAACGTTGAATCTCCTAAAGTAACGTTATGTACATATTATGTTATATATTGAACTGTTTAGCACAAAGTATTGGTTAACGATTTTCATGTAATATATTATTTTTGTGTTTCTAACAGCACCTTGTGTGGATGAATATCAAATAAATAATAATACTATAAGTGGTGAAAGTGGAGCTTCGGTACCTTTAATGCATTTGGTAAGCAGTAAAATTATTATTTATGTTATATTATAATTATTAGTTATGTATAAAATATCTAGGTAATATAATAAGACACGTAATATATTTTTTGTATTTATTTACAGGTGAAGCATTTGATACGAAATACCAGTTGTCAGACTCAAATGCATATAAATTCTATAATGAATGGTGACACTAGCAAAACCGATGAACTCAAGGGTCATGATACTGTGAGTCCAAGTTGTGATCTTCTCATACGATTTCAAAGGTAAATTGATCGAAGTGTTGTATTGTTGTTTTTTTTCTATTTTTTACAATATGTCGTGTGTTTTAATTAACATATTATAGTTTAGAATATAATCGTTTTTATCGTTTAACTAGCGACTCACCCTGGCTCCGCACGGGTTCGTCCCTTGGGTGGACCACCCTTATGACTTAGGGGTATGAAAAATAGTTTACGTCCTATTCTCAGACCTACTGAATGAATATACACGCAAAATTTCATAAGAATCGGTTAAGCCATTTCGGAGGAGTTTTGTAACGAACACTGTGACACGAGAATTTTACATCTTTTAATAATAAAAATCCTACAATTTATTATTAATTAGTGGTTATTTGCAATTTATGAATATTTTCTAATTCTATTATTATTATTATTGAAATGAGAAAGTTTGTATGCGTGTGAGTTGTATGTTTCTTACTCCTTCATGCTGAACGGTTGGATGAATGTGGATGAAAAGTACACATATACTATTATCTGCAGTATCACTGTTAGGCACCCTAGGAACGCATCCAAGAGAAACGGGGATAAGTCGCTATTTAAGTATATTTTACATTGACGTAGAGAAATCACGCAACTTCTTTATTTATGTTATTATTTCGTTAGTTGTTAACATTGTGTACACGTTCGCAGGTTGCTATTCAGTGAGGCGATGTGGTCTCGCGGCGGCCGCGCCAGCCGCGGCGGCGTGCGCGCGCTGATGGCGCAGTACGCCGCGCTGCTGGCCGAGCACGCGCACTCCACGCTCTGCTGCTTCGCGCAGGCCGTGCGGCGCGCGGACGACGCGCAGCTGGTGGAGCTTTGTGATCTTATTAGTGCTGATATTGTCGGTATGTATGAAGGTTTCACTTTTTTTTTGTTTTTAATCTCCATGGTGTGCTGCTTCGCGTAGGACATGTGGCGCGCGGACGATGCACATTGAACTCGTCAGTCTCATTAGTGCTTATATTGTCGGTGTGTTTGAGGGTTTGATGTTTTTTTAACTGAGTTCTAATGGATTATTATAAACCATAACCTACCAAATTAACCTTTAATAAGGAAAATGGCTGGGTGCTACCATCGTTGTGAGATCCTATAATTAATATAATAAAATGAAATCCTATAACTAATATAATAAAATGAAATCCTATAACTAATATAATAAAATGAAAATTAAAATTACACATAACAGATCGTTAGATGTAATTTAGTTCATACTGTGTAGATCAAAATAACAGCGAATCAAATATCTATTTCATAAATATTTTCAATTTAATTCGAAATAATAGCAATATAAGCAAAATCAAATTAATGTTTTTATTTATGCTTGCTGCTAAGCTTTCATTCGAAATGTCGGGAAACAATAATTAAAATAAATCCGCGAAAAATAGTTTGATTTCAACATTTTCTCTTTATATGATTAATAAACAACACGACCAGGTCGAGTGATGAGCGAACTAGCAGTCTGGGTGTGCGCGTGCGCGGCGCGCTCCGCCATAGCGCTGTCGGAGTGCGCGGCGGCGCTGGCGGCGGCGGTGCGCGCGTGCGACGAGGCGGCGCGCGCGCTGCCCGCCGCCGCGCGCCTCGACGCCGACCTGCTGGGCTGGCCCGGCCTCGTGTCGAAGCGGCACCAGCTTAATAATAGTGTTATACGCAAGTACGTGCCTTTGTTTAATGTAGACTAATTACTATGTGTTATATGTTGTGTTTTGTAAGAGTAATGGAATTTTGAAGTCATACTTCTATTAGCATGTTTTGAAAAAAAAAATGAGAGTAAAATTTTTAAGTTGCGCGCGCACACCGACAGCCAAAAAACGACACGATGAAGTTAGCTGCATTCCTTTTTACAAAGAGAGAGTTGTGACATACGGAATGAAATCTTTAGCTATTTTTGTTCTGTTACGTCAAAGAAGTATAATTTATTTCGCGCGTACATAAGTACACACACACGTTTTTTCAGAAACTATATGTATATTAATCGAATCGAAATCAAATCGAATTAAAAAAAACTCGAAATCCCTTTAAACCTATATGGTTTAAAGGGATTTCGAGTTTTATTTATTTTTGAACTAGATGTTTATCTGAGTTATTAATTTATGTCATTTTCTTGTTAAAATTTGATGAGTTGAGTTATTATTTTCATTTGTATTTTATTTATGAATAATTATATTAAAACGGTAAAAACGTACATTATTTTATAATATACTTGTACTTTTACCTGAGATCTTTGTTGGAACATTGTATAGAGGTCATATGTAAAAATAAAAATCTGTCAAGGGCATTCACGTTACTATCAAAACAATAGTTGTACAGACAAACTGCATAATATTAGACATAATAGCGTCAATAGATAGAGTGATAGCGAGTATATAGGTACTACATGGATATATTAGAGTCCCAACTTAATTAAGCCTTTGGGTATAAATCTTCAAACAGATGTGATCTACAAAACCACACTAAAGAGGGTGGTTCGTGGATAGTAATATCCGGGCACGTGTTCGACGTGGAGAAGTTCGAGTGTGAGAACGCGAGCACGGTGGAGTTGGTACGCAAGCTGCGCGGCTGCGACGCCACCGCCGCGCTCAGCGTCGACCCGCACGCCGCGTACCTCTCGCGCATCACGGAAAAGTGCGTCGGCATGTACGCCACGCAGATATACAGTCATAAATGTCACGTAAGTATATCATGTACAATATCTAGAATCTTTTCTTTTGTATAGGTACTAGTTTTTGTACGTAGGCAAATTAAGCTTATATATTACGCACATTAATTAAGGGCAAGATGCAGAGATGAAGACTGTATAGAATAATTACATAGTTCCCTTTTTCACGTTATTTAACATTCATTTCACTTTTTAAAAATTAACATGTAAACATCATAATAAATTATTTCCTGTATTTAACACAATTTAACTATTTCATCGTCACCATATTAGATTAATAAATATTTCAACTGAAACAAAAGTAAATAAAAATATAATTATTTTGCACAATATCTTCGATCAACAATACTCCTAGATAACGTGTCACAAAATCTAAGCTAACTTCTGTCTACTAAATTACTATTCTGGCTAGCTAAATTCTGTCCGCGCGAATATGCACTTATATAGCTTCATTTGTATACTAACGAACCAAGACAAAGTCTTATAATAGTTTTATTTTCAACCTAATCAACACCATAGCACCTTGTAATAAAGTCGCAAATCTTCGAATTAAATCATTCGATCAATCATTTCGTAAGTTTTATAACCTTATATATCAAAAAAACAAAGCACTTTTTCCCGTTCTTGCTTTGTGAGCTAAATCGTTATGTTTTGTTTCTGTTTGCTTCTTTGAATTGTCGCGTATATTGGCCGACCTGAGCCCTGAGCGGATTTAAAATTGTTCAAAATTTCATTTTTATATTATTTCTTATTATTAATCTACATGTATTTACTGAAAATAAGACACTCCGTCTGAAAAATTTCTTCTTCGCGCATTATTTTTGCAAGTTTTAAACATATATTGCTGCATTGTGAACGTGTTTACGTTGGCAGTGTTTCAATAAAACTAATCCAAATATGCACTCACTTTGCAAATGAGCTTATATTTACCGAGACGGATTTCTTACGCCGACCTTGATATCTAGTAGTATTGTTATTGTTGATCGAAGCACAATATGAACATTTTTAAACATCATTTTAAGTTTCACACTAGTTCAAATTATTAATATAAACTTAAAAAATTGTACCTAAATACAGTAGACATGTTCTTCTACAGGAAAGCGCATCCAGTTTAAGAGCACACCACATACTGTCGTCGTGCGCGTTCCACCTAGCACTCGGGCTGTCGCAGTGCGGGTTGCGCTTGGCGCGCTCTCTGCCCACGCAGCAGGCGGAGAGAGAGGCCGCGCCGTACGCTACCGCTGTCTTCCTCAGAGGCGGACTTCAAGTATGTCCTAGTAATATTATATTAGATAATAAATTTAGTTAATTCTATTTTTAGAAATATTTTTAGTGGGTAACAAAATATTTGGGAATGATTCTATATATATTATGACTTTATGACATGACATAACCACAGTTACAGTAATACAATTTTTAAAATTTATTCTTTAACGATTGTAGAATGACATTTTTTCTTAAAGCCCCTTTATAGAAAAACTACTATAACAAATAAATACTATAACATTTTCAGACATCACAACCAGCCAATCCCTTCGAGGAAGAAAAGGCAGAAGCCCGAAGCGGCTCGTCCACAGGCGGCAACAGCCCCGCCAGCGACGCGCCGCATCCGCTCGCCAACACGCTGCTGCCGCCACAGTCGCGCGCGCGCGGTTCACGGGTCAACGTCACCGTGTCGCCTATGAAAGCTGATAGCTTGCTGTTTGCTTTAGCTGAACCTAAGCTACATGTGAGTTCTCGCATCTATCTAGTTTAACATAATTAAAAATGTACTGACACACGCACCTTTTTTTTTTAATGTTAGGAAATGCATTTACTATGTGAGACTCACTGGTTAGAAAAACCAGTAAGTACTAACCACTAAAACTCAACGGAGTCTTAATAGGGCATCGCACGATCACTTACGCACTCACACACGACACCCCGATGCCAGGCAGGCTTTCACAACAACCAAGGGGTTGCTCCCACCGTCTGCTTGGCTATCCTCTGATAGGTGGTGAGGAGGTGTCTCTACACCTCCCACCCCCCAGTGTGTCTCTTGACTTCTTGGGGAAGACTAATACCCGCTCCTAGTAAAAGTTTAAACTCACTTCAATTTTATGAATGTAAAAATTTGAGGATTTTTGTAAATTTTTCGCGCCTCAATAAATTTGTTAATAATAAACCTAACTAGCTATTATCCTGTTCCGTTATGGATATTAAAGCCTTGAAATTTACCCTATGCAGTACAATTATTTGATTTTGACATTAAATTCTCAGTAAAAGCCTGGAGTTGAAAAGGCGGTATCACCCCTGTGATTCGGGCGGAGAACACCTAAAGCTGGTTTGGCCCTAAATTTTTTTCTAAATCTATGTTATTTTTCTTTTAGGATCCTCTAGCTTTACACCTGTGGTGGGCGTGTGAGCGTCGCGAAGGTTGTGCTCCGCATTTTCCTCCAGAACATCCACTTGAAGAACTGAGACGAGCATTGTTGGCAGCTTTGCTATATCATGCGGGATTAAAAGAACATGCTTTAGCAACTGCGACTGCAGGTAATGCCAAAAAGAGAAGTCAATGATAAAATGTATCTTGTGACTATTTTTGGAACTAACATTTGGATGCTAAATACTTTATTATCTTGGATACTATTTTCATATACAGGCAGGATTAAAGGAATATATTATTAGTGTATAAAACTTTTTTTTAGAAAAGTTTTTATAAAAGTTGAACTATAATTTTTTTAGAAAAAGAAAGAGGTGAAGTAAAACTGTCGCCAGCGATGTCAGAAATTGTGAAAGCTGTTCAACAAAGCAAGTGGACACTTATGCGGACAAGACAGCAGTTATCCAGGGGTTATAAAGAGGTAAAAAAAAAACTATTTTTCTATACCAATATTATAAAGTGGAAAGTTTTTTATGTTTGTTTCTTTGTTTGTATCTAATAAGCTCCGAAACTGAACTTTAAATTTGGTAAGAAGATAGTTTCAGACCCTGGGAAGGACATAGGATAGACGGACGGACGACGACGAGGATCACATTTTTATCCCGGAAATCATCCCTTAAGAGGGTGAAAATGGGGATGAAAGTTTGTATGGGGAAGGCTATTAACTAACATAAAGTAATATTTTTCTCTAGGTTTGCGCAGCTCCGTTAGAAAGAGCGAGGTTCCTTTTACACGAGGTAAGAGCAGCGATATCGCCCGCGGTGTCGGCGCTGCACTCCCGCCCGCCGTCGCGCCGCGAGCCCACCGCCAAGACAATATTCCAGAAAGTTATGAGAATGGCGAAGTCGCCTTCGTTTAATAAGTGGTAAGTATTTGGGGTCTTTCGATAATTTTTTTATTACATTAATATTATCCCTATCTTTAATTAATGATGTCATCGTAGTAAAATAGAAACTTCCTTAGCTTAACACGAATATTTGACATTTTAATTAAAATTATATTTTCGGATTGTTTCGCGGATTTATTTTGATTTTTGGTTCCCGACCTTTGGGACGTTTAAAATCTTAGTCTTTCCCGTGATGATGATTGCTATAAAGCATTTGAAACGTCTGGAACCAAAACTTAAAATAAATCGGCGAAAAAATCTAAAAAGATAGTTTTATTTAAAAATAGAAACTATTATAATAATAATAACTTGTTTCTAGTTTTGAAACAACGAAAGATCTACGAAATAGACAGAATAGTCTAAGCAAAAGTATGCTGAAAGCAACGGGTAGTTTATTGCAAGGAGATGCTCTATTAATTAAATCTACAATAGGCACTCAAAGTAGCAAAATAGATGAGAATCAAACTATTATTGTCGAACCGCCAAAAATCCATGCGAACTTAGAAGGATCCAGTGACCCAAGTTCTAGAGATGTGTGTAACATACAAACTAAACCCAAACTGAAGCTTAAAGAGAAACCACTAGAGAAGGAATTTAAAAATGCTTGTAATTTGGACGACATGCGACATGAAGGTCGAGGCGATTTAAAACTTTCAGAGCGAGATGAAATATATGACAAAGACGACGATAAGACGCCTACAAACGAGATCTCAATTAGTTCCATTAATGAAATGACTGATAATTCGGTGTTCAAAGAATCATTGGAAAGCGAAAAACAAGTGTTGCTTTTGGCTGATGATTTGAAAAATGATCTTATTGTTGCTGACGAGGAAAAAGATGATGATAATTCTGAACGAAATAAGTTTGTAAATGCATGGGTGGCGAAACTAGCATGTGAGGAAAAAGGTACTTTATGTAATGATTAAATCTTTAATTCGAAGTTTTCTTTTATTTTTCAATCGTAATGTTTAATTTATTGTTTTATTTTCAGACTTATATTGGATGTTAGAACAAGTGACTCCAGAACAACAAAGCTTGACTGCAGCTATCATTGACTTTGTTATGACTGAAGAACCCTGTGATATTGATATTTTAAGACGGGCTTTGTATTGCCAGGTATTTAACACTATTTATATTATTTTATGTTAACCAATCTTAAATGGACCAATATTAAAAAAATAATGTATTTCAGGTACAAAGGGCGGAAATCAGAAAAACTGGCTACTCAATTATAAATAGTATTCTACATTCTTCTCAAACTTTATCGGAGAGTGTTAAGTATGCTGCACTCTCGGGTTTGCTGGGAGCTTCAATGGCCGATTCAGTACCAAACGCGCCAATAAAACCTTCTATGCCAATGACCGTGCCTTTAGAGAACATAGAATCTGTGATACCATATTTAAAATACATGGTCCTTTCAGAAAGATCCAAGTTAATGGATTACGTCCTAATCGAACTTAGAGCTAGGGTTCTCGAAGGTGAACAAAACCAACCGTTGCCGTTAAAAATGAGCGCTAATTATGGCGCTCATGCTTTACTCAATAGACCTTCTAGAGCTAGGTGTGTATAAGTTATTACTCACGTGATGATATCCATACTAATATTATAAATGTGAAAGTGTGTTTGTTTGTCCTTCTTTCACGTCGAAATGGAGTGACGGATTGGCGTGATTTTTTGTTTGGACATATTTAGAAAGCTGGAGAGTGACATAACCTACTTTTTACCGCGAGAGATTAATTCCCGCGGGAAAACACGTTATAATACAGTCCAAAAAATATTTATGATTAGAATTACTTGAAACTTGGTATTATTGCTCTTCAATAAAATTAAATAAATACATGTTTTAGCTTTAGTTTTTCGAAATTCATTCTATAAGGGGGTAAAATAGGGGATGAAAGTTTGTATGAAACTACCTTTTTAAAGATTTTTTGTAGTTTTAGCGCGAGTGAAGCCTCGGGTTCTGCTAGTTTCTAATAAAGTGATCTAGCCAAAAGAAACATTTTGTTATGACGGATATCAGAATATTTTTGTCATTTTAATATGTATAGCATAAAATGTATATAAAAATAAGACAAATATGTAATACTATGATATCATTTGTTTTTCTATTCTAGATTTCTCATAACACTTTTGTCTTTGCTCATGGAGGGTTGTCAAGGTCCAGAATTGGAGCAGTTGATCAATGGTGGAGCATTGAGTTCTTGTTTGACTTTGCTGAAACAAATAGGAGGAGATACATCTCAACACACTTCCCTAATATGTAACGGAGTGAAATCTAAATGTTAGTTACAATTTATGTGCATTAATTTTAATAAATAAACGAACATTCCTTATGTTTTTGTTCATCGCTGCTTTAAAAATCTTAGAATGCTGTTTAATTTTAAAAAAATATCTTGTATCTACATTTTATCCGTGGAACGATTTTTAAAATATGTATATAAAAAAAAATCTTTCATACATAAAGGTGACTTACTTAACCAATAATAATCAATATTTAATTTCTACAAAATTTTTATTATATAAAAGTTTGAAGTGTTGTTTTCTTTTACTGTTGTGTGTTCTTTTTCATATTGTGTGCTGATGAAAAAGAGAAATATTACATGCTATTTACATTTTGTAGCGGAATGTTTGATTATTTATGAGGATGAAAGACTTGGAGCTCGTGCTAGAGGCGCCTCCCTGTCAGGACCCGAGCTAGCTTTACTTATGAAAATTGGTACACGTGTTGTTCGCGGAAAGGACTGGAAATGGGGTGATCAGGTGAAAAATATATTATGTTAAAAATAATAACTTCAACATACAGCTTATATCCATTTCAATTGATATCCATGGTTGTAATTAGGTATCGTGATCAGGTGTATTTATTCAATTAATTAGATAAGCTAAGAATATATGACAATATAATACTTTATTTAGGACGGTGTACCTGGAGGAGAAGGACGCGTGATAGGAGAAGTGGGGGAAGACGGTTGGGTGCGCGTCGCGTGGGACGCGGGCGGCACCAACTCGTATCGCATGGGGAAAGAGGGGAAATATGATCTCAAACTGGCCCGTTCGCCATCTCCGCCTCCTTCAGTCGATGAAACTATACAAGGAAACGGTATGTTTTCGCCTGTTTTCTTCATATTATTTTTATAATTTTAAACTAGTTTTAGTGAAAATGAGTCAAAAATGCGAAATAATAACAATTTAATATGATTGGAACTCGTCTTAATTTTTAAATAAAATTTTATCGTTTATATATACAATGCATGTAATACAATGTTTAAACATCGTACTGATATTGATACAATACGTAAACACCGTAAATGACATAAAGCCTTAAAACAGATTTTTTGTAACCGTAAATCATATTCATTTAAATATAATTTAATGCGCAATATCTATACATGTATATCAAGACGAATAATGTAAATTTATGTACATAAATCCCTAAGTATTTTTTTTTCAAATGATATTATTGAACGTATTGTCTAACTGCAGTAGAGAGCACAGTGGAGTGGTGGCCGGTGAGCGAGGTGCGGTGGTCGTGCACGGCGGCGGTGCGCGCGCTGTGCGCGGGCGCGGGGCGCGCGGGCGCGGTGGCGCGGCGCAATGCGGCCGCGCTGCAACGCCGTCTGCTGGCGCTCGCGCATGCGCACGTGGCGCCGCCGCCCACCGCCTTCGCGGGGAACACGCACACTGCCCTGGCGTTGTTGAGAAGTAATGATTTGTTGTTTTTCTTGAGGCTCATAAAATAGATTTTAATATGTATATTATTATATTTAAAATTGTTTTTTCTTACTTGCTTTACTTTGATATTTAATTCTTATTTCAGCAAGTGCTCAAAGTCTGGAAATGAGAGTATCTCTATGCACTGACTCTTGGTTCGAACTATGCTACAGTATTATATCGTCTACAGATAAACCCATTTCGCAAGATATGATATATTTACAGGTAAGCTTAATGAAAAACTAGTGACAGAGTGTCATTGTACTATTCTAGATTCCAGGTCATAATCTACACAGACAGATTAATGTGTGTACTAAATGACATCCAAATCCATCCAACTGTTTCAATTTAAAAGTAAAAGGAGTAAAACATAACTTACACATACTTTTACAACACGTTTGGCTCAGTTTGTAGTGACCCTACTTGCTGTGCCAGCGGTCGCGGGTTCGAGTCCCGCTGGGGGCATTCATTTGTGTGATAAGCACAAATGTTTGTACTCCAGTCATGGGTGTTTATATTTATAATATGTATGTATTTAAAGTTATATATGTATAGTGTATCAACTATCTGGTATCCATAACACAAGCCTCGTAGCTTACCATGGAACTAGATGGTGATGTGTGTTAATGTCCCAACATATAAAAAAAAAACTTTCTCATTTATAAAAGTATTCAGAATAATGAATTTAATGATAAATATAACACACAATTTAGATCCAATCCCTGTGGCTGTTACGGCGCGTGCTGGCGGAGCACGCGGGCGCGACGGAGTGGCGGCGCACGGTGACGGCGCAGCTCATCGCGCTGGCGGGCCGCCTGTGGCTGGAGACGCACGCCGCCGACCCCGCACTGCGGCCGCACGCGCACGCGCACACCGCCGGCACGCCCGTGTCCATTGATGAGGAGGAGATAGGTTTGTATAGACTACAGGATCTCGGAAACGGTCAATTGTCAATAAGTTGCTGTAAATATAGCTGTATATAAACAAACAATTTAATTGAGTATTATAAATCCTAAATTTCTATCAATATGCATCATTATTGACTTGCTTAGAAATATATATTTTACAAAATAGTAGAGACACAAAGAGTAGACTGAGTTCGCATGTTAATTATAGTATCAATTTTTTTTATATCTTTTCTAAATACTATTTGCATCTAAATGCATTTCGAGTTCTTTTACAATTTATTATTTAAAATCTTTACAGTTTACACATATCAAATGTTAACAGATAACAGATGGCGAGCGCCGGCCACAGCGAGCTACACGGGAGCAACGTGCGCGGCTGTCGTCAACCTCGTGCGCCAGCTGAACTCCGCGCCTCAGTGGCATGGACCTATCACTGCACTGCTCATTGAGAAACTGCAACTGGCGGCGCAAATGGTAACAATTATTAATGGGCATAGTTTAAATTACTGGAAAATTTTTATAATAACAACCCAAATTCAATCGTTGACAGTAAGACAGATCATAAACAGCCTAAACGCTGGAACAACAATTCGTTATAAAATATAATGTCCTCCTGATCGTTTTTGGGCACGGCGACCAATCTTATTGAGAGTACTTATTGCATAATCTTAAAAACTTAGTGTATACATACGAAGGCGCGCAAACACATTCGCTCTTCTATTTGTACGTGCTCTCTCTATTACACGTGCTCTCATACTCCATGAATCGAAAATTCGACACGATCGATAAGAGATCGAGATCGACGGCGTGGGGGTGAAAAATTGCAAATTTCTCAGCTCCAGGCTGTATTTGAGAAATTCTTGACAGAAAAACTCAATAGCTTAATTTTGCCCGACCTAAGACTCCAACCAGACTCTTGAGATCTACAGCTTTACATGCTAGCCACAAGACCACCGAGGCTTTATTTAATATAATGGTTTTTTCTAAAATTGTTTCCGACATCGTGATCTTGATTTTTAAAATATACTTTTCATGAGCGAGTCGATTAGATTATATCGAAAATATTTATTATATTGAAAATATTTCAAATTTCAAGTAGACAGAGATTATACTTACTTTTATCATTAGATTGTTTGTTTCGTAGATACTAGATACAGCTTTTAATTTAATTCTTTAGGATACTTTTTACCATCACGTTTTTTTATTATAACTTATAAAAATACATAAATAGTATAGTATTGTGTCACAATTATAGTTTTTAGTTTGCGACAAAAAAAAATCTTTTTTTTTTTACAGATTACAAATGATTGGCACTGGTGGCCACATACTAGTCAAGATCTAACGCAAACTATGAAACCATCTCTGCCTTCGCTAAATAGTTGCCTTATAGGTATGCATGTCATTGCAAATATAATTTTGTCTGATACTCATTTACCAAATTATTACAAATACGGGGTGGATTTTTGAGACGGGACGGTAAGGGCAGGTATCTTAACTGCTATAGTTACAGGAAAACGTTCCTTTTTTTCGAAGGAATGTACTGTTAGCGAAAGAATGCTAAAATACAAAAAAATAAAAAGAAATTATGTCAATCTACCCTATTTCATATAGGGATCAAAAGACTATGAGATGCGGAGAAATGACAGAAATCGCCAAAAACTTTTCGGATATTTTCCCGAATCTTTCCGAATCGATTAATCAAGTCGAAATATTCTTTGTTGCTAAACGGTCCTATTTCTTAATGTGAGGCCAAATGGAGTTTGAGTACAGAAACTACAGTAAGTTACAAAACCGGGTTTACACGCAGGCATTTTATGCAGCGGGCGTAAAATAAATTTTTGAATTTTTGTTAAGCCGGTTTCGTGGCATACTGTACCTAGAAGTAAAAGAACCTACGTAGAAAATCATAGGAACGTTTTCCTGTAACTATAGCAGTTTAGGTATCTTTTTTTTTTTAACGTTGGGAAATGCATTCACGCACGACGTGTGGGACTCACCGGCGTAATACAGCCAGTACTACCCACTAAAACCCAACAAAACCTTCCCCCGTCTTAATGGGGCGTCGCAAGATCGCTTACGCATTTAACTACGACGCCCCCACGGCAGGTCTGCCGAAGCAGACCACCACAACCATGGGGTTGCTCCACAGTCCACTCTGCTATCAGAGAAGTACCAGGAGCAACCCGCATGGTACACCGCCCTCCGAAGAGGGCCACCTCCCACCGCCCACCGAAGTGGGCAACCTCCCTGTGCGTTTCTTAGCTTCGCGCCCGGTTGGATTGCCGGGCACTACTGAGCCCCCCCACCACGACAAGGTGAACGCACGTTGGGGGGGAGTAGTTTAGGTACCTGCCCTTACTGTCCCGTCTCAAAAATCCAACCCTGTATATTCTGAATAGTATTTATTATCACTGCTTTAATTTAAACACATTGTATAATTGTTTATTGATTATTTTAATTATTTATCGTTAAATAATTTAATCTATATGTATTTTTTTATTCGTACTTTGTATAGATATATTATAAGTTAAATATAATTATTATGTCTAAATTACCTTCTTTTTAATATTTTCCCATAAATAATGCCATTATTTATAATTCTAATATGTGATAATGACATCAACTAAATATTTTTAGCTGGAGCTTTAGGTGTGGTGGGAGGAATGGAGTGGCGTATTAGACTTGGACAACGCGTGTATGCGGGATCTCCGCCGAAGAACGCCATCGTTACGCAACTATCTTCCAGAGCAAAGATTACATTGGTTCACGATGATAATACCTTTACTAAGGTTTATTGCATATTTATTTTGTTGTGTAAATGATTATAAGTTTAGTTTTAATGTTTATTGCACAAACTAGAGACTTAGATTCGCTATCCTCGTGTGAATACCTTTGAGCCTGTAAATAAAATCATCTGTAAATCACATCCTTATCTGTTTATTGTATATTAAAATCCATTTATATTTAGCCCGATTATTTTGAATTTTATTTCTAGATGACGACTTTTTTATTCATGATATATTGGTATATGGTACATTTTATTGTATACTACATTTAATTCCACAGGCTGACCTCAATAGTGTGCAGAGTGCAGAATGCGAGCGCTTGTCCCAAGCACTGGGTGGGGGCGAGAGCGCGCTACGCGTGTGCGCCGCGCTGCTCGGCGCCGGCCCGCAGGCCTCGCCGATGCATGCACATCATTTACCAGGTATTTATAACATACTAGTGACATACCCTTGCCTTGCTCGTACGCCAAATAGTACCCTACGTGTTTCTTCTTCTGGTGATAGTATATCTGTATACTAAATTTCTTCTAAAACCGGCGTGAAAAAGTAACAAACATACATATATATAAAGTATCGTATTTATAAATATATTGGCGTGCCGGTAACTTTTTTCGCAAAATATTGAAAAATTATTGCTTATGGTTAGAAGAAATATTTTTTCAAAAGATTCCTAGATAATCTTTCTTTTTATTGATAAAGATCTTATGAAAATTCGTACAGTTATTTCTGAGATATAGTTCCCCGTCACGTAGAGGTTATGTTTGCTTGGGCTACCAAATAATATAGCGATTAGTTGACTTTAATTTCGTTTTTTATACGCCGTTTTGTTATTGTTTTTTTTGTTATTATTATTTAATCTAAGTAATGCCACAAAATTTTGTTTTTTTGAAATACTGATGAAAATGACTTGACTTGAAAATGAAAATGGCGATCATGTAAATTATTGATTTTTTAGCCGAAATAGACGTTTACGGACTACGTCGTCAACAAATGGAATTGCTTACATTGTGTGCCGTGAGAGGACTGCTCACTACTAGAACTCGTTTAAGAAAAGTGTTAATGCAACCACCGGATAATGGCGGTAAGTGAATTTGTATATGGTAGTAGTATAGTATAGTAAATATTTGGATAAATTTTTGTATTTTCTTATTTTAATTAGTAGGAAGGAAATTGTTACTGTAGAAGAACTTTTATCTATAATATTACGGATACATTATATTACAGAATATTATGATATTTTATTACGATTAAGGAAGTTGATTTTTATCGTTTTAAAACTTTGTATGTATGAGCATTCCAGTTGACAAACTTATTGATCTGATATTGGAGCCAGAAGGTAGATAAGAGAACTCTTCAACTTAGTTTAATTGGAGTCTTATACATCAAAGCTTGTTTCTTTAGTTCCTTAAATTATAATTAATTATAATATTACTGCATCTAACAGGTTCATTAGAAAGAGGCGCAACACTCGGCACAGAGGGCACGCTGCTGCGCCGGCTGCTGTCGCTGGCGACGCGGCCGAGCCCGCTGGCGGCCGCGCACTCGCCGAAGGACCTCGCGGCGGCCGCCCTCTCCATAGTGCAGCAGTTGGCCGCGCATGTTGCCGGTAACATTTGTTATTATATTGTTGTATCTAACGCGATTCTAATCTGTGTTAATTTTTTATCATCATTAAGAGAGGTCATTTTTTTCAACTTAATTTACAAATATTGTTATGCAATGTTTTTATAACTATTTAATGTATTGCACATTACATAACTCTTTGTATTAATATTGTCCTTTCTGTTGGTGAAAACCGTAAGAAAATTTGTACTGTAGTTTTTGAAATAAACCCGAATAAGCACAAACTTTTAGGGCACTTTTAGGAATATTAGGACCTTAATTTGTAAATTTTCGGCCTTAACTTAGTATTTAAAAGTTTCTTAAATTGCAGGAGATGAAAAAGATTTTGAATCTCCGCCGGAAATACCCATTATTGACAAGAGTAACGTTATGCAAGTGTCTTTGGGACCATCTACTAGTACAGCCTCATTGTGTGAGTATTTAAATATCAAATCAAAACAAAACAATTATCCTTGGCAAAACTAGTTTATAAATATTTCACTTATCAATTAAAATTGTATTTCAGCTCGAAAAGATCTAAATACCTGGGCCAATTCCTCGCAAGTTCAGCAAGTGATAGAAATGGGCTTTTCTAGACACGCAGTGTATGGAGCTATTCAAACGCTAGGTAATAGAATAATAATTTTACATATTAGGTATATAATTGAAATTAATAAAAAAGAATACTTTCTTAGATTTACGCGAATACTTGACATTTTAAATAAAACTATCTTTTATACCTTAGAGACATCTAACACCTCAGTCTCTCCCATGACCATGATTGCTGTAAAGCATTCGAAACGTCGGAAACAAAAAATCAAAATAAATACGCGAAAAAATCCGAAAAGATAGTTTTATTTAATAAAAAAGACTTTTCCCGTCATATTCAACTATATTCTTATTCTAATATAAATATTCTAATAGGTGGTACAAGTTTACCTTCAGTTGAAACTCTGATCGGGCATCTGCTAGAGCTGCCACAACAACGCTCTGGTGATTCAGTGTTCGAAGTGAAGCCCACCTCGTCTAAACAAGAGAAGAAACAGACGCCGTATCGCTGGCGCAGTTGCTTCGCGTCAGAGGACGAGTACGCTCAGTACTTATCCGATATAATATCACCCGGGTTGACTGTCAGATGTTGTAAGGCATATGAAAGTGTAAGTTGTATTATGTATTTTTAATTATTTTTTATTAAATATGCTATTTGATTTTTTTCTTAATGAAATGATTTTATTTTAGATTGCGTTAGGAGATGTCGGACAAGTTCAAAAAGTTGAACGCGATATAAAACAAAATGTATTTTTACACGTAAGTTATATCAACAATATTTTATTCTTTAAGTGACAGCAGCATATAAACTAGTTTAATACTCGTGTGTACTATTTAAGACTGTGCCAAATTATAAAAGACTACCTGGCCAAGTGTCAATCAATATTCATAAAAAAATTAATAGATCAACAGTGAACCCCTTATAAATTTCGAGAAATCGGGACAGATCTCTAAGGTTGAAGTAGTTAATTTTAAGGTTATTCCGAATTCGTTGAAACTGTTTAGTTAAGGATATTACATGATATTCAGGTTGAATGGCGCGGGCTGGGGCGCGTGTCGGGCATCCGCGCGCTGCACGCGGAGGTGGTGTCGGGCGCGCCGCCCTTCGCGGCCGGCGACCGCGTGCGCGTGCGCGCCGCCGTCACGCAGCCGCGCTACAAGTGGGGCTGCATCGACCACACTAGCATCGGCACTGTTACAGGTGAACGATTTGCACTTCCTTGCTAAGTGAGATTAGATTGGGTTTTATTAATGAATTGTGACTTACCCTCTCGCTTACCTCGAGTGCGTCCCTAGGTGACTAGGTCTCTATGTATACTAAATTTGTTCCTAATCAGTCGTTTCAATGTGAAGGGAACAAACATACACACACATACACACAAACATGTACAAACTTTTGCAATTATTACTACTACTATAATAGCAATTTTTTGGGAAATTTATTTAAAAATAAAGAAACAGTATAGATGATTGTATAACGTATATGCTTATTACTTCTTCATATTATAACGCTTAATTCATAAACGAATTTTACCACTCGAGTATACACTTTATTAAAACAAAAATCATTTTTTGCTTTGGACATTACATAAGTCTATAATTTGGTATATATTTGAATTTAAACTGTTAGTTGATCTTTAATTTAATAATATATTACAGCGATATCCAGCAATGGACGCGACTTAACAGTTGATTTTCCTCAACAACCCGGCTGGACTGGACAAGTTAGTGAAATGGAATTAGTGACTGATCAATGTAAGTTTAAGTCATATTACTTAGGAGATTTTATTGTGTATTATTATGTAAAAATGTAAATGTTTAATAATACAGCGGAATGGGGAGAGAGTGCAGGCGGAAGTGCGGTGGGCTGGCGCGGTGCGGTGAGGGCTGTTCGTGTGTCGTCGTGCAGGCCCGGCGCCGGCGCGCGCCGTCTGCTCGACTCGCAACCTCATACATACTGGCAGAGTTCTAGTGGGACTGGACAGGTGAAATCATTTTATTACTAATTAAAGTTCTTTATTTATTTATATTTGCTTCCCCATACAAATTTTCATCCCTATTTTCACCCCCTTAAAGGATGATTTCCGGGATAAAAAGTATCCTATGTTCTTCCTAGGGTCTCAAAGTATCTTCTTACCAAAAATCATCTAAATCAGTATAGTAGATCCAGAGATAACCCCCTACAACGTCACAAACTCACAAACTCATAAACTTTACCTCTTTATAATAGAGCAAGATCCCAGTAGTGTTAGTATGTACTAAGATCGCATGCCTACCTGCTAGCTTGGTGAGATGGCCAATTTCTAGGTATCAGGTAATCACGGTACATAAAAACATTACTTACCTCACGTACATTCTCCAAGTTGATTTTCACGTATATTTTAGACAATATTGTTAAAAATAAGTCGTCAATACTCAAAGACACTTTCCGTCGGCCATATTGCTTTGCAGACGCTTTAAATGTCCCAAAATAATTACTTAATTTCACGTTAATTCTGATGCTCCATTTTTATATATATGTTCGCTAGACAACTATTTTAAAACCTTTTACAAGAAGACAGACCAATCCAAGGAGCCAATCACCCCCTTATTATTATTATTATTATGTTGGGTGTGGTGCCGAGGTCGGCCCTAGCTACGTCGACCAGTTTTGGTCCATTGTAGCTCCAATAACCCTTAACTCAATTTTCCTACCCACAGAGGCATTAAAAAAGAGTAAAACTCAGAAATAACGTAGCTTTCTTTCAAAATCGGTTCAGTAGATCTAGAGATTATTCCCCTTACAACGTCACAAACTCACAAACTTTACCTCCTTATAATATTATTAGTATAGATAAATAACCTTTTCACTAATAGGACGACGAAACATCTAGTAGGGCTTATAATTTATGATTTTATTGTTAATGTAAGCTACCAGTATGATGATATTTTGAGTCGGTGAATAATTCAAAGACCATCTTCTCGGGATGCACCCGAGCAAACCCAGCATAAGTTATTAGAATAATTTATTTGTTTTAAGATTAATATTATCTACTACACGTAGGCAGTAAATAACAGACTGTCATTGTAATACTTTCTTAGATTTAGCGAATATTTGAAATTTAAAATATAACTATCTTTTCAGATTATTTCGCGGATTTATTTTTATTTTGGGTTTACGACGTTTCTAGACGTTTTTAGACTGGCATGTGTTTTGTTAAACTTATTTCTTATATAATATGAAAATAAATCGAAATCAATAGATCTAGTTTTTAAATTAATTTTTTTATATGACGACGTTTGGCTCAGTTTGTAGTGACCCCACTTGCTGTGTTAGCGGTCGCGGGTTCGAGTCCCGCTGGGGGCATTCATTTGTGTGATGAGGACGAATGTTTGTACTCCAGTCATGGGTGTTTATATTTATAATATGTATGTATTTAAAGTTATATATGTGTAGTGTATCAACTATCTGGTATCCATAACACAAGCTTCGTTCGCTTACCATATAACTAGATGGTGCTGTGTGTTATGTCCCAACATATTTATATTTATTTAATGGTTTTATTCAGCATTGGATCCGCGTAGAGATGCGTAACGGTGTACGCATCCGCCGGCTGGGGCTGGGCGTGGCGGGCGGCGCGCACGGGCCCGCCGCGCTGTCCGTGCGCGTGGGCGTCTCCTTCGAGGAGTCGGCCATGGCGTCGCTCGCCGCCGTGCCCTGCACGCCGCCGCCGCCCACGAGGGACAGACCGCCCACTCATTTGGCTCAAATACAACTTCTCTCTGATTGTAAAATAGTGAGATTTTTTATACTATGCACTTCGGTATAGGGAATAAGTTAAATAATGGTTGATACATTTTACGTGTTTATAATTCCGTTCTGTGGTATAATTTAATGTGTTTGTTTAACTCCGTTATTTATGTATTTTGATCAACAATAAATATTTTATATGTATATTACATATAACGTTTTTATCAAATAGTTTACGGCAATCTTTTGCAAACATAGTAATAAACTAGAAGAACTAATAAACACTTTTCTAAGAACAATTCTTTCTGAGAATTATAGTAAGATAATGTTTGCTTATTAAGTGCGTTTAAATACAAATACACTATGATCTTACTAATAATATAAATGTGAAAGTTTAATGTTAATGGAGGTAAATTGGATATTTGTTATTTAATCATGTCAGAACGGCTGAACGGATCTGGATGAAATTTGGCATAGAGATAGATTATAGTCTTAAATAAATTCTGCTAACTTTACTGGGTATTTTATATTGCCATTTTTGTTATTATTCAAATACATATAAGTAAATGGCATGTGGTTTCTATTGATTTTTTTTTTTCAGTATTATCCGTGCATCGAAATTGGAATAAAACAAAATCGAAACGTAAACGCTGACTGTCGAGTACACGGACTATACATCACAGGCTTTAGACCCAATCCGATGTATACTGAAATATTATCGGTAAGTTTTGTGTCACATACCCAATGACTCACAACTTCTTACTTTTTTGCGTTTTGTATATTTTTCATATTTATACACGCCCCCCTCCACGTTCCTATTTCACGTTGTGTGACACAACGTGATAATAAGGGTGGAGGGGGTCAAAAAAAGCTGATTTTAGCGTGACGTATTTTATGAACGGCCCCCTATATACTTTACTTTCTTTAAGTTTTCTTACTAAATATTCTCATAATCCAAATATTCGTATAGAAAGTTTGTTAAATATTAATAATAACTGATAATGTATTTTCAGAGTATGAATTTCGTAGCAGAAGATTGGATGGAAAAAGACACTCCAACGGGTGCTGTCAACGCTGATAACAATCCTCCAACTTTGCCAAATGACTGTCCAAAGGTAAATTTCATTTCAATATATTTTAAACAATTACATAGAGTAATATATATGAAAAATACTGAAATTTACCAATTATTTGCATTTAAAAAAATAGATTTACTTGATTTAATATTATTAATGTATCTCATTTTTAAATTTTAATCAATGACAATATGATGTAGTATGATATACTTTTGATATTAAATTTAAGAGTATAAATAATTTGCTGTATGTTATACATTAAATTATACATTTTATCGTAGGTGTATGTATGGGGCTTAAATGACAAGGATCAATTGGGCGGAGTAAAGGGATCCAAAGTAAAAGTACCAGTTTTCTCTCCAGTGTTAAGCGCATTACGCCCACTTCACATTGCTGGTGGATCGAAAACCTTATTTGTTGTATCACATGATGGAAAAGTAAGTAATTTTTTTTATTTTATCATTATGATATTATTAATGGTATTTATTTGCAATATTTTATTTACTAAGATTATTGATTAAAATTACTATTTAATTTGACACCAATATCACAAGGATATAATAATAAATCCATGCATTCTTAGATTTACGCGAATATTTGACATTTTAAATAAAAGTTTTTCATCTCAACCGTGACCACGATTCCTGTAAAGCATTCGAAACGACGGGAATCACAAATCAAAATAAATACGCGAAAAAATTCGAGACCTTAGTTTTATTTAAATTAAATTAGTGGCTTCACAAAACAATGTTTATGTATTTCAGTTATTCGCATGCGGGGAAGGCACTAACGGCAGGTTGGGTCTGGGGCACAGTAACAACGTGTCCACGCCGCGCGCGAACCCCTACCTGTCGCACGTGCTGGTGCGGCGCGTCGCCGTGCACTCGGGCGGGAAACACGCTCTCGCACTTACTGCCGATGGGAAGGTAAGTGTTGATAATACTATGATTATATTTTTTGTAAAACTGAACAAATAAAGTTTAACTCTATCCTTGTCTATTTTAAAAGTATATTTATTAAAATAGGTAAAGTAAGAATAATGTGCTTAATAATTTCATGATCTTGATGTCTATCCCGAACTAATGTTTGAAAAGTTTGAAAGTCTCTATAATCTTTATATTTTCAAGTTATCTAACAGCCGTTTATAATCAGTAGGTTTATATTTTTTAGAGGTCACAAAACTTGAATTTATTTAATGTCATTATCATTCAGGTTTATTCGTGGGGTGAAGGTGAAGATGGCAAGCTTGGACATGGGAACCGTATCACTTTAGAAGCCCCGCGTTTAATAGAATCGCTGTCAGGGGAACGGGTAGTCGACATCGCGTGCGGGTCCGCCCACAGTGCGTGCGTGACTGCGCGAGGACACTTGTACACTTGGGGACTGGGGGAATACGGAAGATTGGGCCATGGAGATGATATTACGCAGCTGTTGCCAAAGATGGTATGCCAGCTCTTGTTTACTTTGCCTTAATCTGTTAGAAATCTTTGCATTAAAAGGAGTAGAGGTTTCTTGAATTCTTTTGGTTAACTTAGTTATAATTTAAAAATTATCTGTGCTTATTGAAATGATAATAACACAGGTCGAGGCGTTAGCGGGCTTCAGAGTGATACAAGTTGCGTGTGGCTCTCGGGACGCTCAGACATTAGCACTTACAGCGTGCGGGAAAGTGTTCTCGTGGGGAGACGGCGACTTTGGTAAATTAGGTATAAGCTTGTTCTGGTTTTATTTCGATTATGTTATACTTTTATAGATAATTAGTTTATAGAATTTTGTTTAGCTTAAAATATATTATAATTAACTGACATGAATCTACAAACTTCTTATTAACTGAATTTCCAAGTATATGTTTTAACTATTTATTTTTAGTAAAATTTCACATTTGCTTATTTGATGATGATTTACACTATCAAAGTCAACGACTAATTTATTTTAAGGGCGAGGTGGTTCAGATGGATGTGCTGTACCCATGAACATAGAGAGACTGAATACGCTTGGAGTTGTACAAGTAGAGTGTGGAGCGCAGTTCAGCTTGGCATTAACGAGAGATGGAGAGGTAATCGTGATAATTAATTGCTTAATTAAGCTTTGTAAAGTAATAATATTATGACGGCGTTTGTCACTGATATGTATATAATATTATAGCTTCAAATTGGTGGAAAAATGTGTGAAAAAATATGTTTTTTAATAAGGTTATTTTGAGTTTGAGTATGTGAGTGAATAATATTAAAAAAATCTGCAAATTACTTTGTAATATCAAATTCTTCATTTTATTATACCGCATTAATCAGTTTAAAATTGACGCTTTTACTAAAATGTAGTCGTTTATGGGCACGTAGGTGTGGACGTGGGGCAAGGGCGACTACTTCCGGCTGGGGCACGGCTGCGACGCGCACGTGCGCCGCCCCACCATCGTGGAGGCGCTGCGCGGCCGCCGCGTCGTGCACGTCGCCGTCGGTGCACTGCACTGTCTAGCCGTTACTAGTGAGAACCAGGTACTATTATATATATTTGTTGTATTACAACACTGTTAGAATTTAGCAGATTTGAAAATTCTGTTTTTGGCGAAAGCGTTTTTGGATTTCATAAAAAATATTAATAATTGAGTTGGTTACTTTGTACTAGATAATTATTCGTTATACTTCAAATAGAAATTTATTTACATTTTTTACATATATTACATCATTGCTATTCGTGTTTTTTTAATTGATAAAAACTCCCGACCGATTTCGATCTTGGCGACTGCTTCAGCTTTGGAGCGACATCTGTCGCTCATGTGCTCTCATATGGCTATTGTAGCCAATCTTCTTTGAGAAGGTCCGCATACACTGTGGACATGTGAGCACACCATTATGAATATTGTATCTGATCGCCACAGATGGTCGGGCTTTCAGATAATCGCGTCTGGTATCAAGCTCGAACCGACGTCGCTCCTCAAAATTAAGAGTTTTCTTCTTCACTTGAGCTCTCCAGTTCGAACGTAAAGCTGCGTGCTTCTCCCATTCTAAATGTTCAATGCCACACTTTTTCATGTGACGCTTAAGTACATCTTTATATCGAAGCATCTGACCACCCTGCCTTCGCTTACCCTCTTGCAGCTCGGAATAAAGGATACGCTTAGCCAGTCGCTCCTCTGCCATACGTGACACGTGACCGCACCATTGAAGCTGCCGACGCATAAGATAGGCTTCAATGCCATGAACATTGGCTCGTCTCAGTACTTCAGTGTTTCGTACACGATCAGACCATCGAATGTTAAGTATTTTCCGTAGGCACTTAAGGTGGAACTGATCTAGTGTACGGATATGCCGACGGTATACAGTCCACGTCTCAGCAGCGTACAAGATGTTAGGTAGTACTATTGCCATGTACACAGAGACTTTTGTAGCTAGTTTTAGGTCGTGCGAGCGAAAGACCTTGGGATCTAGCTTGCCGAATGCTGCTGCAGCAGCACAGATTCTTCTACTGATTTCAGCGTCAAGGTCACACTTAGTTGTTATAGTGCTCCCCAGGTAGCAGAATTTATCAGTCTGCATTAGCAAATCCTCTCCGAGATTAATGGTCAGCGTCTCACGACCGTGACTGTCCATGGACATTACTTCCGTCTTCTTGACACTGATCTTTAGCCCGAATTTAAGGCAAGTATGATAGAAATCATAAATTAGTTGCTGTAGACCGTCTGGGGTTTCCGCCACGAAACACAAATCATCTGCATACATGATTTCAGATACAAGTGCATGAGATACTTTAGTGCGAGCTTTTAATCTGGCTAGATTAAAAAGATTGCCGTCTGTGCGAAAGCGGATGCGAACTCCTTCAGATGATAACTGCATGCTCTCACGCACAACAACAGCAAAATATAACGCGAACAGTGTAGGTGCCAGAACACATCCTTGCTTCACTCCACATGTAACGGGAAAGAATTGTGACTGATCGCCATTGATTGTGACGCAGCACTCCATGCCGTCGTGCAGAAGTCTTAACAGCTTAATAAACTTTTTTGTACATCCCAGTTTTTCTAGTACAATCCAAAGAGCTTCACGAGGCACGCTGTCGAAAGCCTTCTCAAGATCAATAAAGCAAAGGTATAGCTGTCGCCCCTGTTCTCTACTTTTCTCCTGCAGTTGACGCAATGAGAAGATTGCCTCACAGGTACCTCGGCCAGGTCGGAAGCCAAATTGGGTCTCTGGCAAAATCTTTTCAGAAAGTGGTATTAAGCGATTTAGTAGAATTCTTGCAAAAATTTTTCCAGGGACTGATAGAAGTGAAATACCGCGGTAGGAGTTGCAGTCGGAGCGGTCACCCTTATTTTTGTATAGGGTACTGATGCGAGAGACTTTAAAATCTATTGGCACACGCTCTAATTCCCACATAAGTGTGAAAATTTCCCAAATAGCTGAATGCAACTCCTCGCCACCATATTTGATGAGTTCACCCGGTATAGAATCAATGCCAGTAGCGCGCTTATTTTGTTGCTGTTTAATGGCAAGGACAATCTCATGACGCGTCAGTGGCTCGTCCAGCTCCTTTGCTATTGACAATTGAGGCAAGGACTTTTTTTAATTAACTGTACCGTAGCCGTAAAATTTCAAATAAATTATTTATAAGTTAAGCTAACCACTATCAGCTTAATCAGACTAGGTACCCAAGTAAAATAAGGCTAAAGGGCTTGAAATATATACACTAAATATAATAAGTAACGACATATATAGGTATGGGCGTGGGGCGACAACGACCACGGTCAGCAAGGCAACGGCACGACGTCCGTGAACCGGCGGCCGGCGCTGGTGGCGGGCGTGGAGGGCGTGCAGCGCGCCGCGGCCGGCTCGTCGCACTCGGCGGCGTGGGCCGTGCGCCCCGCGCTGCCGCGCGACGTGCCCGCGACGCACGTCGCGCCGCTGCCATTCCCCACGCTCAAGGATCCGCTCGGCGCGCATAGCCTCGGTGAGTTGTACACTGATTTGTTTTTTAATACTTTCCTAGATTTACGCGAATATTTGATGACATCACTACATATGATAAAACAAAGTCCTCCGCCACGTCTGTCTGTGTGTCTGTTCGCGATAAACTCAAAAACTACTGTATCGATTTTCATGTTGTTTTCACCAATGGATAGAGTGGTTCTCGAGGAAGGTTTTAGTATATAATTTGTTAATTTATTTATATATTGGCTAAAATATAACGATATTTGTTGGAGGTGTCAGAAAAAATAAGCCGTCTGGGAGCTTTCAACGAAAACGCTGCCTAAACCCTTTCATATAAAACAAAATAATGTGTGGTGGAATTATGTACCTTATATAGGTATACAAAAAAGTCAGCGATAGCAGATGTCTATCTCTTAAGGATAATTTTAATTTAGTAAAAGTATATTTTCGGATTTATTTCGATTTTTTGTTTCTGGACGTTTAGAATGCTTCACAACAGCAGCAACAATCATGGTGATCATGAGGACTGAGACTGAGGCGGAGACTAAGATTTAAGACGTCTCAAAGATATTATATACCTAGTTGTTACAGATGATATCTACACACAAAATAATACAATAAATTGTAACAAATAGAAAAATGGTACCGAAGTACATTACAGTATTTCTTAATTTAAATGTTAATATTGTTTAATAAAGGCCTCATTTATGAAAGTCTATACTTATAGTGTAATAATACATAATGTTCCAACAGGTCTCTACTCAGACGAAGCACCGGTAGAGGAACCGCAAGGCACGCGGCCCTCACTCGCGGCATCAGCGCTCGCACTAGAGCCGCCTGTAGCTGTGCAACACGCACTCTCTCTTATACTCTTAGCTTTGCATATAACACAGGTAACTTGTAATCGCAACCTTAATTATTATTTGTATTTATACTATTTATTATTCTAGTTACAATATATTATTTAAAAATTTAACACCATATATATTTTTATATAGCTAATATTTTTAATTATTTGTATGTTGATATCTTGTGAAATAAAAAGTATTATATCTTAATAAAATATTCTCTAACATTAAAAGAAAGGAAATGTTGTTTAAGAAACAAACGAGTAGAGTATTTTATTTATCAAGCCTATTTTACTTTTTTAAAAACATTTTTTTATTTACTTGTATATTTTTTAAACATAATTTAACATTTATGTTATATTTTTTATTACAATAGGCGCGCACTCTCTTAGTAGAAGCATTGCGGGCACACGAAGCGTGCTCTACAGCGGCCCCGGTAGTGGTCGGTATGGACTCTGAAGACGACGACGCGGAGACCGATGCCCGCACTGGAGGAGGAGAGGCGCCGGCTGATAGAGCTACTCTACCTGTAAGACATTGATATCTTTTGCATTTATTTTATATCTGTTAAAAAAATATTACTTTTAAACTTTATATATGTCAATAATATGTATTAAAAATCTAACGCTATGTTTAGAGTAAAGAAAAATAAAGTAATTGATGTGTATTTATAATAGACATATTTTTAAGACCCAGTACATACAATAACAAAATGTAATTACAATAATTCTTTGAATTGTACTAATTCTATATCGTGATCACGTCATAGAGCGGTGCAAGCAGTCCTCTGAGTGGGTCCATATCGTCGCGTCACTCGGCCGTCATGTCTTCGAGCGCGGTGTCCGTTGCAGCGGCTACTATGACCGTACAACAAGCTGAGGCCCCAAAAGTAAATTCCTTTATGAGTTTATTTATATCTTTTCTCTTCTGTATTGTTTACGTTATACTAGAAATACTCGCGGCAACGTCTGTGTTCAAACTTCCGATATAAACATCAATTTTGTAATAATATGTCTACCCGATTTGTTGACATTTATGATTACTGCTCTGCTCCCTTAGGTAGTAGCATGATGATATATAGCCTTCCTCAATAAACGGGCTATCTAATGCAAACATAATTTTTCAAATCAGATTAGTAGTTCCTCAGATTAGCGCGTTCAAACCAAAAAACTCTGTCTCTTTATAATATTAGTATAGATGAGACAATGACAGTACAATAATAATTTTTAAATGAACTGACTTCATTTGTAATAATTGATGTAGCACCCATGCTTTAAAAGAAGGTTCAAAGTTCGAGTCTCCCACCTCCAAAGATTCTTATACGAATATCATTTTCAACTAATTACCCATACTTGATAAGTGAAGGAAAATATTGTAAGAAAACCGGGATTTTGCCAGTGTGCTGGACTTTGGCCTGACTGCTCATTATATGGCAGGGATGCCCGTGTCCATTCGTGGAATTTGCAATGAGCTCAATTTTTTATTAAATATTAATTATTAAAAATTTTATACTATTATTATAACTTAATTTTGTTTCTGTGCTCTATAGTTGGCGTTGGATGATTTCACATCTCAGTTAGGAGAGTCCGACGCGCGCGCTTTAGTGGATCTGCTGAAGCTGGCTGCGGCCGGCCGCGTTCCTGACTCCAGCAATGCCATCAAGGTCATCACGGATGTGTTGATGGGTGAGATAATTAGGTTTTTTTCATAATTAACTGCTTATACATTGTGACTATACTAAAATTCATATTAAAACATGATAAATGTATAACTACTGCTTAAAAAAGAAAATTCTCCTTCTCATTGTATTTTTGTGTGTGATACCAACAACTTCACCGATCGGTTTCTTCTTTCTTAATATTTGTTTAATTTGTTTTTATTATATAGATATGTAGGTCAAGTCACAAGTGTATATAACAAATTTTGAATACTGTTTTTATTGATTTAGGAGCATACATTATTCACAATATTGTTCCACAGCACTATGTGCAAGCAAACCAGCGGTCGCGGATATGGTGGTAGAAGTGTGCGTGTGCGAGCTGGAGGAGGCGGCCGCGGGCGGGAACAGGGCGCCGCCGCACCCCGTCACTGTGGACAGTCCGCATCCGTATGCGGATGATACGGATATATCAGGTACTAATAAAATCAATAAAGTAATTTGGTTACAAATTATATTTTTTATTTTCTTTTTTATTTTGACATTCTATAAAGTAAAAGTGTTTATAGTTGAAGGTAAATATTATATACTATTTTTAGCATTTTTGTTATTTTTTATAATAATTAAGTATATATCGGAATACTATTATAAATGTGAAAGTTTGTATGTGTGTATGTGTATGTTTGTTACTCCTTCGCGAAAGGACTTGATGGATTTTAATGAAATTATGTACATAGATGGATTATGATCTGGAGTAACACATAGGCTTAACACATAGGTTAGGCACCTAGGGACGCACGTAAGTCAATAGTATAATATAATAATCTTTTATTCGTCAGGTGTAGTTAAAATCCCCGGCGCATCGTCCCTCCGGGTGACATTCGAACAAGGCTGTTCCACTGAGAGGAGGAACGATCCTCTCACAATATCGGACAGTGCTGGTAGAGTGCTGGCGACTCGCTCTGGCAGGGAGCCGGCTGATTGGGCGCAGGAAATTGTCGTTAATGGTCAGCAAATTATTTATTTATTAGCTTTTTAAGGGAAACAAACAGTACAATAAATAATTACATTATAAAACATATAAAAGTAATTCTAAAACCAACCAAGTTTCCACAAATATCCACAGAAATCTTAATAATAAGCTAATAGAAGTGGCATAGACGCGTGACCTTGTCGCCGCGCATGTGACTCGTAGGTCACAAGCGCGTGTAAAGCGTTTGTTGCGGTAAGTAGTGTTATTTGAGACACGGAGAGGTAAACATGGTGTTTTGCAGCATATCCAACTGCGGAAATTCTTCCAAAATTTGTAACTTTACAAATAAAGGGATAACATTTCATATGTAAGTACTTAATTTTTGAAATAATGTCGTTTTTAAGAAATATAGCCAAATCAAATGTTTTCACCACCACTACTACGATTATCGCAGGAAAACGTTTTTTTTTTCAATTCAATAACCATTACCACTTAAGCTTGTTCATGTCTACTATTGCAACTGCTAAAAGCAGCAATGAAATAATAGTCATGCGTAAAGAACAATATTGTCGCGTACGTAAATTCCAAGGACACGCCGCATAAGTTAGCCGCGAATTAGTGACGTGCCACCACAATTTTTTATCGAAAATTTATTACGTTTGGCTTAATATTTTTCGTTAAATATTTAATTGTTACATCTCATTATGTATGTTTTCTTTCTGTCTGAATAATTTATAAAAAGTCATTTATCAACGATTATCTGTAAATTCGTACTTTTAAACTACTTTTTCATTCAGAAAATTATTAGGAGGTAGGCTTATTATTGTTATGTATATGGGTAGGTAAGTCAAAAACAGTATGCGTTGAATATCCTTGTATCGTTGACATGTTCCGCATTTACCAAATATTTTTTTTGATTTGATTGAGTAAATAATTCTAAGGGCGAGTTGTTTGATAAACATAACATAGAAATTCTATAAAAAAATTTAAGTCATTAGTTAAAAATGTATAGGATTTTAACAAATAGTTTGCATAACTTTTGTATAATAATAATAATAATAATATTTATTGCAAAGGTATACACCCAATTTAGAATATAATAACATATATGTAGTTATACAAGTCAATTTTTATATCACTTATGCATATATATGCAAGTCAATAAAAACATTATAAAAACAAAATTCAGTCAGACTCTTCATTAAATTAAACTAGAATTAAAAACAATATATCGCTGTTGAGTATATAGTAGCGGTTGAGTGTATAACTATATAATAATAAAAAAAATTACTTACTTTTAACGTTTTATTGTATTCCCTTTATGAAAATAAATAAATCGTCTAAAATCGCGTCGAGGAATGAAACATAAAACACTTTCAATAAATTAGTTACCTATTGTTGCAAGACTCAACGGAAAATTATCGATATGAGCATTATGCGCTTTGTGCTGCACTAGAAGTGAGCGCGCGATATCATTCTGTGCTTTTCGCACACGTTTATTATTGGTCACAGGGATCACGGGTTCTGAGATTATGCGTTTTTAGAAAATATTGCGTAATGTCATCGCTTAAAGTTTAATTTTTGTTGCAACAATATAAAATGCATGTGTGAGCGATAGTGTGTATTTATTGTTGTCAATGTGTTGGTAGCTGCAAGCCGGCGACACGCGTCCCAGTACTAAAAGACCGCAATGGTATTTCTATTACCTTATTATTAAGATTTCTGTGACAGATATCCAATACATAATAAAAGCTTACAACCACGATATGATAATATATAAAAAAATTTAATATAAAAATAACTGAATCTAACGACTGGTATCACCACATAATAAAACTTAAATAATTATATAGTTTTTATTTACTTGTCGATGTTCTCAACCACCATAAAAAAGATTTGTTTTTTATTTGCATGGTGAGCGGTATCTTTCCTCTTTACAATTTGAATATTTTATTGGCATGAACCAATTTTGATATTTTTATAGATAGTTGTACCAGACTATATTTAGAGAGCGCATAGCAATATAGCTTATGTTGTTACAGGTGATGAATTACGATGGAGATTTACTAGCGATGGTTCGGTTAATGGCTGGGGATGGCGTTTCACTGTTCACCCTATACTTCCATCTCACTCCAATATGGTTAGTGTTTTATAGGCTGAAATGTTATTAATAACAAAATGCTTTACTGTACAGTGTACCTGTGTTGTGCAAATATTTGTTATAATTCTGTATAATTAAAATATATTTAAAAAATTGAACTCATTTTTTAAAACTAATATCTGTATTGTTTATTGCTTGTTATATAGGAAAGTGGCACGGATAGATACATACTGTCATGTCCATCAGTAGAACTAGCATGGCGCCTTTTAGACGGACCGTTGCTGACAGCGATATCGAACGACCACCAGCTAGCGCCCAGACTAGCACAAGCGTTAGCTATTTGCGCACAAATGCCTACTCTGTGTAAGTAAATAATAATATACTTACATGTATATATTATCATTATATGTTCGTTCCTAATATGTCAAATATTTGTTAATTTATATAAAATTTATGCTTAAAAATATAGGTATTTCGCTATAGAATATAGAAATATCATAGATTATTATAGAAAATCTATAACAATTTATGTACAATTTGCTCAAAACCTTTATTTTAGCAAGTCATAGTAGTAAACCTTTATTTATTGTTTATAAAAAAGAATACTTATTTATAAGTACTTCTCGACATAATTTATAGATAATAATATTTCAAGTACAATTTGTGTTTTAATTTTTTAATCCTGAATCTGATTAATCTAATAGAAATATTATGTATATATGATTATCTGAAGGTTATAGCACAGTGTTTTAAATAATTAACAACGTAAATAAGTAGGCATTGTATTAAAAGGACATTGTCTAACAGCGTGGCGAGGGCGTGTGTGGTGCGTGCGGCGGTTGCGCGGCGTTGTGTGCGGCGCGGGCGAGGGCGTGGCGCCGCCCGCCGCGCTGCACGCGCTGCCGCAGCTGCTGCACGCGCAGTACGACCACGAAGAGTCCGCGCTGCGCACCGGCACGCATCTCCTGCACACGCACTACCTTAAGGTTTGTGTCGCTTTGATACAATTGATTTTTTTAAATACATGATGATGATGATGTTCTAGCCGATTCCGGCCACGGCGGCCAATCTCATTGAGACTAGCCAACTGCGCAGGAGATATTATAGTGCACAAGTGTACGCGCAGACACAAGTGCACTCTCTATTCCTGTCACTCTCATACTCCGGTGGGACGACCGCTCGACGCGACCGGTGAGAGTTAAGGCGCAGGACCGACGGCTTTACGTGCTCTCCGAGGCACGGGGGTGAAACACCGCCAACTTCCCAACTCCGGGCTGTTACTGAGACTTACTATACAGAAAGACTCAATAACTAAACTTGGCCCGACCCGGGACTCGAACCCAGGACCTCCGAGTGTGCAGCCGTACATGCTAGCCACTACACCATCAAGGCAGTTAAATATATGTATAAAAAATGTATGTTTGTAAAATTGTTTAAAATTTTTGCAATGGGTTTTTACGTTTACTATTGAATATAGTTAAAATTAAAAATGTGTGTTAATCGATCTCTTTACTCTTTTCGCTTTTTAATAAAATATAGGTTTTATGTGTTTTCTTATAAAATATAGATTTTATGTGAAATGAATCAAAATATTCCCACATATGAATTTATAACGATAAAAAATGGATAGCAATTAATGCGTCAAAACTAACCGTCAACAATCAATATGTTTAGAGTAGAAGCGCTGAAGTTACCAAATGCATTGGACTAAAACCAAGCATTCTAAAAATATATATAATTATCTAGAATACAACGATATATGCTACAATAATGTTTGTTGTCTATAAGAATTTCTTTTGAAAATATAAATCCTAACACATTTCGTTGGCTTACTATTACAAGGTTCTATGTTAATTTTAATGAAGTTTAGTAATTTTTACATAGAACTTCGTTATTTTGCTATCGTAAAAAAAACAACATAGAACTATGTAAAATTGAATATTTTGTAGTTATAGTGCCGCTATCTAGTGGTTTGGTTTTGCAAAACTGTAGCTAATGACACAGAACCTTGTAGCAATAATAACTAAATAAGTACTAAAATTGTAAAATAGAACCTTGTAATAGTGAGCCAACGAATTTTGTATACAGGAGCTGGCGTGGCTAGCGTGCGGGCTGCGCGTGGACGCGCGCGTGTGCAGTGGGCCGGACGCGGCGCGCTGGGCATGGTTCAAGCGCTACTGCCTGTGCATGCGCACCGCCGACGCGCTCCTGCGCCGCACGCCCTTCCCCGCGCCCTTCCTCTCCGACGTCAGGAAGAGATTGGCGGACCTCGGCGTATACAATGCGGATGAGAGCACGGAAGTACACAACTCGTGGGAAGATAACACTAAGTTTACCAGGCAGCATGATGAACAGCTATTACATTGGGTGAACAAGTTAGTATTTGATCAAGGATATAATTGGCCTTTATAAATATATATTTAATGATGTACATAATTACATACTTTTTTACAAATAAGGTGCATGGATTTTAAATTCAGTGACAAAAAACACAACCGAATTGAATACCTTGAAGTTGAATACTTCAATATATGTAATAATTACATTATATAAAAAAGAAATATAAGTAATTTACATGAAAATTTTTGATAAGCTTACAATTAAATAATTTTCATTTGACAATAATTATCATTTATTGTTTCTAATTCTATTTATAAATATAATTATTTATTTCAATTTATAAATATTATAACATATCCTCAGGCGACCAGAAGATTGGTGTGGTTGGTGGATAAGCACAACGCAAGCTTGTTCAGTGTATGGTTGGGGCCACAACCATAGGGGACAGCTGGGAGGTGTAGAGGGTGCTAAAGTACGAAACCCCGCACCATGTGTCGCCTTAGCAGCCTTGAACCCCGTACTCATTGTAGGAGGAGAACAAACTTTGTTCGCTGTTACGCCCGATGGAAAGGTCTACGCGACTGGTGAGTAGGAATATAACAGCCGAATTCTTAATTTCGTTCAATTACATTAAATAAATCTGTATATATAAAAGGAAACCGTAACTGACAGACTTAATGATCTGTCAATGTATAGCTATAATCGTCAAACGGATTGTGATGGGCACACACATAGTTATTATGATATAGGCATCCGCTAAGGAGTAAAATAGTCATTCAAAATTTATCAAAATTGGTTACTCCTCTCAACAAATAAATAAACACGTGACGTGCCTTTCCAAATATTTGTGAACGCTAAAAATGAAAATGACATAAATCAAGTCGTTACTCTTACTCAATAAGAATCTTTCATAGGTTACGGCGCGGGCGGGCGACTGGGTATCGGTGGTATAGATTCCGTCGCACAACCAACGCTGCTAGCATCTATCCAACACGTATTCATTACTAAGGTAATCTATCACGCTAATATTATAAATGTAAACTTTAATGAGTGAAGAAATGTGTGTTTTCACGCTTTAATCATAAATTTTAGTCCAGACGATGTCTATACAAAATAGTACATGATATAAGGACAATCCAATAAATGCACGCGCATACCGACAGCTAAAAATCGACATGATGAAGTTAGCTAACAATTGTTTGTTGCCATGGTAACCGCTGTTATTGTCTGACAAATAATATATAATATTATATTCTTACCTTCAATTATATTCTAATATGATTGTAATATGCCTTATTTAATTATTTTTATTCATTTATCATTCTTTTTACAAACAGGTAGTTAGGACATACGGAAAGAAATTTTTAGCTATTTTTGTTCTATTAAGGCAAAGAAGTATAAATTCTTACGTGCGTACATAAGTACATACACACGATGTAATATGTTTGCGTGAGTTTTAAATAAATGTATTTAAAAAATTATAATATATTTTTTACGTTTTAGGTGGCTTGTAATTCTGGCGGCAAGCATTGCTTGGCGTTGTCCGCTGATGGTGAAGTCTATAGCTGGGGTGAAGGAGAAGATGGAAAATTGGGTCACGGTAATAGAGTGTAAGTAGATATTGATAACAATAGATACATTATGAACTTAATAGTTCAATTTTTTGTAACCAGTTCTATTTTATGTTTAAAAATATTAAATAAATTATTATGCGTTATTTTATTCTTATAATTTATTTGAAATAGCTATTTTTTATGTTTATCATGATATAATTAATGTTGCATTAAATTAAATAAAAATATTATTTAAATAAAGATAAAAATACTATTCCCAATTTAACTTTTTCAACAGAAGCTACGATCGTCCCAAATTAATAACAGCGCTGTCGGGTCTAGAAGTGGTGGCCATAGCGTGCGGCGGCGCTCACTCCGCATGCCTCACGGCGCGTGGCCGTGTCTACACGTGGGGCAAGGGGCGGTACGGACGGCTGGGGCATGGCGACTCGGAGGACCAACTTGTGCCTAAATTGGTAAGCTTTTTAAATTCTAACGCAAAAAAGGGAATTTATAAGTTTTATTATAAGTGTGTATTTGTGTGTCTGTGTATTTGTGTATCCGTCGGTGGCATTAAAGCGCCCAAACTAGTTTATTTTTTATAGTTATTTTTAGCTATTTTTGTTTTAAAGATCAACTCAATAATAATAACTAAACTCAAATTACAAACTCAAATAAAATAAATAAACTCAATATTAGATCAATTTTTTACTAAAATGCACTGAAACTCATTTACTCATTGAAATTATCTCAATGAATAGGTCATTCTATTGGAGTTTTTTTTTATATTTTTTTGTTTTAAGAGTTATAGTTTGTTATCGATTAACAATGTTACATTAACGTTATAGTAAGCTTCTATAAGAAAGAAGTATGTGTGTATGGGCTGTTGCTAGGCAAGCTCAGATGGTCAAATTGTGTTGAAGTAAGGCAAACTTTTATCACAGTCTACTAATCTATACACTTGTGTAACGAAGGGATGTAGACAGGGCAATCGTGCGGGCGAAGACTAATGTCATTCGTTCTTTTATATGACCGTCGGGAAACTGCTTTCAAAGTTGATACTCACCAATATAGTAATAATTATAATTAATAGTTAATAACCCTATTTACTGTAACTGTAAAATATAAAATGAATAATATACAATTTTAAGATAAAAATACTCCAAATTTTCAGGTGGAAGCGCTGTCATCGTATAGAGTAATAGATGTAGCATGCGGCTCCGGCGATGCACAGACTTTATGCATCACAGACGACGACAACGTGTGGTCTTGGGGAGATGGTGATTATGGAAAATTAGGTAAGGGAATATAAAAGTAACATGGCTATATCGAAAAAAAAGTTTATGGGCACTATTGATGGCAAAGAATGTATAAACCAGCCTTGAACAATTCTATACAACTACTAGCGACTCACCTTTTGACGTTTAGTATAGATTTCTCAGAGATGAGATATTTCCCGCAGTAAAAAGTATCCTATATGTTGACCCGGATAACCAGCTATCTTCATACGAAATTTCATCAAAATCTGTCCAGTGTTTTTCTCGTGATGCGGTCACAGACAGACAGACAAAAAATCTAAAAACTATAGATTCGGCCTCTGTATCGAGAATAATTACTATTTCAATAAGATTTTCCAAAAAATATTTAATGTGCAAATTCGACTCAGAATTTTATTAATTATGTATAGATTGTCAACATTTTTACACTATTTATTGTTATGTCTGCAATTATGATTTTTAATAGGTCGCGGAGGATCGGAAGGCTGTAAATTACCAATGAGAATAGACTGCTTAAAGGGACTACGTGTTATCAAAGTAGAGTGCGGCTCACAGTTCTCAGTAGCACTGTGTCAGTGCGGCAGTGTGTATACATGGTATGTGAATGAATATACGAGTATGTATAAACTGATTGATTTGGTATTTTCTTAGACAAATTTATAAAAAAATATATTAACTAAATAGTAAATTAGTTCTTGGACATTTCTATTTGAATGTTTTAATCACATAGTAAAAATTTGTAATTTTCCTAGTTCTTATTAAAATATTTTATTTTGTAGGGGTAAAGGCGATTATCACAGATTAGGTCATGGCAGCTATGAACATGTGCGGCGACCAATGAGAGTTACAGGAATGCAGGGGAAAATGATAGTTTCCATTGCCACAGGTTAGTTTGGTATAAACTATATAATATATAATTTGTTGTTTTAAATCAAGTCATTATACCTAGTTTTTTCTAATTTTAATAATTATTTATTGATAATTTACGCCTGTACAAGTAATTTAAATATATATATATATATATATATATATATATATATATATATATATATATATATATATAATATACTTTATTATAAACACCATTTTAGGAAGTCTACACTGTGTCGCCTGCACAGACACAGGCGAAGTCTATACGTGGGGGGATAATGATGAAGGTCAATTAGGTGACGGGACGACATTAGCGGCGCAAAGGCCTAGACTTCTTATTGCATTACAGGTATTATTTTACTATCTTCATAGTATATTTGAATTTTAATTTTTTTATGTTTAATTATCACTATATCATGTAATGCTCATTTAGATGAAAATAACATACCAAAAAGTATACCCAAAGACAAGTCGTTACGAAATGTGTATCTTACTTGGAAACTAAGTGCTAATACGTTCTAAATAAAATTAATTACGAAACACATTTACGGTGAACTGCTTCATTACATTGTTAAAAGATTTGTCCAGCAGGGAATCTAACTTGTTTTTGAAAAAAAAAAAACATTTTTGGTATTAATGAACTAGCCGCATTCTAAAATTGGGTAGATGATAACATTTACCAATAATTAATTTTAAGACACAACTTAAAAAAACACTGTAAATTGTAAAAATAGATTTAGAGTGGCTTTGATATCAATAACTAGTTAGTTAAGTTGACAAATAAGTGACGTCACAGGTTGCTATTTCTATATAACATCAATGAGGGAAATGCGTTTTGAGGGCTGTTTATGTCAAGTTATTGGTGATGTCAAATACTCAATTTGACCCTAACGAGTACCACTGTGTGACTGTGTGTACAGGGCAAGCGCGTGACGCGCGTGGCGTGCGGCAGCGCGCACACGGTGGCGCTGTGCGTGGAGGCGCAGCGCGCGCCGCGCCCGCCGCCGCCGCCGCCGCTCGAGTGCCATCTGCTCAGAGATCTGCCGCAGAACTTGATATGCAATAGACTGGTAAATGTCTGCTGAGTTTATGCGATTTTTTTTAATTTAGAGATTGGTTAACCTAATTTGACGTTGGTTGTTATCGATAAAACGTAAACCAATTCTGAAAATAAGCTCTTTAAAGATAACTTTAAAGCTTGAAATGATCGGTTAAATTTTTAAAGAAATCATTGTAAATAAGTGCACAATATGAAATCCCAATATCTGCTACCAGAAATGGCATAAATTGACCGCACAGATAGATGGCATGTGGACATTCGACCTATTCAATGTGATCATTCGAGTGACATATGAATATTTTTTTTTCAGGTACTTTTACATCAATTTTCTGAATTAGTCTGCCCCAACTTGCCGCTCCTTATACTGGATGAACCTTTAGACCAACTTCGGAATTTATTATTTTATAGTCTAAAAGAAGGTGCTTTCAGAAAGGTGAGGATAATTTGCACAATATTTAGTCCTGTCATTACTTAACAAAATTAAGCATAATTATTTTTTTTCTTTGTTTTACTTATTATATTCTTAGGTCAATTTATTTTTTTTTTTCAAATTTACAATAGATTTTCTGAAGCTCTATATTGTCTATTATTTAATCTAATTTGACCTTGTTAATGTAGACTTGCTTACACAATAAATTATATTAAAGTCCTAGGGCTAAAGCAGTCGAGTATTATTACTAAAGTTGATAACTAGAATCAATGATACGTATCTATAATGTATGATTGTTGTGTGTCAGGCAATAATGGCGACGATGGTGCGCGACCGGCAGCACGGGCCGGTGGTGGAGCTGTCGCGCGTGGCGGCGCGGCGCGCGCGGCGCGGCGGCGGCGGGCTGGCGGGCGCGCACGGCATGCGCTCCGTGTTCGGCCAGATGGTGGCGCGCCTGCCCGCGCTCACGCAGGACGCGCTCGCGCTGCCGCACCGCGTGTGGAAGGTCAAGTTCATAGGTTGGTGGCGTGTTATCTATACTAATATTATAAAGATGTAAAGTTTGTGAGCTTGTGACGTTGATGATGAAATTTGGTAATATTAGGGGAGCCCACGATGCTAAATGGGGATTTACTCGAGCGTCGTAGAGACCTATTGGGATGCAAAGCTTAGATGATAAGAAGAAAAAAATGTTATATGATATATACCTTTACATCGGTGGGGGAAGCGGCTATAGATTTTTAAATATGTTGCATAGACATCCTCGAGCGCGTCAGATATTGATAGCATCAATGCCCTACGTATTTTTAATAATGTACGTATGTTAATCTGATCGTTTGCATGATGCGGGTGGTTGTATTTAAGGGTTGAAAATGAAAAAAAAAATTTAATCGAGCGCGTTAGATTTTCTAAGGGAGTGTTAAGTGCACCAAAAAAAAGCTCTCATTCACTAATCTGATGATTTCGATGGGACGCAAACTCGCGGCCATTTTCATAATGTGCAAAAAAAAATCGCCATTTTGAAATACTCAAGCGCGTCAGATTAATATATATATGGTTCATCTTTATGTTCTAAACGTACTGTCTCATAATCTGACGATTATTTAGAGGGATTCGCCTGATCTGACAAAAAAAAATTAGAAAAACGGTTCACCTTAAAGGCCATACCTGCAAATTCCCGCTAATTCCATTCCTGGGCGCTTAAAATTGTACTTATGACATTTTTGAGCTCAAAATATAGTTTATGTGATATTTTGAGCTCGCTAAGTTCAAAGAAATAATATTTCTATGCATTTGAGCTCTCCCAGCTCGAAAGTCTGATAGAAGTTTCATAGAACACTATTTTTGGAATTTTCAAACCGCAATAACTTTTGAATAGATCAAGCAATTTTCACGCGGTTGACGCCATTCGACGCAGTTTTATTGTCCTCATAAGTTATTTTTTAAGGTTTTAATTGATCAAACCAAAAATTTCGGAGTAATCCCGAAAAAACACTTTTTTCGGTTTTCTTTCGTTCACGATATCTCTCGAACTAATCAACCGATTTTGACCGGATTAGCGACGATCGGCGTGGTTTTTCTAGCTTAAGGGCGGATTAGTTTTTGAAGTTAATTGATAAAGCCGGTTAAAAGTTATTCCAAAAAAACTACTTTCAAAAAAAAAAATTCTTATTTTTTTTGAGATTTTTCAAAATTTCTCAAAATCTATCGGTCCGAATCGGTTCAAATTCACAGGAAATCTAATTTTGAGGGAAATCTTTAGAACGCCGTTTAGTAGATTCCGATCGGTTTAGTCGTTGAAAAGATATAAGCGAGTCACACATACACACACACATACATACATACAGACTTAGTGACAACATCATACACGGGGGTAGTCAGGGAAGCTTCCTATGACCTTAAAACGTCAAGATCTGATGAAAACTCGATTTTCGAAAAACGGGGTAAAACCAATAACTTCCCGATTTTTTTTTTAAATCATTGAACTTAATTAATTGAAAAGCTCAGGAAATAGCATGCAAATAAATAAGTGTATGCTTTTTTAGTAGAATACATGTATTTATCATATGTTCCTCGGGACTTTCGGATAACCGGCTTGCTCCGACGATATTCCAAAATATTTACACATTTTTTTAAAGTTTCTACCGTAAATTTAATTGTTTTTTGTAAGGTACTTTCACCACAAAATACACATTTCAAATTAATGTCACTCATATTAAATATTTATAAACTTTAATTCACACAAATAATATTAAAATAGCAAAAAAAGCCAAAACGTTGTAAACAGTATGCCACGAACGAGTCTTTATGATCAGCTGTGTTGGCGTCATAGCGGCAGAAACCAGAGTGGGGACGGAGTGAGAGAGTAATAGATAGTGAAAGAGTGAGAGAGGAATAGACACGCGGAGAAGGAAATGTAGGCATCACGCAGCTGCACGCATTTAACTTTATCGACGAATTTTTGTTATTTCGGCTTGCGGAAATCGTCAGATTATATATTTTTCATTATTCTTGAATTATTTCCTTCAAAATAAAAAAAAAATTTAGCTACGCTCGAGAATGTCGAGATGACGTTTTTTTTACAACTTTGTTGCCCTCCCCTTTTTTTACGTCACTCTCAAATTGTCAGATTAGTGGAATATACACTTTTTAGGATGTAATTAACTCACCCTACCTTAATCTGACGCGCTCGAGAATTTCTGATGGTCAATTTTTTTTTACTAATCTGATCCTGTATCCTTCACGGGCGGCCTTATATATGGGCCTCATGTTTTGTGGAGGTACTTAACCGGGTACAAGGTATCCCCCTGTATATTAATCTGCCGCGCTTTAGTAAATCCCGAAATCCCCGCTTGGGCTCCCCTACTATAAGAAGATAGTTTGAGACCCTGGGATATAGGATACTTTTTATCCCGAAAATTATCCCTTAAGGGGATGAAAATGGGGATGAAAGTTTTTACTGGGATAGAAGCTAGGAACGAACTCGAGCGAAGCGAGGGTAAGTCGCTAGTGTAATATATAGGTACATATCTGATAGGAAAACGTACAGTTTTTTTTGTTCAGGAGTTAGGGCCTTATGAATCTATTACAATAATGCTTTTTTTAACATCATAGTCTATATGTTTATGTCTTTTCAAAGTAAAGTTTAGTTATGATTCATGAATATTAAATTCTATGGAAGCTTTGATTGGTAAGTATTTGAAATTAGGAGTTATAAGATAGTTACCAGCGAACCAAATTGACTGACTTCAAGTTAGCGCAAATATTTCTGTAATAAATGTTTTTAAGACAAAATTGTTTTCGGTAACTTGCGTACTATAAATGAGACTCGAGTTTAGTCCGATCAACTCATGTAAAGACTACGTATACCACATGTTATAAACGCGTTGCTGATATCAGCAAATGTGCTGTGCTAATAACTTTAAAGGACACATCTATCACGGACGTCTTATGCATAAAATGTGCGCTGATAAACTTATACAACGCCATTACATTTGTATCAATACAAACGCATAGAAAGCGCCCGTCGACAATATGTAAAAATGTTGTAATGTAAGTGCATAGGTGATTAGATTGCGTATTTTATCATGTATTGTACATATTTTTGCCCTCCTTACAGGCGAGAGCGTGGACGACTGCGGCGGCGGCTACAGCGAGAGCATAGCGGAGATGTGCGAGGAGCTGCAGAACGGCTCGCTGCCGCTGCTGATGGCGACGCCCAACGGCCGCGGCGACGCCGGCGCCTCGCGCGACGCCTTCCTACTCAACCCCACCGCTAATACGCCGCTGCATCTCAACTGCTTTAGGTTCTTAGGTAAGTTTTGTTATATCGTTTTATAAAATATTATACTTTTATTTAAAATTTATTATATGTAATAATGATCTACCTCAACGAACAGATTTTAACATTAAAATGTTAAGAAATTGCCCAAAACGATAGATTCATAACAATTGGTCACATCATCATACTGAGAAATAGTATATTGCAAACAGTTTACTACAACTATATTAGAGAAGTTAATTCACGGGCTAGAAATCAGTAGATCTAATGAAAGTTTAACGTAGATACGCCGGTCCAATAAAACATATTGGTGTTGTACTGTATGTGAATTTCTAAACTCGAATGACCTTCAGTCTTCATACTGAAAAATGTTCTACTTTACCATATATGAAGACACAATGGTTTAAAAATGTTTCGTCTTAGTCTGAATTTCAAAAAAATAAGCCAACGGGAATCGATTTCGCCGCTAGACTATATATATACATCATCATTATTTTTAGGCAAATTTTACAACATCCGGTAAAATATATATTTCCGGTGTTGAATAATAACAATGTCGGCAGGAGTGCTAATGGGCATAGCGATCCGCACCGGGTCGCCGCTGTCGCTGTCGCTGGCGGAGGGCGTGTGGCGGCAGGTGGCGGGGCAGCCGCTGCGCCCGCAGGACCTCGCCGAGGTCGACAAGGACTTCCTGCCCGCGCTGCTCTGTATACGGGATATGACGCCGCATAACAAGGTACTTCTTCTTCTTCTTCTACTGATACATACATAATATACATAATTGACTACATGTTTGGCTCAGTTCGTAGTGTGTACTTGCTGTGCCAGCGGTCGCGGGTTCGAGTCTGTGTGCTGGGGGTATTCATTTGTGTGATGAGCACTAATGTTTTTACTCCTGTCATAGTTGTTTTTATTTATAATATTTATGTATTTAAAGTTTATAATATGTGTAATTTATCAACTGGTGTCCATAACACAGCCCTCGTAACCAGGGAACTAGATGGTGCTGTGTGTTAATGACTCAACATATTTATATTTATTTATTTATACTAATAGTGCTTAGTACTTTGCTAATAGTTTTAGACCGACTTCAGAAAATCAGGAGGTACTCGATTTGAGTGTATCCTTATTTAGTGTATACGCGTATCTTGACAAAATATGAAGTGATTAAACTTTAAAGGTCACATATAAATTACAAATAAACATCCCATGCGCAGGATTGAAGTAAATACTTTAATAAATATTTATAAAGATACTTTTTAACTATAAGTTGTTGTTATGCTTAAAAAGAAATTTTATTAATTCAAATGTTTTTTTGTTATTTTTGCTCTTCGATCAGGAGTTACAAAATCTGGAACTACCATTTTCAATACCATCGGCTGCCGGATACGAAGTTCCTCTTTCAACAAGACATAAGAGAGTGACGCCAGATAATAAAGATGAATATGTACAATTGGCTCTTCATTACAGGTATATTTATTTATAAATTTATTTATTTTTTAATAAATTGATAACATTTTTCTATATATGCATAATTGATAATTATGCGTTCTAATAGAATTGACTTATGAATGACAAGTAAAAATGAATTTTAGTTAATAACCCGTGTAGTAGTAGTAGTAGATACCGTGACTAAACCTATGCTTATAATAAATTTCTGAGTCGAATCTCTACATTAAATATTTTTTTGGAAAATCTTATTGAAATAGTCATCATACTCGATACAGAGGCCGAATCTATAGTTTTTAGATCTTTTGACTGTCTGTCTGGGAAGGTATCACGAGAAAACCACTGGATAGATTTTGATGAAATTTGTTATGATGATAAGCTGATTATGCAGGTCAACATAGGATACTATTTACTTGCAGGAAAATATCTCATCTCTGACAAATTTGTATTAAACGTTAAGACGTACCTCTTGTAAGAAAAGTTTCTTCTTATTAAACTCCAAATGAACAATTTAAAACACATTTATTGTTCTATGCAATAAATGTAATCAATTTAAATTGCTTTTAAGCAATTTGCTTTTCTATTGGTAAGCACATGAGAACTGCTCGATCTATTTTGATAACCATTACAATACGTGTGACTTAAGCGATCCATTATTGCACGGATTCAGAAAAAGTTTTAGTATAACCACAAAGATTGTAAATAAATTATTTATTAAAATAAAACATAATTATTCCAGGCTGCACGAATTCGACGAGCAAGTAAAGGCAGTGAGGGACGGCTTGTCGCGCGTGGTGCCCGCGCCGCTGCTGGCGCTGTTCAGCGCGGCCGAGCTCGAGACGCTGGTGTGCGGCTCGCCGGACATACCCGTGCACACCTTGCGGGCCTCCGCTACATACAAAGGTACGGTTTGCTTTTTTGCAACCGTAGTAGGAGACTAGATTTTATTTATTACTAGCAGAACCCGCGGCTTCGCTCGCGCTAAAACTACAAAAAAAACTAAAAAGGTAGTTTTCATACAAACATTCATCCCCTATTTTACCCCCTTATGGGTTGAATTCCGAAAAACGCTAAAACACATATTTATTTAATTGTATTAAAGAGTATTAATACCAAGTTTCAGGTAATTCTGATCATAAATATTTTATTGGGATGTATTATAACGTGTTTCCCGTGGGAATAAGATAATCTCCCGCGGTAAAAAGTAGCCTATGTCACTCTCCAGCCCTCCATCTAACTCCACACAAAAAAATACGCCAATCAGTCAATCCGTTTCGATGTAAAAGAGGGACAAACAAACAAACACACTTTCACATTTATAATATTAAGTATGGATTTATTGCAAACTGGATTTCTTGTTATTAATCTTTTACTTCCTTCATTTTTTCATGAATTGCCTTAAGGTGAAGTGACCTGTATCTCCGAGAGAATGAAGTTTTCGAAAGGATATATGTAAACCGGCAATCCGCCCTTAACCAACGCAAAGGGGTAGTCCGTACCCAACAGTAGCATGTTAAAAAGGGCTGATCGTAACCGCCTTCTCAATATTGCTGATTTTTGTTTGTATGTTACAGCCTACGTCAATTGTTTTTTTTTTAATTTTTTGGAAAATATTTATTTTTTTTTGTTTAAATGAAATACACTAATTAGTGGATTTTGATTAATTATTTAAAATACTTTTTTTATTGTTTTATATGCAAAGAATATTACATTTTCTTTTAAGAACATCTAGTCAAATCAGTACTACAATTCACTCAAATATAATGAAACATTCCAGGCATAGAGCCCAACGCGCCCCTCGTGCAATGGTTCTGGGAGGTGATGGAGGAGCTGTCGGGCAGCGAGCGCGCGCTGTTCCTGCGCTTCGTGTGGGGCCGCACGCGGCTGCCGCGCGCGCCGCAGGACCCGCGCCAGAGGGACTTTGTGCTGCAGGTGGGTAGTGGTCTAGTGGATAGCATGTACGGCTGCACATCTGGAGGTCCTGGGTTCGAGCCCCGGGTAGGACTGAGTTTAGGAATTGAGTTTTTTTTAAAGAAATAATAATTCGGAGTTGGGAAGATGACAGCGTTTCACTCCAGGGCATCGTAAAGTTACAGACCCTGAGCCTGATCACTCACCGCAAGTATGAAATTGTCACAGAAATAGACATAGCACGTTGTGTTTGCGTCCACGCTTGTACACTATATCTCCTCTGCAGATGACCACCCCTCAACGAGATAGAACGCTGTGGCCAAAATAAATCAAGAGAACATTATGAGTATTGTGTCAATCCCAATCAATCAAGTCAAACCTTTATCAGTACGTCCAACCTGTAATAAACTAACGGCACCAACTGACTTATCGTACAGCTGGTTCACGAACTCGAGGTGGATCTGCATAATTATTGAAACTATGTCTTCGATATCTTATAACTATGTCATCGATACCTTATAACTATGTGATAACTTGGTTATAATATTTTAAAACATGAGTTTTAAACTTACGAATATTTTTAGGTACTCGATAAATATCAACCACCAGATCACTTCTTGCCAGAGAGTTACACGTGTTTCTTCCTATTGAAGATGCCAAGATATTCCTGTAAATCGGTTTTACGAGAAAAACTGAGGTAAGTAATTGCAAAGAATTGTAACATTTTATATTATAAAGATTTTAATTTGTTTTATAAAGATGTTTGGATCTATGTTACTTTTGGTTTAGTATCGTGAGTTTTCAGATTAGAATTTATTAAAATCAATATACATTGTAATTGTACGTTTACCAAAATGTAATAAGCAATAACGCATCCCAATCTACAACCCGGTAATACTTTCTTAGATTTACGCGAATATTTGACATTTTTAATAAAACTATATCTTTTCGATTATTTTTTTTGACGAAATTCGAAAAGATTTATTTAAAATACAGTTTGGTAAATTTAGTTGGAACGTTTATAATATAACTAATACCAATGCCACTTATCGTCAACAGATACGCAATCCACTTCTGCAAAAGCATCGACACGGACGAGTACGCGCGCGTGGCCCTCAGCGCGGCCGAGCGCGTGTCCTCGGAGGAGTCTGACTCCGAGGGAGACGGGGCTCCGCCCTCCGCGCCGCCGCCCGCGCTATACTCCTTCGCACGACTACCCATGTGGATATGAGCACCATACAACAGACATAATTGGGTAGTTGACGCCATTAACCGATGAATCCGTCACGCAACTTCTCTAAAAAAGCTCATATTTGAGCTGATTAATTTTGAATAATCTGCAAAATTAGATTTTTAGTATCTTTTAAATCAATAAATATGTATACTCTTTTCATTATAGCATAGTGCGGGTCACACTTGTCAGTATCATATGAGTTGGGAATTGAAAATTATTAATCAATTTTATCGATAAAGATTTTTAGAGAAAGATCGCAATAAAAAATATTTTAAAATACTGTTCATACCAATCTTATAATTTACTGTCAACTTAAATTGTTATTTAAAACAAAAATTTAAATAACGTACAAAAAGTACGCCTATATAATTAATATCGACCATCCATCGTACAAATAATGTCTGCTCACAAAGACGTTACGTTACATGTATAACAAATCGCAACTTTTTTTTAATATTTTGAGTGTATTTAAAAATAGCTACATATTATAGGTATAGGTATCTTATGTAATACTATTATCGTATTCTTTGACTTACTACAATTATCAATATTTTAGTACTTTACGCTCATAATATCAGAAATATTACGCCATGTTTGTAAATCATAAGAACATTCATTAGTGAAAAGGAACAGTTTGACAAATCTCACCCGCACCATGCTACTATGAAAATAGTACAGTCAATTGAGTTGGCAAGTAAGTGACGTCACTGTTTGCTATTGTCGTACAAAACCTAAGGGGAAATCGCGTTTTGACAGCTGATAAAAATATTTCAAGTAATTGGCGGTTTAACTATCCAAATAGACCATACAGTATACACATAATCTTATATCTGTACATATGGAGGGTCTGCCTCCCGCGTTATACTCTGCACGACTACCTTAATGGATTTGAAGACCTTATAACGAAACCATAAATGAACCACAGTATTTTCTTTCTTTTCTTCACATCTAGAGTGGTATATTATTTAGAGTGTTCCGTTTGTATGTCACAACCGTCTGTTTTTTAATATGAATTTATAATTTTTTTAAGACAATATCATAATTTTTAATCATTCATCATAAATACATGTACAGCGCACATGTCATTTGAGTATCACAACATAAAATTATATTTTTTACCATGTCATTGATGAGGGCTATCATTTCAGGTGGCACCAGTTGGCGCCACTGCCGAGTAAGGTCCTATCGCGGTCGTTGAAAAGTATTTGTTAATGCAGCAGGTCCAATAAATTTAATATAATAATTATAATTCTTAGTGCGAAGACAGTTCTATCAGGATTTTAAATAATTAATCACAACCAAAAAAATAAAATATTGGTTCTTTCTTAACTTTTCTTTTAAATCAAAAAGTAAGATTTATTGTGCCGTACCGTGTCTACCATAATTAATCAGGAATGGCATAATCTTTACAACAATCATGAATATTAGTGAAAATCCGCGATAAAAGCCTGCAAACAGTAAACGTTCAGTGTCATTTGACATTTTTAGAGACCTCACTTGACACTAGTGCCCTCTCGGGGCTAATTTAAGCGCGGTAGCCCCCATTTTGCTATGCAAGACATCATTATTTTAACTATACTTGTGAATACATGTGATACGTTATTGCGTTACACGTGATGACTGCAGTATACATCGAAATAAAATTGTCTTAAGTTTTTGTAAATATTAATTATTAATGGTTGCCTGGAAATAAAGCTAGCACATTTCAAAATTAAATGTCTAATAGATTCTAACAATATAATTTGCATATTATATTAATTAACCGTATGCACTATGGACTATAATTTGATACATTTAACATTACATACTCATATGATATGAATATGAGAAATCTAGGAAAAGTCAAGTGTTTAATGCATGGTTATTCTATATGCACTAGGTTATGATCTTTGCCCATCATTAACAAAATCTAAAACAAAATACAATTGCTTATGTCTACTACATTATAAACTTAATATTGTATTAATATGTCACCTGATTAGATGATTCAAATTGATTGAAGGACCGGAGTTTAGTCACAATGTCCATACGAAAAAAGCATATTATCATATAAATTGTTACCAATTTTTTTAAGATATATGAGCTTTTCTTTGATAAAATGACACTTAAACTCTTTATTATTAACTATTGATTGTAGCAGTTATGCTTGAACTGCACAAATTGATATTATGAAATGTGATAATGGATGTCTAACAAAAAACTTATCTAATAATCAATGATGGCTACGGAGAGGCTTATTACCCAGGTTTGTTAAGGTTACTGTGACTTTAAATATCTAGGTATCTGTATGAAGTAGACAAACAAATATACAACAAAAGTATGTAAGACAGTATTTTTAATTTGATCTTCAAGACTGGTATGAGGCTTGAGGGTATATATTATTTCATCGGGTATAGAGTATATTTGCGGTATATACGATGAATAATAATTATTTAACATTAATCACGCTTTTCTATCAAAAACATGTATAAGCATTCCATCCAAAATGTTTATTGCTTTGATTCGAGTGATGAAAGAAAGTAAGAAGCCAGTATATGCTTTCATGTATGAATGAAATAAATATTTTACAACGAGAGGGCAAATGTCCGATTTCCAGTATTTAAATGTAATCTCATTTTAATCATAGTTATTTTAAAAAGGAGAATAAAAATAACTATTTTATTAAATCTGTTCTTGAAAAGTATAATTTTGTTACTAAACAACTTTTTCAAGATCACTTTTTCCTCTATGTATCTTATCACTTAGAACTCTTTGTAAGTTAGGTTTTAAAATTAATCATATAAATGAAGTCATTTATGGTATTAAGGTACAGACAGCTTTGTTCCCAGAAGTTTCATAAAGAGATGGATATTTGAAATGCCAAAACATCGCATAATGTGATGGTGAATTGGTTATTGGAAAAAGAAATGTATATGGTTGTTCATATTAAAAGAAAGTCTCGACTCCTTTTTCTATGAACCATTATTGTACTACTTCTAAATATTGGGTCAACCTTGAAATTTAAATATTTGATAATACAAGCTTTTACTTTAAATATTTACAATTCACATTTGACTTTTATTAAAGTAGGTAAATTATACCAAAACAAAAGCAATAGTAGTATTCTAATATTATTTGTTTTAACATCATCTAATGTCTAGAAGTAGTGTTAGTGAGACTGCTTTTGTATGTTGGTAGGTAGGAATTATAAAGGAAGGTGCATTTTATAGAACAAAGTAATGCTAGTCATTCTAAGCTGTGTAAGGCTTGATATTATTATTGTCATATAAACATTATTTGAATATTTTATTATGAAGCTCTTGCTTTTTGACATGAAAGTTATGCTTTGATATCAAATTAATATATTAATTTTATATGTGAAAATGTAGAACTTAAACAGATCACCTATTTAATTACAATTTGATGGATAACTGAATTTGTATTAAATGAAATAATAAATGCACTTTTGTATTGTAAAACAGATCTATAGAGAATGCAAGTTTTGGTGCTAGTGCATTCTTTAATACTTTACATTTTGTTAAGAATTTAGCAAGCACAAAGCTAAAATATCACACTATGTAGACGGTATTTCATTATATAAGAACACAAAATAACATTTTTTAAGTGGTAACATACTTAAAGTTTTTTTTACCAAGAAGACACAAATATTCGCAAGATATTCATCAACATCTGTGTAGTGCAACATTAATTTTATACATTCAGACTGCAAATAAAACTATTATTTATGACATAATTGTTATTTATTTTTGTATACTCCTATTCCATAAATTAAAAGAAAATGTTTATTACATGATTTATACTTTGAACTAAAAAAAATTGCTGAACCAGGAATTGAAGACATTTTATGGCTTAAATTAAAACTTGACATTATTCTACTTTGATTTTGGTTTTAATGTAAAATATAATATTACAACACCAAAGAATGCATAGGTTGCCTTCGCCGTCTGAAAAATATTAAATTTATTGTAGTACAAACATTTTAATTTTAGAATAAGTTACAAAATAAAATAATTATTAAACAATATTATAAAAATATTTTATTCTCTTTGATTACTATAATTATTATCCCGTTAAATAAAATGTCAGTTTCACATGCTTCCCTAGTAACATATTAAGTAGGTAGAAACATAGTCTCTCCATTTTTTGCTTTGCAAGATTACCAAGACTATTAGCAAGAGAGCAGTGAGAGCCTGTGGCCTTTGGGGTGGTTTGCCACTGGGTGTCACCTGTTTCCTTTACATATGTAAATTCAAAAAATCTTGCCTTATGGGTGCTATGATGTATAGGTATGAGTGACTGCTTTAGAAATCATGTTATTGTGTTCATACTGTTTAGAAGGGGACATCCTATCACACAATTATTCACTGTTTTTCACAAACATTTTATTTTTAGTAGTCCATCCCACAACCCCACGCTAGCTATGCCACCGTTACAGAGTAAACTCCATTACAAACATCATCGTCATCATTAAATGATTACTTATTAAGCCATTCATAGTCGGACGGGATTTGGAAAACTAATCCTTGGCCAAATTGAATTGATTGGCTTGAGATCTTATCTTTATATTTTCTAATTATTATTTTTATTAGTAACAGTATACTTACATTAGCTCTGCCTCTATTTGTCTGGCTGTTAAAATATCTGGCAAGTCCCTTAAGTTGGGATTCATCTGCGGAATCTCCACCAGCCATTCTGAAACATAAATAATATCATAATCTTTATTACATCTTTCTCACTACTACATAATATAAAAATAAAAAGTTTTAAGTTATTTAGAGTACGAAAAGGCAATAAATCTAAAAACTTTACCTGTAGGTAAAATATGAAACTTATGTAATTACAACCTCTAAAGAAACGAAATCAGGGGGAGGACAAACGAAATAGATATCGGATCAGTAAAGTATCAACTGACAGATGAAAATATTACGCTTCGTTTTATGCAATCATTTTTACACTTTTCAATATTCTTCGTTTCTAGTAGAAAGAAACCCAATATTATTATTTTTTAAATAGATTAAATTATACAATAACTCCCTACAATTAGACAAAAATATATTCAATTTCATACAATTTCTTGTTGGATTTTTTTTATTTTTATTTTTTATTCCTTAATTTTCTTTTTAGATTTGAAAAGCTTGTGGTAAATATAATACAGTGCTACACCCCCCATCGTTACTTTTGAAACCTGAAAACAATATTGGTTTTTATTTAGATACATAAATTAAACTTTAAATATTAAAATGTAACCATACATGAAGAATTATAACATAGACTGGGCTCACACGGCAGTAGGTATTTTATCAAATAAGTGGCGCTTACATATTGTACATCCCTGTTAAAAAATTCCAATAGAATCCCATCAAAAGCGACACAGAAATTAGAAACCAATAAATGTTTATTGATTTCTATGTGGCTTTTGTCCTTTTGATGGGATCCTATTGGAGTTTTTAAATAGGGATAGAACATCATTCCTACTTACAATATTTATCCATGCTTCCTAATGCAAAAAAATATACACGACAACGATGTGTACCTCTACCTCCTACTGACTTTTAGACAAATCAAAAGAACTTATCTTTACATGGGATAAGTGTTGTAAGAAAATTGCGTATTACATGTGAACATTTCGTGTAATAAGTTTATAATTGAATACTGAAAAAAACATGCGCTGTATTGCCTTGTGAACCCAGTGGTAGAAATTTTAATTTAAAGAGTACTCTACTACTAACGTTAGCACGACCTCTATTCGTTTGACTATTAAAATATCGGCTTAAACCTTTTAAATTTGGATCGTCATCTTGACCCGCCATTACTTATATCTGTTTATTTCACCCAAAAAACATAAGAATTTATTGAAAATAACGCATAGTACGGATTAATTTGTCAAAAAATATTTATTTTAATGTTTTAGTGTTACTGACAATGCAAGTTATGTAAAGAGTCCTTAATTTTTAGATCAGTTCAAGAAATAGTTAAGTCCTGTAGTATTCACGGAAGTTCTTTTTTGAGTTAGAACGCAAAGTTTTGATTTTAGTAAAAATGATTAAACAGCTATTTTATTTTAGAAAATAGTGATTTGCCCTCGCTTCGCTCGGGTGCGTCCCTAGGTACGTTTTAAATAGATATGAATAGTTTTGCCAGTGTACCTTATTATTATTACCTTAGGAGAAAGACTTATGCTATTGCCGATTTGTCTGTATGTCTTATTAAATATTAAGACCTACAATTTTCTAATACATTGTAGCGATTGTTTGTGGATGTAATATGTATCTCTTAAGGTTTGCCACTTGCCAGCGTTAAATGTAAATTTCTAAGGACGACTCCATAGAACTAAATATTGTTTTTTCCCGCGGGAATAAAAGATTTTCCTGCAGTAAAAGGTATGTGAAATGTTGACCCGAGTAATAAGTTACTTTTTGTGTGAAACGCGCGCACACAAACAGACATATAGACAAACAGACAATTTCTTTAATTACTATTGTTTTGGAGTCTATACACAATACGTTACAACTTACAGTCATTGTTTTTAAAAAAATATTTCATGTACAGATTTTGCTAAGTTACTGTTTTATTGTACCTAAAAATAATATTCATATCTATTATTCCTTCCCAATTTTATTTATATAATATGTAGTTATTTCGTAATCTCACAAAACGTTATATTTTGTCGAAACGATTTTTATTTTAAATCAAAATTCAAATGGATTTAAATAATCTAATATGGCTGCAACGGCCATCTAGTATAATTGATTTATTATTACCTTTGTCCTTGCCAAATTTTATTGAAATCTAATAAGACGTTTAAGCGTAAAACAAACAGGAGTTAGTTTTTTACTTATGACATTATCATACTCGTAAAGTATGGGCCAAATATAAGCTATCTTTTTCAGGTAAATCCGGCACTCTTAAGAATTTTAAACGCTCTTTAAAAATTAAACTAATTAAAGGAGAATTCTTGTTCGACAGTAGGTAAAAACAGCTGTTTGCAGTCTCATTTTCTCACTTGATACTTCCAATAACGGATGCTGATGTACACTGCGCTTTTTAATTGCGTCGTAGATGCGTCACGCGACTGACATATTTTTATCATTCATCTATATCGCATGTCATGTCAAGGTAAACTTAACTTGTCGTGTGCATAGGCCCTTAGCAACATGTGTCTTAGGCTCATTGATGTTTGATCACAGGTTCGATTTCTTGCTTAGGTGTTTTTTATTATGCTATATTTTTGTTATAGATAGAGGAGCAGAATGTAGATAGTGTAGCACACTTTCAAGAGCGAGAAAAAGTTAGAAAAGTTATTACTTGACGTGAGTTATATAGCTTTTTAGTAAAATTTTTTTATCAGATAACTCATTAGTGATCTATCAGATGTAGGTTATTTTGAAGACCATGATTGGAGATATAATCTATACTAATATTATAAAGAGGTAAAGTTTGTGATCTTGTGAGTTTGTGAGTTTGTGACGTTGTAGGGGGTAATCTCTGGATCTACTGAACCGATTTTCAAAATTCTTTTACCAATAGAAAGCCACGTTCTTTCTGAGTGTCATAGGTTATATATTAACCCGAAAAATGATAAGGCTTTTTCGTGGTAGTCGGATTTGCAAAGTAAGTCGGAGAAAAAACGGTCGAACGAAAACGTTTCTTACGAACGCTGCCTTAACTATGAAAGACATATGATTATGTTCTAGAGAAAAGTTGTAGAGCTTAATAATGCCTATAAAAAAGTCAGCGACAGCATATGTCTAACTTTTATATTTAAGTCACAAAAAGTAGTTTTTTATATTAAAAAAATCATTTAAATCGGTAGGTCATGTTTATTGGTCATATTATCAACAATTATGAATTCTTATCAAAATAAGTAAATTTATCGTCTAAAATGTTTAAAATAAAAGACTTTTCCCTTTTACTGCATATAATTTGGACAAATGGTTAAAGAGATAATACAACATATTCTTAGGTATGGACGAACCCGAGCGAGCTGTTTGTCTGTTTTTCTCTTTGTACGGGCTAATCTCCGGATCTATTGGACCTATTTAAATGAAATTTTGCATGGTGGTACCTTATATCCCCGGGCAACATCTTAGATACTTTTCAGCTCGGAAAATTAAAGAGTTCCCGTGGGATAGTTAAAAGACTATAACAACTTATACAGCTTAGTACACATAAACTACTGATTGGATTTTAATGAAACTTTACAATAATATAGTTCATACATGACAAAAACAAATCAGCTACTTTTCATCCCGGAAAATTAAAGAGTTTCCGTGGGATAGTCAAAAAACTATAGTAACTTATACAGCTTAGTACACAAAAACCAATGATTGGATTTTTATGGAAACTTTACAATAATATAGTTCATACATCAGAATAACAAATAGGTAACTGTGTATCCCGGAAAAATGTACTTTTCCCGTGGGATAGATATTTTTGTTTATTTGTAACGTATTATGTACACAACATAGACCCCAAAACAATAGTTATAAAAAAAATTGCCTGTTTGTCTGTTTGCCTGTATGTCTGTTTTTGTGTGTGCGTTTCGCGCGAAAAGTAATGTACCAATTTCAACGAAATTTGGTGAAGTGATAACTTATTACTCGAGTCAACATTTAGGGTACCTTTTGTATGTATGTATGTATGTATGTATGTATGTATGTATGTATGTTGTATTCAGCCCTTTTTAACACATGCACGGGTCTCCCTTCAGTACGAGGTGGATCAGGCCATACTCCACCACGCTGGCCAAGTGCGGGTTGGCGGACTTCACATGTCTTTCGAAAACTTGCTAAGTTCTGTCAGACATGCAGGTTTTCCTTCACCGTTAAGACTGGGATACCACTGGGATACCACTGCCTAGATACCTTTTACTTAAAGAAAATCTTTCTTTCCCATGGGAAAATACAATAACTGGTTTTATCGAGTCCTCCCTAGACACCTTCCTCTGGCTAAGCCTTAAGACATACATCAAAACAATATACTAAAAAATTGTAGGTCTTGAAAAGTCCTACAGAAAAGTTGTGAATAGTATATGTCTATCTTCTAAGTTACACTCGAAATATTTATTCTTATCTATACCTATAATAAAACTTAGTCAAATCGATGTGCGCGTTTCACGCAAAAAGTACTCAACCGATTTTAACTTAATTTTGTATAGTGATAAAACTTAGTGCTCGGGTCAACATTAGAATACTTTTTACGACAGGCAAATTATTCATTCCCATGAGAAAATACAATAACTGGTTCTATCGAATTGTCCTTAGAAATTTATATAGCTAACGTTGGCTCAACCTTAAGAAATAAATCAAAACATTGTACAAGAAAATTGTAAGTCTTAAAAAGGTCTATAGAAAAGTTCTGCATAGTATATCTCTATCTCCTAAGGTACACTCGCTATAACTATTTTCATTATTATATATTTCTGTTTTATTATACGTTATTTATTCTATCTGAATATAGGTACATATATCTATCTATATATATAAAAGAAAGTCGTGTTAGTTACACTATTTATAACTCAACAACGGCTGAACCGATTTGGCTGAAAATTGGTGGGGAAGTAGCTTAGACCCAGGAGACGGACATGGGATTTTTTATCTCGTTCGATTGCGTTCCCGTGTGACGTGACATAAAACTCAAGAACGGCTGGACCAATTTTTATGATATTTGAATTTTTGGATTTCTCTTAGTCCGGAATAGGATAATAAGTATTAAAACATCAGAAAAATTAACGAAAATTATATGGCTAGCGCTGACTAATAACTATTTATTTCTACTTAAAACGTACCTAGCGACGAACCCGAGCGAAGCGAGGGTGAGCCGCTAGTAAATAAATAAAAAGAAATATATAAAGCATTAAATGCCTTTATTAATTTTATAATTATAAGTGCATAAAATATTTAAAATGAACGAACTGATATACAATGGCATATCAGTTGTTTACAAAATAGTAATTTAAAAGCAGAGCCTCGTCTGTAAAATTGGCACACACTTATGCCATTATGAACTAGCCCATAAGTGAATAGTTTTAAAAATTGTAAAATAATTTTTAGTCCTGTGAGCTTACCAATTATACTACAAGTTATCTATATCTGTATATGTAATATATTGTAGTAGGATGACTGTATACCTTTTTATTCACCTTTGGGCTCGTAAATTTTGACATAGGTGTGGCAAAAATCATAGTAAAGGAAATACATATTGTACTCATTTAAAAAAAAAGTGATGTGAAATATATCTTCACAAAAATATAATATTGTCATGTAATATTCTAATAGTATTCTTGTGCAAATAATATGTATTTCTCTTTATTACTGTCTAGGGTACTTATATGTATAGAATATAAAATAATAGTGTTAGAATATAGTAAAAATCATGTTAACCTAATTATTATAAACGACTAGTATTCAATAAAATGAAAAAGATCAAGATTGAGTTGATCTTATTACTTTATTAAAATTGATTTTAATATTTATCAAGAATTAAAAAAGTCAAATACATTCTAAAGTGTTTTAAAAATATACAAAAATATGAATATTTTCCAAATTTCTTATTTTAATTAATATCATTGAATATATATGTAAAACCATCATAAACAAAGCCATAGGCCATTTTGATTTAATAACAAGGCTAATTATGCCAATAAGATCAAGCCTAGCCACACATTCTCATATCTAATTAAGTACTAAAACTTTGAGCACATAGTGTAACACTTCTTTGTATATAAGAAAAATCACACTTCATTGTAATGCACTTCATTCACTATATGCTTAAGTAAACTTAATAGCATCCTATTTGCACAAGGCCAAATCACAGTTGAGATAGGACCAGCTAAATATACCATTTAGTGTCACCAGTCTTATATCAATATTATACATATTTATGATATTTTTTGAAACATTGATTGGGAGTATTATATTTTAAAATATAGGCAAAGATACTATACAGTGATTTTGGTAATATATGAATTTTAATATAAACAAGTTCTGGCAACAACATTTCATGGAATCTTCATCTACCAGTCCAGAGATATTATATATCATAAGTCTTGTACATAGGAATATGTTCTATATAAGGAGATCTTCTTCCCAATCTTCTTTTTGTCTTTCTGATACTGATATTGCAGGTCTAGACAATTGTTTCAATTCTTCATACATTCGAGGTGGAATAGGGTTGTCACTTAAGTCTACATATTCAAGTGCCCTAGATCTTGCTAACCTGTCAACATCCACTTCTGTAAAAAACAATTATCAAATGTTATTAAGAAATTATGTTGCATATTTGCTAGTTAATTTATCTTATACAATAATTTTAGTAATTGAACTAGGGCTTTTTAGGGCTAGTGAGTCCCACATAACCACCATGGAGTACCATGTATGGAGGTGGTATGCATAACGCATTTCCCAACATTAAAAAAAAGGGAGAAGTATTAAGTTGTAACATGTAATATACATGATACAACCATAGTATATTTGAAAAGTGTATATTTCCTATATTGCCTATATATGTAGAATATATTACCTTTACCAAAAAAATAAATAAGAATTCAAGTACCAATGATTTGATTGTGGTGTGCAAGTAATGTGTGCAGACTGGGGCATTGGAAGGCAATACTAGGCAGGGCCACAAATGTGTTGTGAGAGATATCCAGACGCTCAAGGCAAGCTAATGTACAGAGTTCATCTGGTAATTTGGCCATTTGATTATTTGATAGGTTTAAGTCTGAAAAGAGAAAATAATTTTAATTATTGCATAAAATTATTTATAACATATAATGTATAATCTTTTGCATAACAAAACATAATAAGTTTTGAATAATATAATGAAAGCTTTTAAAACTATGGGAGTACTATTTTCAAGTAAACAAAATAATAGTAGTTAATTTTACCTGTGATTAAACTAAATTTAACTGTGAATTTAGGAGGAATTTTGGTTATCACATTCCCACTAAGGTCACAACTCTTGAGCTCCGTGTGTCGCATAAGGTGGTATACAGCATCAGGTACTTGCATTAGTTGACATTCAGAAAGATCTATAAAGAACAAAAACAAAGAAAATAAGTATTGCAATTTATTCCATTTTACTAACAATATATAATAATATGATAGCCATACAAATACATAATTTTGTAGTAAAATAAATAAATATGCAGGTTAACTCGAGATCTTTTCCTTAACCATAAGTGGTCATCATACTGAAAGTAGATTGATACTGTTTGTCCTTTTGATACATAGTAACATGTGGCTTGCAATGTGTGTTAATTATGTGCTTAGCATTATTTGTTTACTGTTAACATAAATATATAACATTTATTAAGAGAGGTATCAGGTCCAATCTCAACACTAACTGAATATTTCCATTTATCATATTGCTGATGTTTGTTCCAGTTTCATAAATATAAAATTTGTACAGTAGTCAACAGTTCACAGTTACAAAATTAAAATAACAAATTATAAGTAAGGTATTTTCATGTTCTACCTATACCACTTATGCCTCAAATCATCAATATACACTTAATATTATTTTTCTAATAGTAAGACATTACCTAAAATTTGTGTTTCCTGTGCGTTTTCACACCTCAAAATTACACGTGTAACCGCCAAAGCCATTACTTTTATGATAGTATAGTAAGCAACTCGAAAATTATACTTTAACAATGCAAGTGGCAATTCTAGTTATGATTGGCTATAACTGAAATATTTTACAAAGAGTAGGCTCTTTGTTATTTTTAACGTTCACTGTAACAGTTTCAACTGTATTCGCAGTCTAAAATGATTCTATTTTTGAATTTACTACTTCTGACTTCAAGGTTGTACAATGTACAACATAAACATATTATATTCTAGATGAAAATCTTCCGCAGTTGCTATTAAAGTAATAACGACACTTTTAAAATTATTTGATTATTATAAACAGTTGTGTTTTATTCTGGAAAAAAGTTCATAGTCAGTCTTTACTCTTTAATTTTAATAGAAAACAGAAAATAGAAATCTATTGTTTGGGTTTAATGCATTTTATTTTTTTGACAAATGACAGGAGTTCATTGACAGTGACACATAAGACATTGACATGCGGGACATCTAACGAATGTTTAAATTTAAGTTTAGAAACAACATTTTTTATCGCACAAATTAACTAACACAATAATTAATTATATAGTAATATTATTTGTTTAGTAGTTTAATTTCTCGAATAATTCAAAAAAGATTAATTATATTTATTTTTTGTGTACTTATTGATTAATATTTATATTGTACTCGCGCTAAAACTACATAAAAATCTCTAAAAGGGTAGTTTCATACAAACTTTCACTCTCTGTTATCCCTATAGGATGAATTTTGAAAAATGCTAAAACGCGTATTTATTTAATTTTATTAAATATATTTTTGGATTGTATTATAACGTATTTTCCCGTAGGAATTAGATAATCTCCCGCAGTATAAAGTAGCCTACGTCACTCACCAGCCCTCAAACTATCTCCACACAAAAAAATCACGCCAATCACTCCGTTTTGACGTGAAAGAAGGACAAACAAAGAAACACACTTTCACATTTATAATATTAGTATAGATTTACATATTTGTAAGTTCACTGTAGGTAAAAACTTTAGTTTTGTTTTAAAACAATAAGTATAATGTGTCGTATTGGATGGTACTTGATAACGTTAATCCAACTAGGAAGTACATTTAAAAAGTAGTGACCTCAAACTGCCAGTTCAGCTTTATATGGCGTAAATTGTTCCATTAAGGTCAACGCGTTTTGTACAAGACTTTGTCTAAGTTACATTGGGCGAGGATGTTCTAAATCGATCACTTCATACATATGTCTCTAAGACTAAGACAAGCGCTACGTAGACATATCGTTTAGAGCACGCAATAAATCCATGCGACTGCGCGCCTTCCGCATATTAGAACATTCATTGTGCTCGTATTTCTGTCTTCCGGGAGTCGATATGAACGTAATGTGGAATGAGGAAAATTAAAAAAAAAAATGCTATTAACAGCTTACTTAAAGATTAAGTAAAATAGTAACTACTATTTAACAAAATTAGTAGTGCGTATAAACTAACATTGATACTAATTATTACTTTTTTAGGTTATTAATATGACTCTACCTAGGACTCTACCACTAGGTACAGGTACTAGTATAGTATTATATGATCTGTGGTACGGGTATATAATTAAAAATATATTTTGTATCTATTTAATGATTTAAAGAATTTATAGGAATAAGTTATTTTATTATTATTATAAAAAAAATATAAGTAGAAGTTGCTAAATAAACACAATAACACCTATTTATAAGAACTTATTTGTTACATTATGATATTAATAGTGGTGCTAAGATTAATACAAATCACACTCTGAAATCAAGAATTAATAAATAAATTGATCATGTACACGAACGTAACATAGGTAACGGATAAATCGGCGGGTAAAAATGGCCGTCAACGCAGGCGCTCTCATAACAGCAACTGCGCAAAACTCTCCAAATAACCTACTAATATTAGGGATTACAGCGGGTCACAATAGGTGCCAGCTGCCAAGTGAATTGTATAATTATTGTATTTGTCCATCGTGGTACTATTTTCTTTCGGTTTTACCTTACGTAGGCATAAAATAATACGACTTATAAAATTTCTCTGCATTTTTACGCGGCGCAGAAGTTGAGCCTATAATATTTGTTAAATAACGATTCCGAAATGATTTTTCGAGAACCATAAGAAAGTCGAAAGAGACACTAAGCGTTAAACATAAAATCACGAAAGGTCTAAACTTCAGATACCTACCTACTAAAGGTTAAGTGCTATAGTTGAGTACCTAAGTATATATACCTTATCCAAAAAAAAAATACAATCCATGTACTTACTATACGACCACTACGACGACCATATGGTCGCTAGAGACTAACTACGCATTGTTGTATTTATAGCGCGTATGTGACCACTACGCAGTACGCTGCTGCGAAGTGCGAACCTAATTTAAATACTTAGTTCGTTGTTGCGACCATAGTCTCGGCCGAGGTCGTTTAATGCTTGTAGACAAAATCCTAAAAATATGCAAATTATAGTTCAGTTTAGTGTTCTAAAAAGTACTTACAGTATAATATTAAATGATTGTTTATAATTTATTTTCGCATAGGTACATGAAATTTCGTTGGTTAGGTATTGTCGCATAACGCAATGATTAAAAATCCAATATTTTAAACAATGATAAACACAAATATTTTGAATTATTATTTATTGCTCTTAATTAAATATAATTGAAACGTTAAACAAAGGCAGAAATAAGATTGTTTTACTGACCTCGAGTTTCATAACTTTGATACAGTATAAAATTTTCGAAAGACAAACAAAAGTATTACTACTAGTTAGTTTCGTCATTATTCATACATAGTATTTTAATAAATTAAGATTTTAAGTCAAATCGAAGGAATTATGATGTAAAAGTAAAATTTAACTTAACGATTGCTATACTCGTAATGTATGAGGTTTTTCGTCGATCCCTAACGACGTATTAAAGTATCAAAAGTTTTGCGAATAGAAAGTTGTTGTGTAACTGTTGCTGTTAAGAGTCATTATGACGTAAAAACGGTAGTTTAGCAAATGTTTATTTATGTTGGAAAAGTGACACTTTTCACCATAATATACCTACCCATAAACCTACCCATAATGGCGCAATTAATTTTTTTACTGTACCTATATAAAAAAAGGACACTTAATTTTTATTGAAACTTTTTATTTTATGCTGTCTTTTTCTTTAATTTATTTAGAACATTCATATGATTAAAAGAAAAATATACTTTATTGCTTAAAGCACATTGTGATTTTCATATTTTAATTTGGATAAAAACAAGTTTTAAATTATTTCAATACAAACGAAACGTTTTTTCCTGTAAAGCAGAAGAATATTTTCTATTTCTTTATGTGTATGTGTAGTAATTATGCTACGTGTTAGAAATATATAATTAAATAAATTGCGGTTTATTGATAGTTATAGGAAGGTATTTTTTTATAATTTATTTAAAAAAATTTAGCTCTATAATGTGTTTGAAAGGATCACATCAAATTTTAATCTTATACATGCTAAGTTTCACGATGTATTGCAATTGTAATTTAACGTATTATTACAACATTTCACACTTTGCATTTACATCACCTGTAGCAAAAATATATGAATATGTAACAGTAACGTTAGAATATGTTGCCACAGCATAAATGAGCAAACTTAAATTAGTTGTAATTGCATAAAAAATACACTAAAATTAAATGAAACAGAGAATTTTAGTTGTGTAATTTAAAATAATTTAATAATTAATTTAAACATTAAACACTATAAATCAACTTTTAGTATCTTTCTTTGTAAGGTAGAGTCGTAAGAGAAATATGGACATACAACATAGAACATAGTGACTTCTTGCTTCTTGAACAGCTTACCGATACTGCCTGACGAAAGGCGCTGTTAAGCGCAGCTTTCTTTACTGGGACATACATCTGCATTGTCAATACCGTTTGTATTGACTATCTATCTACCTAGGATAGGAGTAGAACCTGTGATATAGTAGTTACTAAATAGTATATAATTGCTGATTCGTAAGTTTCACTACTCCAAGATGACGTCGATGCTCTCAATATTACAATTTACAGTGAGTCATAGACGGATATTAGAAAATAATCTTTCTATAACTTGAGATCGTTATTATACTGTTCGTCTTTCTGTTCGATGGATCTATATTTTCCTATAGGTATGTTTTCTATAGGTACTCTATTTCGTATATTTAATTTTTGGTTATTCATTTACATACTCTATGTAGAGCTATTTATTACTTTAATTTAAATAAGTTGAACTGAATATCGCTATTTATAAATAATTACGTTATAGATGTTATAATACTATACAACGATGTATATATTTTTCTAAATTCAATCCCCAAAAACAATGAAAACGTGTGACAAATACTGTATTGGAAATAATTTTTTTGCGAGTCAAGTAATGATAACAAAAGGCTAGACCGTAGCATGTTATCTAAATCATGATTTTTGATTCCTATATAGTTTCATTTTAATACTTATTTAAGATAAACTACGACCTGATACACTAGATAAATATTACGTGACACTAATAGATAGTGGGTCAAGGTCGTTCACGATCAGTTCATTGACAAGTACTATATTGCTTAATGATTTAACCTAAAAGGCCTAACCTACTTCAATAAACAGTAAGTTTCATCTATCATCCAAACGTAAATGTATACCTATAATACGACGTAGTTACTAAGATAAGATATTAGCAAATTAATTACAAAGTAGAGCAACGCGACTAATCAAACCGTAAAATTATGTTTTTGGGGTAAAACACCTAATTGAAGTCTTAGATACGTTTACGTATGTTTGTAAGTATGACTTGATTTTATAGTGTTTACAAAAACTATTTTGCGGCGTAACGAATTAAATTCTTGAATATCATTTAGGTGAGCAAAATATATTTATAACTGAAAACAAATAAAAAAAGAACATTTACCGGGAATTACAATAATCTAGCTACATATTTTTAATAGTAATATTTTAATTATTTCTTTATTATATACTTAGTTAATATCTATTATATTTAGTCTTTGAATATTTTGCAAATTAATACTGAGCATTTATATGTGCAACCTATCCGGTGACTTTGAATTTATGTATCCATTAAAAGGAAGTTATAAAACGTATGAGTAATGTAGATAGACTTATAATATAGGATATTCTTATTTTATCCTTCATATCTAGATATTTTCTTATAACAAGGAAAAAAAATCATTTATCTATTGTTAATTGCTTAACAACCCTGTATATTTCTCAAAATGATTTCGATTTTGTTTTATTCAATTTATAGATATTAATATTTTAAAATTATAAACAAACAAAGAAACTCTGACCTAATTGACTGTTTTCCTGTGCATCCTCACATCTGCCGACAACTCTGATGATGGCTCTTCCGGCCAGTCTTGCGCAGATCATCATTGCTGGCGCCCTGGGGTCACCCTCTTCTGCCTCAGCGGGTACTCTCGTACCATCGTAGTCCGTGGGGGGCCTCATCACTGCACTTGATCACACTGCACTCCTCAGTTCTAGCGATCACTGCTTTAAATCACAACAGTCTGATGAAAAACAGACTGCTATCACAAATTTTTGTTTATTTATTAATACACCGCTCCGAAACGCAAAAGCGCCTGGGTGAACGGCAACACTTGTAAATCCGAGCGCCATTCCTGTCCAGCCTTTATATCGTCGCCAAAACAAAGAAGCATGGCGCGTGAATGAGATGGCAACAACAACAAACGGTCGTCTCTCTCTCACTGTCTGCGCAGTTGACGCAGTACGCTTTCCTCGCGGAAGCACGTGGAAAATAATTTATGTTAGGAGAGAAATATATACAAACAGGCGATTTGACAAAGGGCCATCGCGTTCAGACAAGCTAATAAATAATACCCTCTCGTTTTCTTTTGGCGGCTGATCTACATAAAACGTTATCGATAGACTTTATTATTTATATAATCGTCGATTGAAAATTTAATGTTATGATTGTGTATGGGTTCAATGTGAAAGGATGCACGGCTTGATGCTCGAATAAAAATTTCCAGCCTAATTCACTGTGCGCCATCATGTGGATAGCTTAAATTGCTGTAATTCATTGCGGAACTCGATTACTGTTATTTTAAAATAGCTTATAATATGATTCATATCATAGAAATCAGACTGGTATCATACCTGCGTCCTATTAATTGTTTACATAACTGAAACAAGAAATGCAGTTGAAAAGATACGCAACTAATCAATTAATAAACCTTGATTTATTGAGTGTCATAGAGCGTGATTAAAGAAATGCAATGAAATTTATTTCTTTGGCAATATTTTACTCAAGGATGTTTTTAATTTAATTGATGTTTTTTGCCCAGATAGGCACTAAAATAATATTTTTAGAAATACAATGGATTTATTTAGCTAAGTAAATACGAGTAAGTACCTAAATACATCGTGGAAATCTTTTAAATAAGTAATCAACAAATTATGATAGTATTATATGATCCAGATTTCATTTCTTTGTTTTTTTTTATCTTTATCTAGTTTTATAGATATCGTTTTTATTTACCCGAATAATAAGTAAGCAAGTGTATCGAAATAGTAATTCATGCCTTAACTCTTGATGAGTTCAATGCGAAACATTTTTATCTACGTCTTCGGGATATACCTACTCGTATAATGTTACAATTTCATCATAAGCCTATATCATTTTTTAAGGATTTTATGATATTGTATTAATTGACGATTGAATTTTTTTGTAGTTTCAAGTTTCAACTAGCCCTATTAAATCGTAGATTAATAGGTGATATGAAAATAGGTGTAGGTGACTATAATTAACTTGATGTTAAAACATATAAATTCTTCTTTGTTTTAGGTTTATTGAAGAGTGAATAATAACAAATGTAATTTATTTGCGTCAGTTGGAAAAGTTTGACGTAGATTTAGCATCCGTTCAACGCACTGTTTTCGTGTCTTGGCCAAACAGAGACGCAGAATTTCAACTTTGGCAACCTTGAACGTATGCCAAGACTATATTCCCAAGTCCCGTGCTCCGATTAAAATCTAAATCTATTTATTTATATTCAAAATAAACAAGGAAACGTTAGTATCGAAAGTTACTCCGTTCTTAGATCGATTTATTTGTTTATTTTTGTTCAACTTTTAACTTGCTGTAATATTTTGTAATGTTATTATTAAGAATTTAAAGTATTTTATTTTCAGTCTGAGTAACTGTCCTCATTTTTCAAAGTACCTACCATCGAAGTAATCGTATTGATATAAGTAGGTTCAAAAGTATATCCATCAAAATAAGGAACTCTCAATGTTAATTCAACAACCTGCCTTATTTCAAAGAAAATTTTTCCGGTTTCTCTGTAATTGGCATTTAATTGTAAAATGTAAACCAAGTTATATTAATTGTGTGTGTAACTGCCTATGTAACTACTATAGTAACTGTGCAGTAATGTTTAAAAATAATTACATAATTAGATTTCTTTTAAATACCGCTAAGAATATATGTAATTTTACAGAAATATTTCATTTTAACCTTGCATTAACGAAAGAGGCTTCCTTCTTTCACGACCTAGTTTGAGACAAATATTTGTTATTTATTAAAAGCGTAAATACATCGTACATTTGCCTTGCAATATTCATTTATTTCATCACAAAAAAAAGCAGAGCGATGAGGAACATCATTTGAAATTTCCGTGTTGGATTAGTTTCTTTTAATTTGAGTGTTAGACTTAAACAAAAAATCATATATTTGTTGAACATTACATATAATTAGCAATGTGTAATAAATATCACTTGGGACATTCGAAATATCCAAGGATATTAATATTTATGTAATATTATGGTGAAGAGAGATGTACACTGTTCAGTTGTATGTCTTAAATCAAATAAACAAAAAAAAACATTACCCAATAGGTAGGTACAATCATTTGTTCCATGTGGGGATTCATTTATTGATTCCCGACTCATTAGACCGATATGTTTTTCGATTCAATTGAAAAATTAAGGAAAGTCGCCTTGAGCCTGTATGTTATTGTATTCCTAACTAATAATATATAAACATCTTTGTTAGGTAGGTACTATTAATGATTGGCCACGTGCGAGTCACTAACAACGCGCACGCTATAGTGCGAGTAACGCACCAAATTTTCCGTTATAATGCGACCGCTGACATTTCGCAGAAGTTTTTTCATGAAACGTAGAGGTCGATCCTTTGTGCTATTTCAGGAAAACCTGGAAAACAGCCAATTCCCTTTCCATACGACGCAGTTCAATATGCGCGCGGGTTTTTGATCTGTATTTACTGCAAGCGAAAATGTTCTCTAAACTGTAATAATATATAATCGAATTAGTTTTGGTTCATAAGATACTCGTATTTATATAAAGTACATATGAATTTTCTTTGTTTAGGTAAAACATTATTAACTACATTCGGTGTATTCTTCAAAGTATAATTTCAGTTCGTCAAGAATTTAGTTAATTTTTTGAGGAAAATTATTTGATAATTAGAAAAAATTGTATAAAAAAACACTGTCAACTGCGTAAAAATTCAACCAAAAAGATAGGAACAAGTTAACAAAGAAAGAGTACTGTACAGTCCGAGACATCTATAGGTACATGTAGCAAGACTCGCAGCAAGGATAAAACATGCATGTCTCCGAATGCATAATACTAATTTTCCTTTGTTAACTTCTTCCTTTTTTTAGTTCGCTATTTACCCAGTCAGGTTTTTTTTATTTTGTTAGTTATTTTTTTAATTACATTACGTAATTAGTATTGCCTAATAATAAATACTCTACATTATAACAGAAAAGAGTGTTAATTACACGGATTTTTTACTCAATTGGAGATTATTATTTAATTTCTGAGCATTTCACTAATCAATTATAAAAGATATTAGAGGCTACATTTCATCATGGCATAACGTAAATTGCACGTAAGCCATAGATGTTTATCAATATAACTAACGCTTACGTTAAATTTTGATATTCGCTTCGCACATCCAGCACAGCTTTTTTTTTAATTTAGGTACTTGAAACTTGTTATTCACCACCTACTTATACAAGTTATTTCCTAAGTGAAACCGGACTATCAAAATAATTGTATGAAATTTAACAGATTAACTGTACACAACAGTTACACAATAGAAATGTTCATATATGACTCATGGGACAGGGAAACGGCTAATATTAATATTGATTTCATAATAATTTCACCAAGAGAATCAGTCAGGCTGGGGAACGAGTCATCATGAAGCAAATGTTTATTTACAATAGGTACAGTAATTCCTTATAACGATATACCTACAACTTACGAGCAGAATCAAAAACGCAACGTAGGTACACTAAACGTGGAGTCAACAGAGCGGAGATTTGAAGCATTCATTCTAATCCTTGTAACGCCATAAGCCAACTAATAAACTACAATCATAGATATTAGTTATGATATAATTAATCATAATAACATGTGTCTTTTTATATATTCGTTTTGAATTAGAATCGCTCATATGTAGTAGTATGTATTTCGATTTTTTTAGCAAATTAGATTAGTCTTACAATTAGTTACGATAGTGGCAAAAATTATGAAAAAAATATATATGTATTTCCAGCTGTTAGCCAGGGCCGGATTCGACCTTAGCGCCGCCCTTGGGCATAGTAAAAAATGCCGCGCTATTATCGATTATAAAGTTGTTTTTTTTTAATATATATTTTTTTAAATATGGAAAACTAATTTATAAATTAATTCAATTTTTCGAAAAATGTAGTAGTAATTTTTTATTAATGATTTTTTTAGAAAATAAAGATAGCGTTTTCGATAACACGAGAGATTTTTTTCCCACCCTTCGAATTTTACCGCCCCTAAAAGTTTGGCGCCCTGGGCACTAGCCCGGAGTGCCACTAATGTAAATCCAGCGTTACTGATAGTATGGAAGGGTCCAAACATTTTAGTATCAAAAACTCACAAAATATTTATACTATTATTTATGTCTATTTTAAATTAACAATATTTTCTGTAATACCGTTTCCTTGTATACAATTGATTAGGGTTAAAATGAAACAGCTGGTATACATGAATAATATATTTAATGGTATCAAGTGTTGAGTCCGTCGGCAGCACGTTGCTGGGCGAGCTGAGCGGCCGCGCAGCAGTGCAGCATGAGTGCGGTGAGCGCGCACGCCCGGCCCTCACCGCCTTCCTCGCCACCCGCGTCTGACGCCGATAGCTCCTCTCGTACTGCTTGTAGCTGTTTCATAAGCACATTTGTACATTAAGGATAAGATGTATTGTCGAATGTAAAATGAAGGTTAATTATATGATAGATTTGATGACCGTGTATGAAGAGAATAATTACAAGAGTTATGTAGAGATCGTAGAGCTAAGGCCCCTATGAAGATTTGCAAAGTATAAAATGTCAGGGTATGTGTGTATATCTAGATTACTGGTAGGTGAGGCATATAGCTACCTAATTACAATTTATAAAAAATAAATATATAATATACAAAAACTTAAAGATGAAATGAGGTATAAAAGTATGAAAGCAGACTCTCCCACCAATTCGCTAGTACAAAATATTCAACAGGTTTTAAAGGTTGACGACCTTTTCATTCATCTACAGTAGGGGAAAACCAGGTAAAATGATGCCTTTTGATTATTCTTGGTATTTGCCGGTTACTCATAGATTAATTATAATTGGCTTATGTGAAAAAAAAATTTCGATGATTCTTATTTAATTGACTATATAAATTTAAATACTATTTTCACTTATTACTTACTAAATAAATTATTAGTCACAGGAAAGTTAGTTAAAAAAATGGCAATCTTTGCTTGTGACCCAGTGTAAAAGTTTTTGTCATTGTTAGACACTTCGTAAAAAGTACGTACAAGTAGGTACATATTTTTTTCTCAACTATTGGAGGTTCGTTATGGATGTACATACTAGATAATTCTAGTTTTGTCCCTACCATTGTAATCTTCTAACCTAGTTGCCTAGATGTTATTTTTCCGTATGGTAGATGCTAACGCTTATGTTTGGCTGACCCTTAAATAGATTTTAAACTCTTATGTCCAGTGTGTTGCTTGTTTCATTTTTATTTAATAGATAAAAAAAAATCATAAAATTAAAACAAATCATTATGTCTGGCATAAGTAATATGATACTTACTTTGCTCAGTTTTGAGTAATCTGTAAAATCTTAAACTAATAGTATTATATTTGACGACACGTTTGGCTCAGTTTGTAGTGACCCTACTTTCTGTGCCAGCGGTCGCGGGTTCGAGTCCCGCTGGGGGCATTCATTTGTGTGATGAGCATGAATGTTTGTACTTCAGTCATGGGTGTTTATATTTATAATATGTATGTATTTAAAGCTATATATGTGTAGTGTATCAACTATCTGGTATCCATAACACAAGCCTCGTAGCTTACCATGGAACTAGATGGTGTTGTGTGTTAATGTCCCAACATATTTATTTATTTATATTTATACTCGTAAGTTCAACGTTTATCCTTAATAAATGAATCATCTGAACGCAAAAACACGCTTCGACCTTTCACTAGCGCGTGATGAAACTACCTGCCAAAACAGTTGCCATTCATTTTTGCGATACACGGAATAATTTAGGAAAAGTGAGTAATTTAGAAAAAGAGATTAATAGTACTCGCTTTATTTGAGGTCTTCAATTTGTCTGGGTTTCTTCTATTATCTATATAAATTTTAGTTATTTTTGCTTAACTTTTAATGTAACTGACCATTTCATGTATTTGTGTTGGGGTGAGCTTCGAAGCAAGGTCTGGGGCAGAGTCGCGGGCGGCGGCGAGTAGTGCATCCGGTGGTAGAGCGCTGCGCAGAGCGGGCTGCAACATCGCACCCACGCCGCCTCGAGCTAGCCAGGTTGTACCACAACCGCTGAAGGGATTGGCTGACTCTAGCGATTGTTTCCTATATAAGAAACATTTATCTTTAATATATTAATGACCGCCGTTTTCCTGGTAACGCCTAACGGGACTGATTTATTTCTCAGGAGGTCGCGAATTCGATTCTCGCACGTATTTAAATGTTTTATGATTTTAGGACTGGTTTGGCCAATACAAAGCGTGGCCTTGGAAACAGTAATCTACAAAGCATTGCCTACTGTATGAGGAAAACGGAAACGTCTATCTATTCAGCAAGCAAAACGATGTGTATACCTATAGACAAATGAGCGAAGGCTTGTCAATGTGTTTCAAATGAGTTAGAAACATTGAATACTGTATGTCCCTTACAGATTCATTATTCAAATTATAAATACATATAATAAACTTCTGAGTAGAATCTGTACATTAAATATTTTTTTGAGAATCTATAGTTTTTAGAATTTTTATCTGTCTGTTTGTCTGCCTGTGACCGCACCACGGAAAAACCACGGGAGAGATATTGATGAAATTTGGTTTGATGATAGCTGGTTATCCGGGTCAACATATACAATACTTTTTACTGCAGGAAAATGTCTCATCTCTGAGAATTCTATACTAAACGTTAAAATATAACCACGGACTAACCCGAGCGGAGCAAGGGTGAGTCGCTTGTGTTATAATATAATGTTCATTAGACTATACCTACTAAATATTTACGTTGTAACTGTAATTTTTTGAGTTAAGTACGTATTTTAGAAAAATATGTTATAATTTTTTTGTCCTCTTCTTATTTTTAGCTATAAACGCTTTATGTTAGTAATAAGTACTTTATTCATCTGAATTATACGATACGACATGATAAACATTTGGGATGTGGGAGTATGTTTATGATGATATAGTTCATCAACCGTTTATAATGCGCTCGCGCTGAAACTACTAAAAAATCTCTAAAAATTTAGTTTCATACAAACTTTCATCCTCTATTTTACCCCCTAATGGAATGAATTTCTAAAAATGCTAAAACACGTATTTATTTAATTTCATTGAAGAACCAAGTTTCAAGTAATTCTGATCAAAAATATTTTTTTGGATTGCATTATAAAGTTTTTCCCGTGGGAATTAGGTAAACACCCGCGATAAAAAGTACCTAGCCTATGTCACTCTCCAGCCCTCCAACAATCTCCACACAAAAAATCACGCCAAGCCGTCACTCCGTTTCGACGTGAAAGAAGGACAAACAAACAAACAAATAAACATACTTTCAAATTTATAATATTAAGTATGGATGTAGTAGATGTAACTGTATATTATAACTAGAAGATAGAAGTCTTTTAAGTGCATATTTTATAAATCATAATTGCTTTTAACCAAGTAGGTATCGACTAATTATAATATGTTGACTTAACCATTTACCGACCATCACCACTTATACACTTTAAAAATAATATAACCCCTATTATAAGCCCCTAATAACAATAAAAAGTATATAACTCTTATTATAGGTATACGTACTCTTGAGGTACCCAATAAAAAATATTTTTGTCGTATATTAATTTCTTTTTTTATGAACACGGTCAAAAAGTACTATATTCAGTAATCTACTTCGACTTTGGTAGAGTGAGCGACATAATGATCACTTTCGTTTGTTAGCTTAACCAGCAAGGGTGACGAATAAGAAAACTGATTTCTTTGTATGAGTATACACTATCATTTTATATATATACCATGTCATTATAATCTATATAATAATTTTCTGTACTCATTACGGCACGATAGCTGTTTTCCATACGTGAACATAATATTATTAATATTAGCTGCTCACCCTCGCTTCGCTCGGATTAGTCTCTAAGTACGTTTTAACGGTTAATATGGAATAGATAGACTATATATTATATTACTGCTCCGCTCCCTTGGGTAGTAGCGTGATAATATATAGTTTATAGCCTTCCTCAATAAACGGGATATCTAATGCAAAAAGAATTTTTCAAATCGGATTAGTAGTTCCTGAGATTAGCGCGTAATAAAGATAGAGAAAAATAGCAATAACTCTGTTGGATTTTAGTAACAAAAACATTTATACAAGAGGAAAGTGAAGATGTTGAATTTTTGTAGTGATTATAATTAACTAAATTATTCAAACAATATATAAACGTACTTCCCAATTTGTTTACTTACAATATCTACCTCGTTATTACAACTAGGAAATTCCGTACGAAAATATTTAGTAGTGTCGTTCGACTTTTTGTTTTACATCTCCAAATAGTAATTATATATTTTTAATCCCATTCCGTTTTGTTATTAAAATATTAAATTAACCATTGAGTTTATTAGAAAATAAAAATTGAATGTTACTCTTACCTAGATAGATACATAAATAAGCATTTTTGTAGTAAGGTACATGTAATATGTATGTACGTATTTATATATTCAAAAGCTATTTTCTTACATGCCACTTTTAATTTAAAAAAAAATTAACGGCAACTTGTGATCATACGGAGGATGAATTTCAATAATTATTTTACCTTGGAGTATGACTGGGCGAGGGTGGCAAGGAGCGGGAGGAAGCGTTGCTTTTGGGAGCGCACAGGGAGTGAGCCGAGCCTGCCCGTCGCAGCCCCGCTACTATTGCACTCATTGCACCTCCGCCTTTATATTAAATCAATAAACAATATAACCATAATTCAAACTAAGCCTTCTCATAATGCTAGGAAAATAAATAAAGCCTAGTCTATACTAGACCTTTATGCAATGTGACAATCAAACAAACCATTTCTTATTTGTTTGTGTCTCTAACAGTCATCATTTCCTCGTATTTTATTAATGTATAAAAATACTATAATTTTATTTCCTGACAGTTTAAATATACTATTTTCGTAGTATGAATAGGCCAATTAGATATTTTATACTTTCTATGCAGTTCAATAAACTTTACTTATATATTTTAGTACGTAATTATATGTCTCTATTTTTTAAATTCTAAAGTCTAAAAAATACTGGCTATTGCAATTATTGACTCAATCGAATTTTATAGTTTTGTGTTTAAAATCTAAATATATAGAAGATACATAGTTTTATTCTCTAATCTATTAAATAAAAGGCTGTTTAAGGTGAAATGCCTAGTGTGCTGTACAAAATAAAAGTTATTTTCGCGTGTCAACGCAATTAATTGCTAGTAACTCATCGGAGAGCGAAACTTCAACAAGATCGTAGATAACACTCAAGAGCTATGTTGCATTGTCTTCCAATTACTCAACATAGTCATTATCCTTGAAAATTAACCAGACCGTTCATTCGTTATGATTGTAATACAAAAATTTCTTAAGTTGCGAAGAATTTAGAAAAATTTTAATTACACAAGGACACATTGGGTAAAATGAATATAGGCTTCTATGATATTTTACTAGGGTTACTTAATTGGATGCGCTCGATAAATCAGGCAACTACAGGTCGAATAATTTAAAATTTGTAACCTGTTTCATTTGTTTATAGCGAAATAAAAGCAAATTACTAAATCTAATAGTGATTATTTTTAAGCTACTTTTTCCATTGGCTATTGCTTACCGCTCAACTGTTGACTAGCAATAAGCGTCCAAATTCTATATATAGTCATGCTACGCTATGATATTCCATTTGGTATGAAAATAATATATATGTCGAGTTTTCCAATAGAATTTCTTACTTTCGAAATAAATTTATTTATATTTTATTTGTTTTAACTTAATTATTATCAGGTATTAACTTATTCACTATGTTAACATAAATACCGGACATATTGTATTGGAACAAAAAATGATGAGGATTTACATAATGGCAAAACAAAATATCCAACTTCCCAACATTCCATAAAGACAAATGTCTCTCTAAAGATGAGCAATCCAGGCATTCAACTAGCATAATGACTAAGGGATTAAATAATTTGTTAAAAGGCGTTTAACAGAAACAAATGATTCTGAGAACTTTTTGTGAATCCACAAATTTGGGACAAAAACACTGACGGTGAAAAAAAACCTGAATTTATTTGTGTTGGAACGTGTCAGAAGAGTCCGGGTGTGTTAATAACGCTTTCGTCAGCATTCAAGTAGCTCGTCTGTACAAACAAAAACGAGATTCAAAATTAAGTTTTAAAATATTATATTGATTTATTTGGACAAAAATAGTGTTTTCGTCATTAAAAATTATAAGTAATCAACTTTGGCACAATATCATATCCTCTAGATGTATTAAGCAACTGAAACATACATAACGATGACATCTTGACGTACTAATGAATGATAAAATCACGACTTTAAATAAATGATAATGATTTACTAAATACTTTTTAAGATAATTCATTTATAGCTTAATATATTTAGTGTTGAATATGTTTGAGAAATAGAATTAGAACCAAATAATGAAATTAAATAGCATTTATACAGAAATAGAAATACTAGTAAACTTACCTTCTTCTTGAACGTCTAATGAGTCTTTTCTTTCACATTTTTCATCTTCATCAGACTCAGGATCCATAATGTTATCTGGCTCCGTCATGATGAGCTCTGGTGGAGGGCAATTGTTCCCTGCTGTCTGATCTGTAAATAAGGTATAATGTAATATGAATATCATACATTTTATTATAAGAACTTTATACCAATTAAATGCAATGTAATAATATTCTGCTAACCGGTTTTTATCAAGGGGCAAACTTCAATGGATCGGGCCAATTGCTAGGGATATACTATAGTGCACAAGTTTGTGTAAATATGAGGGCGCTCTTTACTCTTATCACTAAAGTAGTTCGATGAGACGACTCTCTGTAACTCTCGACTCGAGGTATGGGAGTAAGCATCGCCGACATCCCAACTTGGGGCTGCTACAAAGTATTTCGTAACATATCCCACTAACTACTTTGTTCCCGGGTCAAACTCAGGAACTCACTATCTGCAGCATACATGCTAGCTACTAGATCAACGAGGTAATCGGTAATTACAAAAGAGATGGTAAATATTAAGCCATTTGTTAATAAGGGCCTAATATTTTAATTGATATAGTTTTAGATAAAAAATAGGCACTAATTAGAAAATATTTATGTTTTTTAGATCAGATAGATATGGTAATACAATATGCAACACACGGCAAGCTCTACTTCCGCGTTTCGTACATCTCGTAACGTTCACGCAATCTTACTTTATTTCGTTCGTGTCTTTTTCGAAATGCAATAATTATAACTGTTACAAATATTATTATATAAGTATTAGATGGTGCAGTCTCTTTAATGGTTTAATGGACTCTTGGCATACGTTGATTTTCATTTCCTTTTGGAATTTATGTGTAATATTATTATTATTAAACTTTCTTAATAAAGATAACTTTTTAACAAAGAAAAAATAAGGTGACAATTGAAAATTTCTTGAACTACTCATGTTATATTTTGTGTATGCATAGAGAAATAGTTTATAGCTAAGTAAAAGAAAAGCATTCGAATTTTAAAACAATATGTAATTATGGTACAATATAAAAAAAACAGATAAAAGTATTTAATATGTGTACATATATACATTATACATATATTAGATGACCTTAGACTTATTTATCTACATCTAAGGGGAAACGACTTTAAAAATTGAATTCAGAATTATAACTTTAAATAACGGTAATGCAGGAAGACTTTAAAAGCGGAAAAACAATAAAATCAAAAACAATGTGACTTTTATTGATCATTACATCTTTTAAGTCACTTAATTACATTAAACAAATTTTAAGACACAAAAATATACGAGGAAAATGAGTTGGTCACTGACCGCATTTCTACGTCTTTCTTCTCGTTTGAGATTTCTGGCGGAATGTCAACAAACGTTTATAAATGGAATAAATCCTAAACGTATCCTTTAGGACAACATGTTCGAATAATGAACCATGAAGATAAATGTCAATGTTAATTCTAAATGAAGAGTCTATAGGCGAAGCTTCTTTGTCTATTGCAATTACCTAACTATACATATAATAAAATTCTACCTGAGTCGAATGTGTACATTAAATATTTTTAGGCAAATCTTAATATCGATACAGAGACCGAATCTATAGTTTTTACACAGATCATATAACACTAAACTAGTAGTTTTTAGAATTTTTGTCTATCTGTCTGTGAATGCTTTACGAGAAAACCACTGGACAGATTTTGATAAAATTTAGTATGATGGTTGGATGGACGGGTCCGGGTCAACATATAGGATACTTTTTACTGCGGAATCTCATTTCTGAGAAATCTATACTAAACGTTAAAAATGTATAATTTTTAAGGTTTTTTATATGTAAGGTTTTTTATATAAATCGTATAATCGTGTAAAAATAGTGTATAAATGGTAAATATATAAAGCTAGTAGAGAGGACACAGGATTAAAGTTCTGGTTGGTCTACATTTATTTAGCATTATCTGTTACTGTCACATTTATTATTACTATTTCGCTTTTTATAAAATATACTGAATAATAATATCACGTAAACTTACAAAAAACAACATGGAGCTCCAAAAATATCCGTTTAAACATATGAAAAGATAAAAAATGTCAGCATACTAATTACCTAAACTGTCAAACGATTGAGGAACGTCGTACGTTTGGGGCCATCAATCTTTTAACGAAAACGGTTCGATTTTCTTTGTGTTTACTTAAAATAAGAATTACAGACATCTTATGTGGACGATTCTAATTTTGAATGGTAAAATAATACTTTCTTAGAAATACTTCTCTTAAAATTTAGAAATATTTTTCTTCTAATACTTTCTTAGATTTACGCGAATATTTGACATTTTAAATAAAACTATCTTTTCGGATTTTGTCGCGGATTTATTTGGATTTTTGTTTCCCGACGTTTCGAATGCTTTACAGCATCCATGGTCACGGAAGACGAAAGGATAGTAATATTTTTCTTCTGTTAAAAATACTTATTTTTTTATCCGTCTAATATTTTAGTCTCTCCCGCGACCATGTTTGCTGTAAAGCATTTGTAACGTCGGGAACCAAAATATAAAATAAACCCGCACAAAATCTGAAAGGATAGTTTTATTTAAAATTTGAAAATTTTGGAAAATAATCAAAGTAAAATTCTTTATTTAAAATTGGCTTCATTACAATTCAGAAAGAAAATACCGCGGTTCTAATAAGAACTGACGGAAGAAATTCTGCAAATCTATTTATTTAATTTTGCGTATTAAGTCATAGATATGTGAATTTTACTTAATTACAATACAAAATTAATCCATCCGTTTCGGAGATTAGCCGGAACAAACAAACAGACAACAATTTTAAAAGTAAGTTTTTCCTATAAGTACTGGAAATAATTTCATATACATTTAGTAAAAAGCTGTTATTTTAACATTACACACAGATTTCAATTATATTTATCTGTATAGATAGGTAAGGTATATAATTTTGAATGAAACACTAAAATAGACTGGTGGCGATGAAATTACTCCCAAAATTTGTAAAGGTTACATGCAATGAGGTTATACTGTATAACATTATTGGTTACATGTAAAAGTTTCATAAAATTATTATAGCCTACAAATAAAAAAAAATATATGATGTGACGATGATGATGTTCTCCTAATTGATTTCGGCCACGGCGGCCAATCTCATTGAGACGAGCCAACTGCGCCGGAGATATTATAGTGCACAAGTGCACTCTCTATTCCTGTCACTCTCATACTCTGGTGAGAGTTAAGGCGCAGGGCCGACGGCTTTACGTGCTCTCCGAGGCACGGGTGTGAAACACCGCTAACTTCCCAACTCTGGGCGGTTACCGAGGCTTACTATACAGAAAGACTCAATAACTAAACTTGGCTCGACCCGGGACTCGAACCCAGGACCTCCGGGTGTTCAGCCGTACATGCTAGCCACTACACCACCGAGGCACCGAGGCATAAAAAAATATATTATAGTATACAAGCCGAAGCACACAATATTCTTTTATTGTCATGTAATTTATATACTCTTCAAAAATATTGTACTTATAGGCTATAGCTCTACATTTAATATATTAATTCGATTGTTTCTTACCTCGGTCTTGTCGTGCTACACAAGGCGAAGTCTCTTGGCATTTTGTTACACATTTCTTGTGACAGCAGAGCCCGCAGTTACGACACTGCATTGCATCTTTGAGCCATATCTGAGACAAATGTAATTTTTCTTAAGTGCTTTATTACATTAGATAACGAGAAGTAGTGATGGCGAGTCCGTGTAATTTGTTTATTAGAAATATAATAAAATTGTAACTAATTCAAATCTGTACATTAAATATTTTTTAGAAAATCTTATTGAAATAGACATTATTATCGATAAAGATCGAGGAAAACATCGTGAGGAAACCTGCATGTCTGAGAGAACCTAGCAAGTTTTCGAAAGACATGTGAAGTCTGCCAACCCGCACTTGGCCAGCGTGGTGGACTATGGCCTGATCCCCCCTCATATTGAAGGGAGGCCCGTGCTCAGCAGTGGGACGTTAAGAAGGGCTGAATACACATACATCGATACAGAGGCCGAATCTATAGTTTTTAGAATTTTTGTCTGTCTCTCTGTCTGTCTGTCTGTTACCGCATCACAGAAAAACTACTGGACGGATTTTCATGAAATTTGGTTTGGTCATAGGTGATTATCCGGGTCAACATATAAGATACTTTTTACCGCAGAAAAATATCTCATTTCTGAGAAAAAATACAAAAACTGGTTAGAATAAAAACGATGATACTATATAGATTTTAGCAAGTTAACTTACTAAATATGTCAAAAACTATTAAAAATAGCTAATCTTGAAAAAGTATATCAATAGCACTATTTTATTCATTAAAAAAATTATTTTAATGAATATTTATTTTTGTATTACTTAGATATTTGTCAATAGATGTCGCCATGTGTCTTTAAAATACGTAGTTTTAATTCCAAAAAATTGAATGTACAAATTCGACCTTTCTATAATTTTATTAGAATTACTACTAAATTACCCGCGGCCCCGCCCGTGTATAAATTATCAAAAAACAATCTTTTTGGCTTTATAAATAACAGAGGCTAACAGAGGCTGAACCTATAGTTTTAAGAATTTTTGTCTGTCTGTCTGTGACCGCATCACAGAAAAATCACTGGAGGGATTTTAAAGAAATTTGGTATGGTAATAGCTGGTTATCCGGGTCAACTAATATACTAATACGAGTATACTAATATATAAAACCTAAGAATTTGGTGTCGGTCATATGAACGCGGGCGGAACGTGGGTAATGCTAGTTAGAAATAATATTAGTATCTTGATTTATTTTCTATAGAGCTATTAGTGCAATTACCTCATTCCCACGGGAAAACACGCTATAATACAACCCGAAAAATATTTGTGATCAGAATTACTTGAAACTCAATATTAATGTTGTTCAATACAATTAAATAAACATGTATTTTAGCATTTTTCGAAATTCTTCCCTTAAGGGGGTAAAATAGGAAATGAAAGTTTATATGAAACCTACTTTTTTAGAGTTTACTTTGTTAGAGTCTTAGCGCGAGCGAAGCCGCGGATTCTGCTAGTATGTTATAAAAGGTACATACCTACATACATATGTATATTAAGTTAAAGTAAAAGTTACATACCTTTTTGTTGCAGAAATCGCATTGGGTGGATCTGTGGAAATGAGTGCGAACGAAATCATGAACCGTTCTTGTTGGCTGAGCGGGACCTCGTGGTGGTACTGGCCCTCGAGGTGGAGGACGCGGAGCCCTTACGCTACCAGCGTCCTCCCACTCCCACCATACAAGTGCATCACCAAAACATAAACACGGCTCGAATCCGGCGTGAGACGCTAATTTATGAGTTTTACTGAAAAAATATGATACATTGCATAATTTAGCTAAATAAGTAATTATTTAAATAATTAATAGACAAGGATAAATATTGGTTTATCACCTAAATTTAATATCGACATCCGGCGGCAAAAATTGGTACCGCTTCATATGATGAGGAACGGTAGAGTCTTGGCACTCGCTAAGCAATGCCGCTAATGGTATATTTAAATATCCTAACAAAACTTCATCTTTCTCGCCAGGCACAGTTGCCCAGACGTTTATATTCAGGTACTTGTGATTTTCATTCAATTTAAATTCGGTTTCCTCGTCAAATGGTATAATTGGTCTAATTTGTACACTTTTAGTCCAAAACATTTGACATATCTCCACATGCTCAGTCTGCCTCGGGCCACCTGTTTCAAATAGTTCTTCTTCTTCTAAAGTATTTTCAGCCTTTTCTGTTATCCTGCATTCTGAGGAGTCGGTTCTTATAATTGGTATATCTGGGTGTTTCACAGTTTTAGTGGTAGCTGTTGCTTGTCGCAGTGGAGTGCTAGCTCCAGAAGCCGGTGGAGTACTTCCAGCAGAACTGTCAGAGGATTTGTTTTCCACTGAACATCGACGTTTGCGTAATCCGTAGTTGGCAGGTCCAATTTCTGGTGCTTTTGATATTTGACGTACAGGATCTACTTTTTGTTTGATATGTTCAGTATCACTTTGTTGCTCCGGAGATTTTGAAGGTGAATCAGATTCCTGAAAACGTTTATACGTTATCTTTATAGATCGTATCTTTATAGATACAATTTTTCTTTTATATATATAGTTTAATTCAATAGAACTTGACTAAAAACACTCACGGTTAGATTATTTTTCGAAACAGCTGTTCTCATGCCTTGCAGTCGAACTCCCTCCATGACTTCAGAAACTCGTCTGAAAGAGAAGTTTGTTCGTAATCGTTTTGGCTCATCCTCTCTGCGAGCAGATCCTCCAGCACCTCCTCTTCGTACACGTACTGTGACTGCTCGACGTTCTACACTGCGTAGCAGCTTACCAACCTGATAATATGAACGTATTATTGTAATTTTAATATGACACACACATATCACTGAATACTCGTAATACTCGTACATACATTTTATAAAGCACTTGAGGATGTACATTAAAAGCAAAATAATTCATAATATTATAATAAAGATTAAATACCTGTGCAACATTGTTTACGGGTTTATTATCAATGGCCAGTACCACATCATCACGTCGTAGATCAGCTCTATAAGCGGGAGACATTGGCACAACTGTATCTACTAATACTGCACCCACTCCTTGGCAACATACGAGCCCTAGCGGCCCGGTTACTGCTGGCAATACAACATCCAGTACTAATATACCACGACGAAGCGACACCTGCGTAGATATGTACATATATGCATAGTCATATAAAATTATTCAACATTAAACTAAGTATTGTATTGCTGGTAGCTTGGTTACAGGATGCTAATTATACTGTGCATAAATAGCTTTTAATGACATAAAATATACACCAATAAGGCCTTCAAATGTTTTAAACTAATAAGAGAATATTTAATAGTTTTAATTAGTTACCCATCCATGGGAGTCCACAGCTAAAGCAGCTCGTACGCTACCATTGCCACCAGCCCAATGAAGACGTGTGACTTCAACTAACCGTACCGTGAGACGACCGTGTGGTGTCGGTCCATCTTCTCCATCAGTACTACCTGGTTCCGACTTTGGAAAGAACGGTTTGTATCTGTAACCATGGATATTTTTCGTGTAATTTGTCCATTTAAAAGCCTATTCCAGAATATTACCTACACTATTCGTATATTAAATTATTTTTTATTAACTATTGATTCATTTACATATAACAACTTACCGAATTTTATAATTAGGGAGTGTATGTCTTTGAGCTATAGCACGACGAATATGAGCAGCAACTAATGCTGCCAGACGCGGCTTTAGTTGTCTCCCTTGAAAACGACCACGTACTCGCAGTTCCAGACGAGGAGGTGCCTCGAAAGCTATCGCCCAATGAGTGTAGGGTGTGCGCCGAAACATTATACGTACGTTGCCGCTTATACTTTCCACTAAAAACAACGTTTTAGGAAATATTTAACAACATAACAATACTTTCTTAGATAAACGCGAATATTTGACATTTTAATTAAAACGATTTTTGGTTCCCGACGTTTCAGTCTCTCCCGTGATCATGATTGCTGTAAAGCATTGGAAACGCCTGGAACCAAAAATCAAAATAAATTCGCGAAAATTTCCGAAAAAATAGCTATTTAGCAATAAAATTAATTTACATATCTAAAATGAAAACTTATTAGTAATGAAATTTACCCGTTATAGAAATATTAGCTATTTTTCCTAAGAGCATGACGGCGTCGACTTCTATTCTGAAGCTACCGTCGTACTGGAGGTCGCACTTGAGGTCTAGAGAGCGGAGTCTAGCACCGTCATCTTCTAGTTCACCATTCGCAAGTCGCAGATTTGTGATGCTGGGAAATTCTGTACCTACTTCCAATGACCGGAGCTGTTAAAATGATGTACATTTATTATTTTGAAATAGGTAAATGTAGCGTTTCTAGATTTATTTATTAAAATGTGAATATATGTTTTTATTATGAAGTATTTAACAAAATTCTCTACCTTATATACCTATTTACGTTATTTACCTTATCCATATATTAAGAAAGGAGAAATATAAGTGTATATTAAGTTGAGATAAATTATAAAATTCAAGTACCGTAAGAGATTCAAAAATCTTTCCAGATGATGTTTTTGCTAGTAACTCAGCTAATTCATTAGCCATACGTCGTCGTAACCAGCGTGTATCCGCAGTGCTTTGCTGGAAAATGAACTGCAGCATAGCATTGAGAGCTCCCTCGGGCGTACTCCCTGCTCCGCGTGTAAGTTCATTTAAAATTTCCTGCAAATTAATCATATCTATACTATAATAAAACAGTAGAGGTCGAATGTCTGTACATAGCAAAAAAAATGCTAAAAACCGAGTCAGGGGGATGTAAGAAGACAAATAGAACAAATCCAGATTTTTTTCAATTTTTTTGTTTCTCTGTCTGTTTGTCTGTTTGTACGGGCTAATCTCCGAATTTATTGGACCGATTTCAATGAAATTTTGCATGGTGGTACCTTATATTCCCAGGCAACATCACTTTCACATTTTTATCCCAGAAAATTAAATAGTTCCCATGGGATAGTTAAAAAACTATAATAATTTATACAGCTTAGTACACAAAAACTACTGATTGGATTTTAATAAAACTTTACAATAATATAGTTCATACATGACAATAACAAATCGGCTACTTTACATCCCGGAAAATTAAAGGGTTCCCGTGGGACAGTCAAAAAACTATAGTTACTTAAACAGCTTAGTACTCGTAAGTACATAACAACTTATGCATCTAATTTAGTAAAATTTGTCATGCTGATACCATATGTTGCCGGTCAAACAACAGGTTACTTTTCATCCCGGAAAAATGAACGGTTTCCGTGGGATAGATCTGTTTTTGTTTGTTTGTAACGTATTATGTACACAATATAGACCCCAAAACAATAGTTATTAGAAATTTTGTCTGTTTGTCTGTTTGCCTGTATGTATGTTTGTCTGTTTGTATGTTTGTACGGGCTAATCTCCGAAACTGTTGGACCGAATTAAATGAAATTTTGCATGGTGGTACCTTATATCCCCAGTCCAACATATTAGATACTTTTTTCCTAGAAAATTAAAGAGTTCCCGTGGGATAGTTAAAAAACTATAGTATCTTATACAACTTAGTACACAACAATTTATGCACCTAATTTAGTAAAACTTAACATTCTGATACCTTATATTGCCGGTCAAACAACGGGTTACTTTTCATCCCGGAAAAATGAACGGTTCCCGTGGGAACTAATAGATTTCTATTAGTATTAGTGTTTTTCTAGAGGCGAACCCGAGCGAGGCGAGAGTGAGCCGCTAGTACATAAAAATAAGAATGTCTGTATATAGTCAGTATACGTAAGACACTTGGAGGAGCTTTACCGATATAATCAGATATAAATTTTTCATGATTTATTACTAATATTAGCATGGAATTTAGTTATTTCACAAATATGTATAATGTATCAATGATAATAATCTTGAGACATGGTGGCTTTTGTCTCAGGGATAGGGCTTATTTTCGACTTCGGGCTTGTTAACCAAGTAGACAACTGGCGTGAATGTGGTAATTGATGCTGATACCTACTGAGTTCTGGCAAAAATGATTATTTTATTTGAATTAGAATAGCTTTTTTGATAAAACTAATTAAAGCTCAATAAACGTCTAAACGTTTTCTCATACTACATACTACTAAATTAACGTTAGATGTTTAAATATATATTAATTCTCTTACACTTTAAACGTTAATTGTAATTGTTTAATTACATAATTGGTTATACACAGGTACTGGAGGTAGATTTCATAATCAGGTCAAATCGACTATAAATATAATTCTCACGAGTACTGGCAAAAATACTATTTCATTTGAATTACTTTATTTACTTATTAAATAAAAGCTTTTCTGATAAAATCCATAAGCTCTATTAATGTTTAAAGCATTTTTTTTACTACGAAATCACCATCAGTTCTTTAAAAATATTATACGTAATTACCGAGATTACCTTTGTTTAAACATCAAACGACGAAATGAAACTCTTTACGGTCACAAAATTGGGGTTGCTTTAATTAAATGTTGTTTAGTTGATGAAACGAGGTGCTTTTAGTAGAGTAAACGTCACAAAATATAATTATTGTCAGTTTTGTACGTAGCTTAATACGAAATTAATTTTATTGCTCTATTAATTTTGATAGTCTATACTTCAATATATAGGCAACTTTAGTTTTATAGTTTGCGCTTTTTAACCTAGTGTTTATATGAAGTAAAATATAAGCGTCTTTTTTAATTTTAAATAAAACTATCTTTTCGGATTTTGTCGCGGATTTATTTACATTTTTAGGCTGTCTGTAACAACTATACCTTCGAGACATGTAACACCTGTCACTCCCGTGACCATGAATGCTGTAAAGCATTCGAAACGTCGGGAAACAAAATGCAAATAAATCCGCGACAAAATCCGAAAAGATAGTTTTATTTAAAACGTCTTTTTTAACTTTTTTATTGCTAGTCTAGCAGAGATGACAAACTATTTTGCTCTAGCCAAACTAATTCTGTAATAATAATTTAATTAGAAGTATAAAATATGTATTATAAGTGAAGTGAAAGAATACCTACTTTCTTGGATAATATTTCACCCTTTAAAAAAATTCGCGGATTTATTTTGATTTTGACTAAGTCTCTCTCGTGGCTATGATTTAGGTAAAGCATTAGAAATGTTGGGAATCAAAAATTAAAATAAACCCTATAAAAATCAGAGAAGATAGTTTCATTAAAAATGAATTTAGTGTAAAAATACTTGAGATAATTTGTGGAACTTAACATTCCTTTAGGAACTTTCAGTATACAAAATATTCTCAAAAGCTTTACAATATACAGCTAAGACGTATCTATATTGATGAATCATTGATCTTTCTGACTTTATTTTGACACATCATTAATTTTGATTGTTGTATCTACATAATTTACAACTTTTCTTCCCCTACCTTAAAGTAATTTTAAAAAAGACATTAATTAATACATATTTAAAACAGATTATTAATTAAAAAGTAAGAAAACCATCCTTTTATATTCCAAATATGTATTAAATAATAAATAATATCTAAAAACCGATGCACGAGAAATAAATAGCAAAGCGTTTTCAATGAAGAAATATTTCAAAGTTTAAATGCACAACACTTGGTGCAAATGGCACGCGATTGCCCGCAGTCGATCCGCAGTACTGCAGCTCGAAATGTACAAGTGTTAATGAATGCTCCGTTTATATTTTGATTGACGACCAAACAATTTCTGATACTTTTAATAGAACTATTAAATTTTCTTACATCCTAATCGCTTTAATGATAAAAGAAAGAAATTTAAGTTCAAGACTTTAACCCTAACTAATTGTTTATATGAGGACTAGCGGACCCGACAGACGTTGTCCTGTCTACACGTCTTTAATTTGAAAATTTCAAACTATTTTTAATAATTTTTTTGATGAAAATTATTATTCAAATTGTGAATCTAAACCATTCCCAGATCCCCTTGAACACACACAAAAAATTTCATCAAAATCGGTCCAGTCATTTGAGAGAAGTTCAGTGACATACACACTCACAGAAGAATTATATATATAAAGATAATTATGCCGTTTATGTCTTTTTTATGTGGACATAAACTAAGCAAATAACTATAAAAACTAGAATCCAATATAGAGCTAGTTTCTTCAGCTCTACACACTTAAGTTGGGTACCGTAACATCTTTACGATCCCTAGAGAAGGAATACTGAAGTCCAATTATCCAATATATGTATATATGTCCAATATAGTGCAAAATATTATATTTTTGCTAATTTTTAATTGCTTGATGAATTTCTTTCTTCAGTGCTAGTAAAAAAATAAACATCAGTTTCTCATGGGGCACGGTACTTTATAATAAGTCTATAATCCAAAACGAAAAAAAAAGTTCAAAATTAAGTGGCAATCAAAACGCACTTACATATCCACAATGCACATTTTTGTGTAATTGTACAAATTTAAATTTTTCATTTTAAATTTTGATTTCTAAGCTGCAATGATCTAAGCCCTAGGGCATGCAGATGTAAAAGTTATATATAGTTATGAAAAAAATAATAAACGATAAGTCCTCTTGTTAAAGTTTAAAGTTAATTTTTATAAATAAAAATGAAATGTTGTTCCTTGGTAAGTTCATTACTTGAAAACGGCTTATTTATATATTGATAAAGGATATATTTCATATAGATATATTGATTTAGGCTAAAACGATTACAAAAGTTGTTTTGTATGATCTTAAAGATCACAAAAAGTATAGAAATTTAGATAAAACAACGTCTGAACGTCTCAACTGGTCAACTAGTACATAATATAAGTATAATGTAAATTATTTTTTTTTAGAATTGTGTTTCTGAATCTAATGTTACTACAAACAATAAAAAATAAATAAATAATAGGTACTTGTTTTGATAAGCAATAGATATCACTCACCGGGGGTAAAGTTATAGGTATACTAAATTCCTCTTCTACAGGTAGTTTCTTCTCAAAGGGACGAAAGAAATAGAACAACAACGCTAAAGGTACGGCGAGGGCGGAGACAGCTCCGAAGAGGGCAGCCAATAGCAACCAGGTCCAGTCCGGCATGACTTCTTACTTAGTTAACTGTAAAATTAACAAACTATTAAATAAGTTTACCATAGTATACTTAGTATTATAATAAAATAAAATATGTTGGGACATTAACACACATCACCATCTAGTACCATGGTAAGCTACGAGGCTTGTGTTATGGATACCAGATAGTTGATATACTACACATATATAACTTTAAATACATACATATAACCACCCATGACTGAAGTACAATTATTCATGCTCATTACACAAATGAATGCCCCCAGCGGGACTGGAACCCGCGACCAGCGACGCAAGTAGCGTTACTACAAACTTAGCCAAACGTGACGTCAAATCCATCCATATTATCCACATATACTTTGGATAGCTTATCCCGCCCGTGCACTAAGAAAACTCAAGCGTGACTTAGATCACCGGCGCTGTAACTTGTACTCTACCAAGAAAACTCTAGCCGTGGGACTAAGTTTTACTTTAGTATCGAATATAAATGATGCCGAGGCGGCTCTTATAGCATGTTAAATATTACCAAAAAAGGCCAGAAAATATTGTAAATTTTAAATAAAGCTATCTTTTCGAATTTTTCGCGAATTTATTTTGATTTTTGGTTCCCGACGTTTCGAATGCATTACAGTAATCATGGTCACGGGAGAGACTAAAGTGTTAGATGTCTCAAAGGCATTAGTATAGTTGTTACAGACAGCCTACTAAAATGAATTCAAAAAATTGAAAAATGGGACCAAAGTACCTTACAATATTTGTTTCAATTTTAAAACATTTTTATAATTTTTATATAATGGAAATTTTATTTTTTATTAATTATTAACTTTAAATAAATGAAAAATGGAATATTATAATAATGGAATATGAATAAGAAAGTACCTATTACAAGAAAATATTGTTTTGGAGACCTTCATAGGTATATCGACAGACTTTTGCCAAAGTAAAAAAATTCAACCTAGTAGATAAAATTTGGACGTCACGAGAAGCAACAATCTTTATTAGATTTTTTAATATGCATTTTTATTTTCACTATTTTGCATAATCAGTAATATTCTTTATATAGGAAAAAGAAATAAAAATGTCTTAGCTCGCTTCTTCCTCTTATAATAAAAACTATAAAACTTACAGACAAATTTTAAATTCACACAATTGTGGATACTAAATCCATACTAATATTATTAATGTGAAAGTGTGTTTGTTTGTTTGTTTGTTTGTTTGTTTGTTTGTTTGTTTGTTATATGTATAATATTTTTTGGATTGTGTTATAACACACAATCCAAAAAATATTTATGATCAGAATTACTTGAAACTTGGTACTTATGCTCTTCAATAAAATTAAATAAAGTTAAATAGGGCATGAAAGTTTGGATGAAATTACCTTTTTAAAGATTTTTTTTGTAGTTTTAGCGTGAGTGAAGCCGCGGGTTCTGGTAGTAGATAATAATTAATAACCAACATGTTAAGCAGACTATTAACTAAAAGTAGAAGAAATATTTAAATAAATTAAAATTATACTCCATTCCAGTTTAAAACATAATCAAAAATATCTGTCATATCTTCGTGAATGTGTGACTCATAGCTTGCACATCGTCATCAACTTTTTTTCAAATCAATGAACCGAATGCCTTCCTACATTTCACTCAGAGACGCAGCGAAACCAAAATAAATCTTGATGCTGAACTTATATACATTATATTATTTTAAATAATTAATGTTTGATGAATTTTCGTTGTCTATTTTTTATTTGTTAAACTGTTTTTTGTTTTAAGTTAAAAATTATTCGTGATTTTAAAGCTAAACTCAAAATTCAACTTAATCGAAACATTGGAGGTTGTTTATTATACGACTGCGGTGAAACCCAAAAGTGAGTTATGTGTTTGACCTGAATGTACATATGTATATGTACAACTTATGATTAAAAGCGAAAGCAATAGCTAAACAAAATACCAAATGTCTAACTAGTCTATATACATATAATAAAATTCTAACTCTGAAACTCTGGGTATGGGAACGCTTCACGAGAAAACCACTGGACAGATTTTGATGAAATTTGGCATGATGATAGCTGGTTATCCGGGTCGATATTAGGATATTTTTTACTACGAGAAAATATCTCATCTCTGAGAAATTTATACTAAACGTTAAAACGTAACTAGGGACGAACCCGATCGGAGCGAGGGTGAGTGAGTGAGAAATAAACATAAAGCAAGTGTCATATATAATGTTATTGTTATCTTTCTGATTAATAATTATGTAATTTTAACGAAAAGTAGAGTGCGAAATAAAATAATACATTATATATTGTTTACATGCATATATTTGTATACGTGTGTGTAAATTATGTTAGCATAAAGGTATTTAAGTTATTAAAATGGTCGAAATCATAATCTACAATTTAACTAATAACTATAAAGCATTAACGAAGTTTTAGAATATAAACCCATAATATTTTCATTTAAAAAAAATATATTGTATGAGATTGGATAAAATGAAATATTGTAGCACAATAAGTGGATCGATGCCTTCATTAACCCGGAAATTTATAATCGAACTTTACCGTAGAAAAACCTCTCAGTCTCAAGTGTGTTTTGATGACTCATCGCTGAGAAAGTTTTAATTAATCCAAACATATACCTACGTATAAAAATTCATTGTCTCTTTCTTTCCTTTAACAATTATTTGTTTAATTAAAAAACTAATTATTAAAAATGTTATATATAAGGACTATTATTATAAAAAGGAAAGTTTGTGTGTTTGTTAAGCCTTCATGCTGAAACGGCTGTTCGGATTTTGATGAAATATAAGCACACAAATAAGCTACTATTAGGATTAGATTAGATTTTAATATATTGCTTAATATTATCTATTTCAATATTTTATCATCTATAAACGCAATAGAACAGTGGTAAGATATCCATTTATTGGCTGTGCACAGTCATATTCAATTATTTGAACGCGAGTTGATCATTAAATGGGGAAAGCTACAAAAATTACTTGAGTAGCATTGTTTCAGCCATAATATGGTTGTATCATGGACGCTTCACATAATGAGCACGAGATATGAAAGTGTAAACAAGGGTTAAAAATAATGACAGATAAATTCTAAAATTATAAAAATTATATACTTACCTGCTATTAATGACGAAATAAAACATTCAAGTACTAAATTAGGTATTGGATTATATTACAGCTAAAGTCAATGCTAATAGTTTTCTAGCTGCTTCTTTTTCACATAAAATACAGAATTTAATCACGTCTTATACAGAATTTTCATATTGTAGAGACGGGTTAAAACAGGTTATTTATAAAGATTAATAATTGAAAACAGGTAGATATAGGTATATTCTCATTATAATAGCTCTAAATTAGTCTGATCGCGTGTTAGACAAGGGTAACAATTTATTGATAAAATTATAAGCCGTTTATAAAGACTCAGAATTCTGACTGAGGATTAACAAAAGTGCGAAAGGTAGCGCTTTTGTTAATCCTTGTGTCAGGATCTAAGGCAGCTGTTAATATCGAGGGCAATATCGAGCATCGTAGGTAGCCAAACTGTAGAGATATTAGGTGCCTCCCAGATCGACAAGGATGAAGAATACTAGAATGAAGTTAAGTAAAATGGTTTTAAATACAATACATACATATTTGTACAGTACAATATTAATTTTTTGTTGTTTTTAAGCCATTAATATGAGTTTTTACAATTCATAAAATTATAATAAAACACCTACCTACGTTAATATTATTCATTTTAATTAATTATTTTACCTATCTGTCCATAAAGATTTCGAAAATTCTCATTAACGCAATGGTAAGACTATATTAAAATTTTTACATATATTTGTACATAAGAGTTGTTTGAATTCTTTAAGTCCAAAAGTGTAGATATTTCTAAACTAAGCCGGCAACCACTATGATGATTCATATACCTACGTATACGCCCTCACATAATTAAACATCCAATTGAAACCAATGTCAAGCAAATTTTAACCTTCTCACATTATTCTTAAAGGATTTTTACAGGTGCAAAATAATCAAAATATGGACTATACAGAGCGTAGAGTAAAGAATAAGGGTGACTTACCTTTTTAAGAACAGCTACAACAATTTCTATTTAAATATTTATTTCATATTCACTAAACAACAATTGACGACAGTAACTTAATTTATCTTATATATAATTGTAACGACGCACTCCGAGTTTTAATAGAAGCTGCATTTTAGCGCCTGCCGGAAAACCGGCGGCAAGCGAGATCTTTTGCGTCACTGACACTTGGCTGGGAAAATATTTTACGAACAGGCGCTTTGGGCATGCGCGAACGTTATCCAATTGGGTCGGAGTTCATACAACGTATTGGTTTAACCGGGTATAGGATGCACTTGCTTTGTTTACCAATCACGCGATTATTAAATAATTATCTTTACCTAATTTCAATTGTTAATATTATCGTATTATATTATACCTATCGATTTTAATATACGTTTGTATAATACAGAAAATTTATAATGAATTCTTTTATTTTGGTAACATGACCAGGGTTCGACAAGGACGCTTGCGCGTAGGTCAGATCGATAGAAGGCATGTTCTCCGATACGAATGTAGGTAACAGGTAGGGGAAAAGGGACATAGAGGTGCTCATTACTGAGCATAGAGTATATTGCTACATATATAAATTATTCAATAAATGCAGGCTTGGCTTCAATTACTTAAATTATGTTTTGCATTTAATTGAGCTATTTATTTATAATTGTTCTACAATGGAACTATTTTTTTTATTTAAATGTTTGTTATAGATGTAAATTCTTCTTATTTGATAAAGAATAATGTGGAAACATTATTATACCTAATAAATATTATAACTAATATTAATGCTTTGCAAACTTATATCATAAATCAGTCATTTATGAGGTGAAACAAAAATAGTCTTACATCAAAAATTTTACTCACGTCCTTTAACTCAGTACCGTAATAAATATACTGAAATATGAGAAGGACAGGAGACGAATGACAAGTTTTCGAAAGACATGACGATTGACACAGACAACCCGCACTTGGCCAGCGTGGTGGACTATGGCCTCATCCCCCTCTTTTTGAAGAGAGGCCCGTGCTCAGCAGTGGGTCGTTAAAAAGGGCTGAATATACCATGAGGACTGAAATCCTGTATAATCGCATAAAAATAATATAAATGGGAAAGTTTTGATGGATGGGTGTTTTTTACTTAATCTCGTCAGAATGGCTGAACGGATCTGGATAAAATTTGGTACAGAAATAAATTAAAGACTGGAATAGCACATAGGTTACTTATTATCTCGGAAATATGTACAGTTCCCGTGGGATATCCATACTAATCGTTAACGTTTATACATACCTCATAAGGTGAAATGTTACTATAGTATCGAATGAGGTAGTTAAATATACTTAACATTAAAAAATAGAAATTAAGTATCTAATGTTTATATCAATACGAGATTTTCATTAAATGTAAATTTCACAACAAGTGAGACATTCTTAGATTTACGCAAATATTTGACAATTTAAATAAAACTATCTTTTCCGATGTTTTTCGGTAACAACTATATAAACCTTCGAACCATCTAAAATTTTTGTCTCTTCAGACTCTCCCATCGCCATAATTGCTGTAAAGCATTCAAATCATCGGGAACCAAACATTAAAAAGATCCGCGAAAAAAAAAACGAAAAGATAGTTTTATTTACCACAAGTAATTACTTTTATAAAGAGGTAGAAGGTAGAAAAAAATACATGAATCCAAATTAATCAACATTTATTCGTAATAAATATAGTGTTCACTTACACACGATGCTCTTATGCTAAAATAAATTTCACGATTATATTATTCGACTTCAGAACTTCTTGCTTACTTCTAATGAATAATATTTTTAATAATGTCTAGTACAAATGTTTCTTTTGTCTATTTATCAATATTCGCCATTATTGATCTGTGCGAAAAAGAAATGATTTTTACATTTCTTTATTTATGCGTCGGATAAAGCTGCCACGCCTGGAAGCACTTTACCTGTTGAAAAAAGCAAATAATTAACATTAAATAATAAGAATGTTAAAATATAAAAAAAAATTAAATAATAAGAATGTTAAATTATTTTCAATTATCGTAGTAACTATTCGCCCGATCTACGGGTCTACGGGAAGCTTCCCCGTAGCTGAACCGTGGTTTGATTGATTAAATTTAGTTCAAGTTTCAGGTTCACGGGAAAATTTCTCGTACTTCTCAGAATTATTTGATTTATCTATAAAGTAGTTTTCAATAACAAATTATGTGATATTCGGTTTTAAATAAAATAAAAGTAATAGTAAATTCATGTCGTTCATTCATTCGCGATGTCGTACAAAAATAATGAACGCAAAATAAAAGAGAATTTACCAAAGTTAGTAAATTATCGACAACATTGACATTCAAAAAAAAAATACCCCAAATTAAAAACAAACAATGATACTTTTATTTCATTCATTTATTTTTTTATAAGCAAATAAATGTTAATAAATAAAAATAGCTGACGGCTTTTATTATAATAAATAAAAAAATATGAAATAAATTAATATTATAAAATATCTCTTTCAAGGGGGGAGAGAGAGACAGAAGAGAACTAATGCTTAAAAATACAAAAGAATACTCGTAGTATATTTTTCATTATTTATATTTTCTTCGCTAAAATTGTTAGTTAATGACTAATGTCTTCACTACTATTTTCCCGCTACTATTTTTGACTTAGTCATTTTTTGGCGAGCTCCGTCTATATAATTTTTTAGTCTGAGGTCTTTTATTAAGTTTTAATATGCTTTTTATTAATATACTACATCGAGATGTAAAGTAACTGCAAAACCACCAACGAAACTATTTTATTTTAATTATCATAATAAAATTGAGATACTACATCGATTTAATTTAATTTATTGGTAGGCGTAATTTTAAGTGAGAACGGGACACTTTTTTGTGTCTCGATCACATAAAGTTGATCTTTATCTTTGTTTAAAGGTCAGGTAAGGCTATTTATTTTGATGACCACATTTGTAGTGAAGGTTATTTATTAGAGAAAATTATTTTGTTTCTAACCCAATATGTTAGGATGACGTCATTTAGAATTATGACTTTAAAGCAATAATTATGCGCACTAGCGATTTCTCCCGTATTTTTCTAAAGTTGATAAAATTTTATATTTTTTAATTATATTATATTGGTGAAAACAATGTCATAGATACATTTTAATTTCGATTTTTCTGAGACCAAAATATATTTTTATTCATTATCGCTAAGAAAAGCACATAAAGTAATTATTACGTCCTGGGAAATTGAATGTGCGACGCCTTTACTTGCGTTCCGAGGCACGGGGGTAAAAACCGCCAACTATGAATAGCTATAAGTTTATCTAAACTGTGATATAAAGCTAGAGAGATATTGTTTTCTTATTAGGATAGAAATAGAACGTACTAATCTCTGGAATTATCAATTCGACGACCGCGGACACGCCGGCGTTACAGTTAACAATAGATTTCTTAGAAATTTTATTTCGCGAATTAAATATTTGAAATTTTGGCATGTAGTTCTTTGACTTTTTTGTATGCATATACAAAACTTTCTTAAAAACCACTGCACAGTTCTGCACACTAGACTAAACGGCTATTCATCTAAAAGTCACTAAGCTAAGCTCAGCTTGAATTCAATTGGTGAATTAAATTCTAAATCATGAAACGAATTTTACCTTACTACGTATATGCATGCCATATTTGGTGGTTGTAAACCATAAATCTACCAAAATAGTCAATTCCTATAGCAAGTATCAATGCAACAAAAAATTGCCACTCCTACAAAAACTGTGTATACACACACAGGATAACGATTATCTAAATCTATACTAATATTATAATGTGGTAAAGTTTGTGAGTTTGTGAGTTGTAGGGCGTAATCTTTAGATCTACTGAACCGATTTAGATGAAATTTGATAAGAAGATAGTTTGAGATTCTGGGAAGGATATAGGATACTTTTTATCTGAAAATAATCCCTTAAGGGGGTGAAAATGGGGATGAAAGTTTGTATGAGGAATCAAGTTAAGTTATAAAGAGAAGAATCATAAGAAATAACATATTTATTATTTACCTTCAAGCAGTTCTAGGGAGGCGCCGCCGCCGGTGGACACGTGGGACACCTTGTCCTCCGTCCCCCACTTCGCGCAGCACGTGGCTGTGTCGCCTCCGCCTGGACAAATATAACATTAAATTATTATAAAGCATTTTAAATAAAACTATCTTATCGTATTATTTCTCGTATTTGTTTTTGGTTCCCGACGTGTTCGAATTTTTGAAATCATTTTTGTATAATAGTGGGTAGGCATTGTCTGTAACAAGTGTATAACGCCTTTGAGACGTCTATAACCTTAGTCTCTCCCGTGACCATGATTGCCGTAAAGCATTCGAAACGTTGGGAACCAAAAATCAAAATAAATACGCGAAACAATCCGAAAAGATAGTTTTATTTAAAATGTCAAATATTCGCGTAAATCTAGGAAAGTAATATAATAAAGCAAATAAATTATAGTATTAAAAAATGGGTGCTTTGTAACCCTTACGCTCGGTTGATGTAAAACTTCTTTGGCAAATATTGCAATTAAATTAAAAGAAATCAATAATTAAGGCAGTGGTAGCCCAGTGGTAATGCGCTCGCGTGGGAAACCGAGTGAAGCGAGTTCAAATCCCGGGACTCGCACCTCTGATATTTTCATGTGCGAATCATTTCATGATTACCATCAAGCAACGCACATTGTATATGTTGAAGCTCATGAAAGAAATGCGTATGAATTTTACAACATACATTTCCTTAACACTTATTATAACTCAATATCGCTCGCTTGGTACTTATGATAACGTCACATGGGGTGCTCTTAGTAAATAATAAAGTGTCGTGACGGTCAAAGTATTACATTTTTTCCGTCCAACTCTCATTCGCTAACTGTGCCGAATATACCATGCGATAAGGAATTTCGTCCAAGAAATATTGGATTAAACGTGCCCCAACTTGAAGATTTTGGCCGTTCAAAAATTTCACTTCAATACACCAATTTCATGTTATCAAATTATTGTATTGAAATCTGGATTTTACATACAAAATTAATTAGATGTAGCTTAAAATTGACTTCTAAGATGTTATGATGTGTACATCTTAATTTGTATATTGTAGTTACTAGTTAAAGTGAAATTAATTAAAATCCGTTAAATATGACGTAACGTGTTGGGACACGTGCCGTACTGTGTCGTTTGAGAGCCTGTTTTCTCCTGTCGCATCAAATTACAGACTACTAGATACTTATCACATTCGTGACGCCGATAAGGGTGAAAGCAATAGTTTCTCCGACACACTATATATAGTTTTAATTTTAACTTAGATATATATTTTTGACCTATATATAAAATATAATAATATTAGGTAATAATTTGTAACCTTGTAAGAAATATGTTCAAGAATAATGACTACTAGAACTAACATTAACACATAGGTGTCATTGAGTGCCGCGAGGTGTCATGACGTGACGTAAAAATCTGTAGGGGAGATCTTCTATTCATAATCATCTATGTAGAGAAAAGTTTTGTTTTAGGGAGAAGAAGTTGTTTTTGTCTTTGGTTTTCCCCTCACGAGAAGTTATAGTTAATATATACAGAATATATAGAAACACTTTTGTTTCATGACATAAAAATTGTATGGCGCCCTCCAGTGTGCAGAAGGCAATGTCAATTTAAAACATACCACCCATCGATCACTAATAAAGAACTAGATGCACTATCCCATACAAAAGTTCTCCTAAAACCTATTGTGTTTAGGTAATACTAGTTGAAATAAATATACCATAATGTAAATTCAACCTTAAACGCAATGATTAAAGTTGTTTTTACAAAGCTATGTACAAAAAGCAATAAATATGTACGACCGAAACTAGCTGGTTAACATCAACACAAATTCAACCTTACACGCATTCTTAAAGTCAGAATTACATTGTAAGAATACAATTGAGATGCTTTAACTCATTAACTCCTGCGTTTATTACGACTTAATTTAAATACTATTTTTACGATGATTTTTTGATAAAATATCAGTATTTACAATAATAATAATTACATTGATAACTATACATAGATAATAAATAGGTGCGAGACCCGGAATTTGAACCCGCCCCACTCGATTTACTAAGCGAGCGCGTTACTACTGGGCTACCACTGCCTTTTACTTAATATTATATTATTATTACTTAACGCATGTGAAAAGTTTTAGGGGTGTATCTCAGCAAACTGAGAGTGGATAACTATTAAATAATAAGAATAATACAAAATTAAGCAATTATTTACCAATAATAGTAACGGCTCCGTTGACAGTCGCCTTCACAACCCCATCCATGAGAGCACGAGTTCCGCCCGCGAACTTCTCAAATTCGAACACACCAGCTGGTCTAATAAAATAATTAATTTTATGAGGCATATTAATTTTTATATACATACATATAATATACATATATTAAAAACGAATACACACAAAAAATATTACTTTTTTATATAAATACAAAATAAAGACATACATATGTACAGGTATTAGTATTGAAACAAGGTTCTCTGTATCGGAACTTCGGTAGTCAGTTCTTTTAAGCTAAAGAGTATCAAAACAATGAAATAATAATCATGATATATAGTAAAATTGTGATATATTATTTTCTGTATTCATGTAATGTCTGAAATAATGAAAATATACAAGATAATATAAATCAAATATTTCTAAGTGCTTACCCATTCCATACAATAACTTTAGCCCTAGCAATGGGTTCTGCGAATAGTTCTCTAGATTTGGGTCCAACATCAAGGCCCATCCAGCCCTCAGGGATGCCAGACTCAACATCAGCTGTTCCAACCTGGTAATAATCACTATTAGTCATATTAAAATGGTAGTAGTAGTAGTTTTTATGTAGGACTACTGACAACACTGAATTAAATTAATGTCTATTCCATAATTCATATTAAAAATAATTGTCATTTATTGCAAACTAGCGACCCACTCACGTTCCATTCGTCCCTAGGTATGTTTTAAGAGTTAGTATGGATTTCTCGGAGATGAGATATTTTCCTGTAGTACGAATTATTCTATATGTTGACCCGAATAATCAGCTTTCATCAAAATCTGTGGATTTGCTCTCTGTATAGATAATAATGACTATTTGAATAAGATTTTCCAAAGAGTATTTAATGTACAGATTCAACTTGGTTATAATTTTATTGTATTTATAGATCATGAACGAATTAGAGACTGGACCTGACATAAAATACAAATGTATAAAAACTAGTTCAACCAAGTGACGCATAACGCACACAAAGATTTTATTACATTATTATAAACACTGATATACAATACAATATTTCTAGTGCTTGAACGTAATCGATAAAATACATATATCGATGAACGAATAAATGACATTTTAGACATTGGTTAGCATAGTCATCATATTTTACATCTTTTAATTTAAAATATGTGTATTTATTATAATAAATTAAAATAAATAAATTAAAGAGGCAATAATAATGTGTCAAATAATAATTATTTTTTAATTTGATTTATATAATTACGATGGCATTGATAGCAACATTCTGTTGGCCTATAATAATGTTAATGAACAAATGAATATCAGGTGTATATTCCATTAATATATAATAAATATTATTTTGTAAATATTAAAAAAATATTAAGCTAATTTAATTAAATAAAGTGATTTTGTTGATTCTGTTATTGAACTATTTTAATTAGCAATTGATTGTCTCGGGTAGTTTATAAAAATGTGACACTGTCCTAATATTGCTCAGTTCTTAATAAACATTTGTGAAATTAGGAAAAAGAAAAAGTGCTTGCAAATTGTGAAAAAGTGTGTGTTGGATCGTGAAAGTAAAATATTAGTGCAAGTGGTACAGTTTTTTATTACAAATCGCCAACCCAGAAGTTTAGTGCTAAAACATTATTGTTTGATTTTGTGTGATTTATGTGTTGAAATAAAATGATCTTTATTATTATTACAATGGAATAATATTCTAAAGTATATAAATATGGTATAAAATAAAAAATTAAGTACACATACTAATTATAATTTTTGCATTTATATTTTTATTTGATTTAGAAAATATTTTTATAAATTTATTGTCATCAGATTGTAGGATACTGTGATAAAAGTATTTTATGTTATTGTACTGTACAAATAACACAATTCGTTCAGTTATTTCGACAAATATCGATATATTTTTCGACATTCGACATCGAAAAGAAATAGTGCTGCTTCCGCCGTTATAGTTTTTACACCATTTAACAGAACATTTAGTCATTTTTGGGAGATGTTTTGTTGACAAGTAAGTGCTTGAGACTGACACAAAAAACAAACGATCAAGGCTTAAATTCCCTGGTTACTGACAAGACCGGTAAAGGTACGTCCGCTTATATGTCTGGTCCAGTGGTTAGTTCGTTCATGGTATAGATTATAAGATTGAGAAATTTCCTCCAACTATCAAACTCATGAACACCTTACTATTTTAAATAAATATAAATTACACACACAATTTAATTATTGTAAATCCAACAAATAATGGATGACAGTAGAATTTAATACTAAAAATTTTAAACTAACATTTTAATCTAATGATTTTTAATCAACCTTTAATAATATCATATTAATAATTTTAATTATAATTATTTTTTTAAAATGAGTTTTTACCTGAGCATTTTCATCAAATTTATCCGCAGTTACAAAGTCAACTGGCAAGTGAACCTTTACATTATTCTTAGCTGCTTTTTCTAGCAGTTTTACTACAATTTTTGCACCTTCTGCATCATATAATGAATTACCAATCTAAAAAAAAACTTTAATATAGTCTTTGCTTTCATGCACTATGATAAAACATTGTGTGAATGATTTCATGACTTATGGTTTATTTAATACTAGCGGCTCACCCTCGCTTCACTCGGGTTCACCTCTAGGAAAACTAGAGTAAACCTATCCCACCACCGAACCTAACATTTTTCTGGGATAAAAAGTAGACTATGTGCTATTCCAGACTATAATCTATCTCTGTGCCCAATATCATCCAGATCCGTTCAGCCGTTCTGGCGTGATTCTATCGTAATAAACATCCATACCTACAAACTTTCACATTTATAATTTTATATAAATATTATATAAAATATATAAATTTTATAAATACAGACTAGTGAGTCACCCTCGCTTCGTTCGGGTTCATCCCTAGGTCATTATTTAAATTGACATACCTTTTTATTTATGAATCGATATAACAAAAAACAATTACTAAATGTTAAGCTTACTCAATACATTTGTGAACCGCACCTAAATCACTTAAGCAGTTTCTGAATTAACGCGCACAAACGCACATACCCACAGACAAAAATTCTAAAAATCATTGTTTTAGGTTCTATTGCGTTAATACCCCCAATAATAGTTTTCCTTAAATATCTCCCATGCACAGACAGCAATCAGTCACACTTTTATTACATGTATAGATATGCATATATTTGTGTATAATCTAAATATGACTTTAATAGTTTATCAAAATTAATCAATGTTATGCAATAACTTTTAACCTCTTCATATAGGTACAAGGATAAGAATAAACAAAATTAGATATGACACATTAGATCTAAATATATTTTTAAATTACAATTACTTAAATAAAAAATGAGTTTATGACAAAGCCTAAAGCTCAAAATAGGCAAAATGTTAACACATTAATTTATAAAATAGCACTTTGTTGTATATTTGTCTATGGTTGATTAAAATAAAAATATATAGTGGCAGCACCGTGTAAATTAGTTTTTAACAAATGGAGGACTGATTAAAGGGACACTATTTGGACGCTCGAGTATTTCATTTAATTAAACTGAACCCAGTCAAAAATAATAAAAGCCCATATCAAACACATGTAAATTATTAGATTCTATACTTACAGCCATACCCTTGGTTTCTTTGAGGAAAGTATAAGCCATACCACCTCCAATGATCATTTCATTCACTTTGTCTAACAAATTTTCAATAAGAAGGATTTTATCTGCCACTTTTGCACCTCCAAGAATAGCAAGGAAAGGCCTAAAATAAAAAGAAATTTGATTGTGATGCGCTGTCATGTCTTACTTGTTAGATCTTTGTTTTAAATTTAGTCTTTATGATTTTTTTCTTAATTTTTATAATATGCCTACCTTTCTGGTTCATGCAGTGCTTTAGCAAAATATTGAAGTTCTTTTTTAAGCAAGAAGCCACTGGCTCTTTGGTCAAACCCTTCACCCATCATAGAACTATGGGCTCTGTGAGCAGTACCTATAATAAATTCAATAATGTAATAAAAAAGTATTTAATAAATTTATTTTCACTACTATTAAAATTAATATAATTAAGAAAACACTTTAAGTAAAATTAAAATGTGATTAAATGTTTTCTTACCAAAAGCATCATTAATATAGACATCACCAAGCTTCCTCAAACTTGCTCTAAAACCCTTAACTTTTTCGGGATCTGCTTTTGCCTTGGCACCACTGGCGTCCACACCTTTGCCTTCTTCTTCAATATGGAAACGAAGATTTTCAAGTAATATCACTGAGCCTGCTGGTGGATCTGCACAAGCTGCTTCTACTTCAGTACCCACACAATCTGATAGAAATTGTACATCCCTAAAAGTTTTCATTTGTTAAATAGCCGTACATATTTACTTTTAACACTATAATACAATACAATAATTATATTATAGATAAATATAACACTTATATGACCTTGAAGTGACAATGAAAAGATAATTTACTTGTTTAAAAGTTTCTTAAGTTCCTCAGCTACTGGTTTCAATGTATACTTTTGATTTGCTTGACCGTCTGGCCTACCAAGGTGTGACATAAGAACTACAGATTTTGCACCTTTGTCTAAAGCGTATTTAACAGAATCCAATGCAGCAACAATACGCTGGTTGTTCGTAATGACACCATCTTTTAGTGGTACGTTAAAATCCACCCTAAAATAATAAATATTATTTAAATTCATAGTAGAATGAGGGTTAAAATATATTTGTGTAACATTATATACCTATATTGAATTATATTACCTCATCAAAACACGCTTTCCACTTAAATTAAGAGCATCAATACTAAGTTTGTTAAGAGCCATTTTGTATATTTTTTATAATAATAACTAGTATTAATATATAAAATTATAATTTAAATTGAATATGCGGCGCGTAGCAATTTTATAATTAATCTTTAGACACTTTTGACCTTGTCTATGTCAAAAGGGTCAAACTTCCTCGCCATGTAAAAAAAATCAAGCAAATTCTTCTTTTATAATTTATAAGACTCAAAATATGTCTATTTATATATGGACATTTAAATGAAAAGAATTATACTTTTTTTTAAATAAAATTAAAATAAACTGAAATAAAAAATATATAAAAAATTTTGTTATAATATGCGTCGCATCTCTATAAAGTTTTGGCTATAATTTTAGAAAACCATAAACTATAAAGGTTGATGACGTAATGTTGGTAGGCGGAGGCCAGTATGAGGAACGCGGGAGGGATTTTTTATTCTGATTATGTTGGCATCACTGCTCGCTCTTCGCGAAATGCACGCATTGAGACGCTCGGATTTAGAATGTTCTTTGAAAATCTACGTTGAAATAAATGAAACTTCGTTAGGAAGTGATAAGTTTTGTGATTCTTGTGTTCATAAGTTTTATTTAAGTTCTTGTTTAGTGTGTATTAGTGACTGTTTTGGCTGACCAACAAAGTTAAAAGAAGTGCGTCGAAAGTTGAAACATGGTGCCGCTAGGACCCGGGCCAGGCCATCCTACCGCACATCAAACTCACGGCGGGCCATCTACTAATTTATCCGGTCCAAATTCGTTATCACAGAGTTCTTCACAATCAAACAAGTCGTCAGTAGCGGTATGTGTTATGAAATATTGCTTAATGTTAATAGGTTTTGCATCAATCTGGCGGTTCGCACATGTTTATGTAACTTCTAGTTTGAGCACGTGCGATTTGGCGCTAATTTTAATATTGGTTTTCAGAAGCCGAATTACACACTAAAATTTACTCTTGCTGGACACACAAAAGCGGTGTCGTCCGTTAAATTTAGTCCTAACGGCGAATGGCTGGCAAGCTCCTGTGAGTATGAAAAACCATTAAATATTTATGAAATTTGTTTATTTGGCATTTAGTAACAATATTTAACATATACATTGCGGTTTGATCAAAGTGATCACAAGTAATTTAAAATATTTAAATAAGAGATTCTCTGTACCGTGATCACTGGACTGTTAAATAAACGGACTATCCGTTTATAGCATACGTTATGCAAATCAAGTAATAACAAAGAAAAGAATATGTATCTTATATTTTAAACATATTAAATCTTAATTATTGGATATATAACAATTGTTATATAAAAAGTAACATTGAAAATATATTTTATTTCTATTCAAAAGGTTAAACCAACTTATTGCTATAAATATTTGTAACTAGGTCACATGCTATTTGACACATTGAAAAGTGATAATATACTTTGAATATAATATTTACAGTTCAAAGTTACAGCCACAAGTATGTTCCAATGTAAAGTTTTGAAAGCTATTATTTAAAAAAACCTTTTTAACTTCATAAAAATGTTTATTTTAGTTTTGGCATAGTATGTATAACAATGAACTGATAACAATAACCTTGAGAAGATTTCAATAATTCTGTTGAAATTTGTTATTTCTATTATTTATTGTGAAAGTTATGAAATGTTATTATTTTTTTTTTATCTCAGTAACTATTACTTAAAACATTAAGACTATAATTGTAATCTTATTTTTCAGCTGCTGACAAACTTATTAAAGTGTGGGGAGCTTATGATGGCAAATTTGAGAAGACTATATCAGGGCATAAGATGGGCATCAGTGATGTGGCATGGTCATCAGACAGCAGGCTGATTGTTAGTGCCAGTGATGATAAAACTTTAAAGGTAAATATTTCTATTATAGTAATAATAATTTACTCAGACTTTTACAGAGTTACATAATATATACAAGATACACAAGCTTACATAATCTATATATATAATAATAAAATTGTAACTAAGCTGAATCTGTAAATATTTAATATATACTTTTTGGAAAATCTAATAAGATTTTCCAAAAAATTTTTAATAGAAATAAACATTATTATCGATACAGAGGTCGAATCTATAGTTTTTAGATTTTTTTCTGTCTGTTACTGCATCACAGAAAAACCACTGTAGGGATTTTGATGAAATTTGGTATGGTGATAGCTGGTTATCTGGGCCAACATATAGGATACTTTTTACTGCGGGGAAATGTCTCATTTCTGAAAAAAAAATACAAAAACAGCAATGTAAAAGTATACTAATATGTAAAACCTAAGAATTTGGTTTTTTGGCCACCTGAACGCAGGCGGAGACGCGTGTAATGCTAGTAATAAATAAATCCTTAAAACATACATTAGTACAATTAAAATTAGGTAAATTATGAACAGTTAAATTAGATAAGATAAATAATTTGGAAGCTACCTGAACTAGGTTAAAGTGTTTCATAGTTTTAATATGCATTTCTTACTGTGAGAAAAGTTTATATCAATGGCAAAAGTAAAAACTAAAGTTTGTAACTTAAGTTATATACATATAAAACGACAAGTATGAAACTCACATAAATAACCTGACTTATATTTGAAAGTTATTATTTATTTTAATATATCATTTTATGTAGTTCAAGTTTTCCAGAAATTCTAATATTATTATTTTACATTTTTTATTACCTGTATTATATAAATATAAGATTCTATTGAGTGTGTTGTCCAAAAAATGCTCTTAAAAATGTTTAAAACATTAACTTAAAAGTATGTTGAAAATTGATATGAAAAGTTTATATTTTTATAAATGCTTTGGGTAATAAAAGTTTTTTTATAATATAGTTGTAGAGTATATTTTCTTACCATGTTAAAATATAAATTCTCACGGTAATCAAAGTCTTATCTCAAGAGATAACTTGCCACTTATGTCCTGATTAGAATGTTTACATCTAGGGCATTTTTTGATTAGTTACTTAGAAAGTAATAGAGATATTTAGTTAATATTTCAGAAATATAGGTGTATTCCAAAATATTTTTTTTTGTTACATAAGTTTTATCTAATTGGTGTAAGTACCATTTTCCTTATACTAACAGATTACTCTAATGACATAATAGTTTAACTAAATGTGTTTACAGAAATAGATTGCAGAATAATTATTATTATAATAATTCTTTTTAATATCTATCTATTTTTTTTTAATATTGGTCTACATTTATAGAAAAACAGCTCACATAATTAATGGATGTCCCCTACATTTTGTTAATTGCATCTTTAGGTGCTTTGTGCTGTTAAGTTTTGAAAAGCATTAACATAGCACAGAAAGTTTCTTGATTATTTTGTGAGCTTATGTAGAGATAAAGCTATAATGTATAATAATGTAAATTTATTTTCACATAAAATATAAAAATGACTGCTTGTTACTTTCGAAGTGGCTAGGTTCCATTCACCCACTGAATTTAAGTATTGGTATACCCATTAACTGTTCTAGACTTTTTCTATATTCTTTATCTAAGTGGCAATCTAATTAAAAAGACAGGAGGTCAATAATGCTGTGATTTATTAAAAGTACTAGCGAAAAACAAATCTATCCCATGGGAACTACATTTTTTCCAGGATAAAAAGTAACCTGTATGCTATTACATACTATAATCCATCTCTATACCAAATTTCATCAAATCCGTTCTGTCGTTCTGGCGTGATTGAGTAACAAACATCTAAACTTTCGCGTTTATAATATTTATTGGATTATAATAACAAAATGACAGCATATTGTTGTTTCTATGCAACTTGTATGGCCTCATTATGAAATATAAGTTAATATGTTACTAATATGATATAGTTAATATGAATTATTGTTTTCTTTAGCTGACAGAATTTTTGAAACAATATTTATTAAATTATGGTCAAAGGGATTTTTTTTTAAATAAAAGTTTGCATTCAAATTATGTGTCAAGGATGTATTCTTTCTATTTTTTTACTAGCATTGCCCGCGGTTCTGATTTCAGATAACCAAACACCAAATTTTTAGGTTTTACATATTATTAGTATACGCTTACTTTGCGGTTTTTGTATCTTTCCTCAGAATTGAGATATTTTCCCGCAGCAAAAAGTATCCTATATGTTGATCCGCATAACTTCCGCATAACTCCGCATAACAAACCCAACAAGAGGGACCGACTAGACGACACCATCTCACCGAAGGTGTCATCGAAACGTCCCCGTACAACCCACACAAGAAGGGATGGTGAGGCCAGCTACGCACAGGCGACCCTAACTCACCTGAACGTGGCTATTACCACCAACCCCCGGACAGACCTAACAGACAAAGAAGCCACAGACATTAAAGACCAGCTACAGAAGGCTATCTTCACTGTAGCAGGTAACCACAAAGGAATACCATCAAACATACCCTTCGCCCCCATATTCCTCGGCCGCACTACCCTACATGAAGGAGTGCTGAAGCTGAAGTGCAGGGACGATGAGACACTGGCCTGGCTGAAAGGGATCGTCCCGACGTTCAAGGCCCCGAGGGAAGGTTTTTGCCTCACCCTCATCGAACAACGTCAACTAAGGCCCAAAGTCAAAGCCGCCTTATACGTACCCGACTACCAAGGGGACGCAGACTTCCTACACAAGATATTAATGAGCCAAAACAGATACACATACGCTGTCAGCTCATGGCAGCTTATACACTATGATGTCTCTAAAGGAGATCGTCCTGGGATGCTCCTATATCTAGGAATACCCAGAGACGAAATACCAAAACTCCTCGCAGAGGGCCGGAGGGTTGCATACTCCCACGGGTCCATATACATCCGGTTCTTCACGCCTGAAGGACTCAGCGATGTACCACCGGAGGAGGAACCTAAAACGGTCGATGACAATAAGCCCACAGACATGGAGACGGACAAACACACCGACAGACCTCACACTGTAGCTTCAAACACACCGACAGACTTACAGACTGACAAACCCTCCCAGACAGACACACTACCAAAACCCACACAAACAGACGGAACAGACGGACGCCAAGCATCCCCACTCCCGACCGACAGACAAACCTCACAGGACAAGTATCCAGAGGCTGCCCACAAGGAGGTGTCCTCTCACCACTACTCTGGAACCTTGTGGTAAACAGCCTCCTCAACGAGTTAAACAACAATGACATACAAGTCATTGGCTATGCAGACGACATAACCATCCTAATAAGTGGCAAAATTGAAGCCACACTAGGAGATCTAATGCAAAGCGCCCTTAGTATAGCAGAAAAGTGGTGCATACAAAACGACTTATCAATTAATTCCGCAAAGACAGAACTACTGCTTTTCACAACGAAACGCAAGATCAAATTAACAAAGATGCCAACATTATTCAACGAAAAACTGAAATTATCAAATGATGTCAAGTATTTAGGTGTAACACTTGACAGCAAACTCAGTTGGAACACACACGTAAACAACAAAATCACCTCAAGCCACAAGATACTGAACCAATGTAGGCGCATGGTAGGGAAACAATGGGGTATTACACCAAAAACAATGCTCTGGCTCTACACCACGGTGGTACGAGCATCCCTCACCTACGCCAGTGTAGTCTGGTGGCCCAGAACAGAACTACACACAATCCAAAACGAACTTCAAAAGTTCCAAAGAACAGCCACGTTAGCAGTAACAGGCTGCATGAAAACCGCTCCATCGGCTGCCCTAGAAATAATTCTGGGCATACCACCTCTACACATTTTCATTAAACAAGAAGCTGTCCTGTCAGCTCTAAGACTAAAATCAGTCAACTCATGGAAACGCAATCTGGGCAAACACACAAAGATCCTCGACACCTATGAGGCAGAATTTCCACAGCTCAAATGGCCAAACGATAGAATAAGTAAAACACACATCATAGAAAAACATTATACACTAAACACATCAGAGGACGAAAATGCGGAAAACAGCCCAACAATGGAACCAATCCACACCATCTACACAGACGGATCCAAATCCAAGGAAGGAGTAGGTGCAGGTATATTCTGCCCCACTCTCAATATCAAAACCTACCATCATATGGGTATGTACAACACAGTGCTACAAGCAGAATGCGTTGGCATCACAATTGGAGCACAAGAACTACTAAATAAATCGATAAAAAATTCAATTATACACATAAAAACCGACAGCAAAACGGTTTTACAAGCACTAACTAAAAACACAACAAAATCTAAATACATACTAGAATGTCACAAAACGCTGGAACACCTTTCCCATACTAACATAGTAAAGGTATCCTGGGTAAAGGGTCACACAAATAACAAAGGCAATTCAACTGCCGATAACCTAGCCAAACAGGCCTCTAGACTGAAAGTTCAGGGGCCTACACCTTTATCTCCAATTCCGTATTGCGAATACAAAACATGGTTGCGAAACTTCACCGATAACACAGTTAACACATTATGGAAGGCTAACACAGATTGCCGTCAATCGAAAGAAGCCTTCCCCACACTAAACAAAAAATTAACACTGAAACTAACACGCTTAGATAGACCCAAACTAAAAATGGTGGTGGAACTGTTAACGGGACACTGCCAACTCAATAAACATCTTTTTAACATAGGTCACACGGACAGCGCCCTATGCAGAGCGTGCCTCCAAGAAGATGAAACACCAGCACACATTCTAACTGAATGCAGTGCACTGGAACAATTACGCGAAGAAAAACTCGGCCCCAATAGATCGATCCCAGAAATCTTCCAGGACACCGGCAGCCTGCTAGACTACTGGGACGCTCTGGGATGGAAAGAATAACACACACAGCAGCACAAGCTCACGCACAACGGGCAAAGATGCCTAAGTGCGGAAAAAGCCGCGTCAGAAGAAGAAGAAGAACTGGCTATCATCATACCAAATTTCATTAAAATCCCTCCAGTGGTTTTCCGTGATGCCGTAATTGATAGACAGACAGAAAATCTAAAAACTATAGATTCGGCCTCTGTGTTGATAATAATGTTTATTTCAATAAGATTTTCCGAAAAATATTTAATATACAGATTCGGCTAAGTTAGAATCTTATTATACATATAGATTATACATATGTACAAATGCTAACAGCATAACACTTTTACACTTCTAAAAAATATATTATTTTTTTATTTTCAGGTCTGGGAATTAAGTTCTGGAAAATGTTTGAAAACACTAAAAGGACACAGCAATTATGTGTTTTGCTGTAATTTTAATCCACAAAGTAATCTTATTGTCTCTGGTAGTTTTGATGAGAGTGTGCGGATATGGGATGTTAGAACAGGTAAGACTTATGTTTGATGTGTACCTATGTCTCTTTTCAATGTATTTTCATATTGTGTACTCACTACACATCTTCAAAGACTAGGATCATGTAAGTTCTTAGATTCGAAGCATATTGTATATGATTTATTTTATAAATAATAACAAACATTCATAAATATTTTAAAATAGATACATATATTTTAAAATATTTGTATTCAGGGTTTAGTATTTAGGGCAGTCAGTGCATAAAAATAGACAATACATATCTATCTCATTTATAAAATAAGTCATTGGAACTATTTGATGGATTGCAAAAAGGATGATAATTATCTTCATACATAAAATCACTGATATTCTCTTGTTCATTAAAGCGAGCATGCAGAAATCAAAAATGCGACCTCCTGTGTAGTAGAGAATTCCAATCGGTCTTTTATTATACTTATTATATTGTTATTACTTTCTAAAATGCATTGTTTTTTTAAAACAATGAATGTTTTGTTACTTTCCATGAAAAAGAATGATAGTGAAAAAATGTAATCTGTTAGGTTTTTTTTGCTATTAATTTATAGTTTAACAGATCTCTTAACGAGTTTCAACTTACAAGTACAGTTTTATTTATGAACTAGCGGCTCAACCTCGCTTTGCTCGAGTTTGTCTCTAGAAAACCAAAAACAAATCTATCTCACGGGAACCGTACATTTTTGTAGAATTAAAATTAGCCTAAATGTTATTATAATGTCTGAACTATATTGTAAAGTTTCATTAAAATCCATTCAGTAGTTTTTGCGTGAAAGAGTAACAAACATCCATACATCTATACATTCAAACATCCATACGTCCTCACAAACTTTCGCATTTATAATATTAGTATAGATTTGTCATGATTATATTTTTTATCTTTTAATCTAGGTAAATGCTTAAAGACACTACCAGCGCATTCAGATCCAGTGTCCGCGGTACATTTTAACAGAGACGGAAGCCTTATTGTATCTTCAAGTTATGATGGTTTATGGTAAGAAAGTTTGGGTTTTTTTAAAGTTTGCCTTTTTTATAGATATTTATATAACACCAACAAGTTTTAATTGTTTATAAAAAATCAATTGCTGTATGTTAGTCTCACTAAAACTCTAAACGGCTGGACTGATTTAAATGATCCTTTTTTGGTGTTTTTTGGGGGTATGTCAGGGGTGGTTTAAGTATAAAAAAATTTGGGAAGACCCAAAAGAACAGCAGGAAAATTGAAAAGGTCAGAACTATTTATTTTGTATGGGAATCATTAACCATTAATATTTAAAGGCGAAGCGAAGGCGCCAAGCGAAGCGAGCGTGAGTCACTAGTATTATAAAAATAGTGGATTGAGAGAGAAAGGCCTTATTTTTTAATACTAATTTTGCTTATGTAACACCCTATTTTTCAGTCGTATTTGGGACACAGCGTCCGGTCAGTGCCTTAAAACTCTAATAGACGACGACAATCCTCCAGTCTCCTTTGTTAAGTTTTCTCCGAACGGCAAATACATATTGGCAGCGACACTCGACAACACATTGAAGCTATGGGACTATAGCAGAGGCAAATGTTTAAAAACGTACACAGGACACAAGAACGAGAAATATTGTATTTTCGCCAATTTCAGTGTTACAGGTGGAAAGGTAATTCATTTATCTTATTTAATTCATGTTTATTATAATATATGTCCTTACATTAACTGTATAAGTGCTGGATGGATTTGTGTGAAATTTTTCATGTAGACCGCAATCTTTATTAAAATAGGTTTATTTGTTTTATAAAAGTAAAAATTTAATGTAATTTTAACATTGCTACTTTCTAAACTTAATACTAATATTGCCAAGATGAAATTACATGCAGTCAAAGCGGCATGTGGACACAAGCAACATTTAAGTATTTTAACTAGATAAAAGTGATCTCTATTTTAAGTTTACAAATCTGTTGGTCAGTATAGTGTGTAAAAGTAACAAACACCCATTTTATATATTAACTAGAGGCTCACCCTCGCTTTGCTCTATCTTTTAGCGGGTTTATCTCTAAAGAACAGAAACAAATCTAACCCACGGGAACTGTACATTTTCCTGGGATAAAGAGAAGCCTATTTGCAACTTCAGACTATAATTTATCTCTGTGTCAAAATTCATTCAGATTTAATCATATTGCATATATGGAATTGCATATGAACGAATACTTGCTAGGTTCTCTCAGACATGCAGGTTTCCTCACGATGTTTTTCCTTCACCGTAAGGCAAGTGGTAATCATGTTAGAAATGATTCGCACATAAAAGTATCAGAGGTGCGAGACCCGAGATTTGAACCCGCTTCACGCGGTTTTCCAAGCAAGCGCGTTACCACTAGGCTACCACTGCCTCAAGTTACTTATATTCGGCTAATCACTGATATCTTCCTTATGCTATATACAAGTTACTGTTTTTATATTGTAAAGTCAACATGTCTCACTCTTCAAAAACTAATGCTTTACTGGTAAAAACTAGCCAAGTTAAATCTTGAAGTTTAATTTATCCTAAGTTATTTACTCTTGTATATATAATTTGACTGTTCAAATTTAAGAAGTTCTATTTTTAAATAGCAAACAATTTTGTAGCAGAAGAAAAAGAAATTGTGTTTCAAATTTATTTTAGAATGTTGCATTTTCTTATGGAAAACTTTCTGGATTATTTACAGAATTTGGCACCCATTTAGACCTCAATTCTTTTGTCAGTGAAGTTGACAACCGTGCATATTCTTAATATTGACCTTGGCTCGCATTTTCACATTTATGTTTTTGATGGGATTAAGTTTACGTGGGCAAGGCTCCGCTCGCATAGTTTACTATGTATAAGTATTAAGTACTCCACTTCTGAAAGCTGCATCTTGTTAGTCATCAATTTTATACTAATATTCGTCGTGCTAATCCCTAGAACTTTGGATTGGTTCTATTTTAAAATATCCATGCATTTTATAATCTATGAAAGTACCATAAGACATGACGCGATCACTAGTAATTATTACAAATATAATAATTTGTGTTTACAGTGGATAGTGTCCGGATCAGAAGACAACCTGGTATACATCTGGAACCTCCAGTCCAAAGAGATAGTGCAGCGGCTCTCCGGGCACACGGACACGGTGCTGTGCACCGCGTGCCACCCCACCGAGAACATCATCGCCTCCGCCGCGCTAGAGAACGACAAGACTATCAAACTGTGGAAGAGCGACACGTAATAGTTGCTTGGTGGGTTTTGTTGGCTGTTTTTTTATAATTTTTAAGCAAAATATATGTGATTAAGTCATGAATTTCATCAATTTACTGATATTATATGTTAAAAGGCTGGGTTTAGAAGATGGAATTTTGCACAAGAATTCCTTATAGTATTATTTATAAAAGTGATAACTAAAAGGATTTTTGAAAATCGGCCATTTGAAATATGAAAATTGATGTTTAATCTTCTACATGTAATGCCAATGGGAAATCCCATTTGGCACACTGTTTATTTAATGAATATAAAGAACTATATATATATACAGGACAAAGAACGAGAATATGCAGAAACATTCGTCCTACGGCCCCATAGATCTGTAGTTATTTTACCACTGGATTACCAGATGCCACCTGAATATAAAAAAAGCCGTGTTACGTTGTTGGTCCGCGATAAATTCCGAAACCAGTTATCCGATCTTAACGTAATTTTATTTGAAACTTAAAAGATAGGATAGTTTTTATCCCAATTATTTCCTTTTTTTTGCAATTGATTCCGAAGAGAGAACCTGAGAAACGGCTATTCTAAGCGAATTACAAGTGCGCTACAGCAACGTGTGGACGGGTCTGCTAGTATTTAAATATAGATTAGATATCATATTCAAAACATTTTGGAATGCATTTTTAAATATTTTATCCTTCATGTCTAACACTGAACGAGTTGCCGCTTACAATATGTTTTTGTTAATTTTTCGATTTTCAAATGCTTTACACACATTGTGTCTTGATTTGGAGAAAGTAGAAAAAATATATACATAAATATAAAAATACATGTAATATATTATTCAATGCATATCATTGAAAAAATATTTTACTTTCATTCTTCTACTATTTTTATTTATTTATTGTTGAAGGATTCCAAATAATATGTATATGTTTTTGTTTCAGATAACGCACAGACAGCGATCTGTATATTGCGGCTCCATATTGAGAGCTCGGCCTTTGGCTTGTGAATAGTTTTATATAAATAAGGTTTTATTCGTTTTAAGTAATTACGGACAATCGCCCGAGCGTGTATCATCTAACATTTAGTCAGATCAGAGATGAACGTGTGCTTTTCATTTGTTAAAAAGATACAGATATTTTTGTAACTGACGTGCAAATGAAAGAATATGAAGTGTTTTAGCCATTATATCTTAGTTTATACTGAGTTATTAAGGATCCTGCTTAATAATAACTTGTTGGATGCAATTAAAAATTTAGTAGTTATATTGTGGTTTTATTGTGTTTATTATTACTTAGATTTACCCTTTTTTGTTTTACCATATATGGGAAAGTATGTCTGTTTTGTTTTTTTTTTTATTTTCTTACAAAGGAAATGCTATATAGATTTGGTTGTAAATTGGTATGCTAATCTATACTAATATTAGGGAATTTGCGTGATTTTTTTATTTTTTATACAATAACTTATATCGTTATATAATTGTAGAAAAATCCAGCTCCAAGAAATTAAAATTTAGGATGAAAAAAAGTAGTTACAACGAACGCAATTGGTCAGGCAGAATATGACGTCAGAGTATATCATAGAGCGATTAGTGCTATTTTGTCACTACAAATTGCGTCGTGATTTTTGTGTCTGATATACTATGACGTCACGCCAACCGCACGAAATGGCGGGCGTTTAAAGTATCGGTTCCGTATGATGTTTTTAAAATGTTTATACTAAATTTTAGTTTTTTGGAGGTGGATATTTTTTTTACAATAATTATATAACGATGTTAGCTATTGTATAAAAAATTAAATAAAAATCACGTAATATGCGTTTTGCTCCTTGTGTTCAGGTAATTATTCTAGTTGAAATAAATATACAAGAATGTAATACAGTTGTTTTCACAAAAAAAAATTACGACCGAGGGTCATCGTTCGTCGCCGTCGCCACGGCGGCGCCACGCCATGACGAATTAGTATTTACTATGACATCATTTAAAAAAATATTTATAACTGTTTTTACGATGATCTCTTGACAAAACATCAATATAGTGATAACAATTATATAATGATAATATTAATACCGAAAATATGGAACTCCTATTCTTTTTTAGCGTTAGATTTGTGATTTTTACAATTTTTAAACAAACACTGAGGCATTTTTACCGTCGGAGCGTTAATTTTAAATTAAAGCGCACCCAAAATGATCGCTCATTCGGTGAGGACATTTTTTGTCGCTGATTGTATCTAGTACTTTTTTGATCGGTTTTTGACAATGTTTTCGCGGACTCCGTCTGTATAATTCATTAATCTGGGGCTAAAATAAAGTCCTACACATTTATTCATTTATATCTATCCTCCTAATATTATAAATGCGAATCTTTGCGAGGATGTATGGATGTTTGTTACTCTTTCAAGCAAAAACTACTGAATAGATTTTAAAAAAACTTTAATATAGCTTATACATCAGAATAACACTTTTTATCCCGGAAAAATGTACGGTTCCCGTGGGATAGATTTGTTTTTGTTTTTTCTAGAGGCGAACCGGAACGAAGCGAGGGCGAGTCGCTAATAAATAATAAAAACATTTGCTTAGAACGGTAATGAACACCCACTCTAATAAAATGCCAGATAAAGTATTTGTCACTTGCTGTAAGTGACGTCTTAGTCGTGACGGTCAGTAGAAACCACATTAAAAATTTATAGCACGAATGCTTTTAAGAAAAAATGTAGTTTATGAAAACATTTTTTTTACACAGTATAAGTTGTAGGCAGTGGTACCCAGTGGTAACGCGCTCTCTTGGGAAACCGATTGAAGCGGGTTCAAATCCCGGTTCTCGCACCTCTGATATTTTCATGTGCGAATCATTTCTAACATGATTACGGCGAAGGAAGAAGACATCGTGAGGAAACCTGCATGTCTAAGTGAACCTAGCAAGTTTTCGAAAGTCATGTGAAGTCCGCCAACCTGCACTTGGATGCTGTATGCTCTTAGAACAATACTCCATGCTCTTAGAGCAATGCTCTATGCCCTTAGAGCAATGCTCCATGCTCGTAGAGCAATGCTCCATGCTCTTAGAGCAATGCTCCATGCTCTTAGAGGAATGCTCCATGCTCTTAGAGCAATGCTCCATGCTCTTAGAGCAATGCTCCATGCTCTTAGAGCCATGCTCTATGCTCTTAGAGCCATGCTCTATGCTCTTAGAGCAACGCTCTATGCTCTGACTTAGAGCAATGAAGAGATTCGTTAGCAAATAAATTCGTTAATAATAACTTGTTCTTCCAGATATCTATATAATAGGTTTGTGTTCTGTTTCTTCATATACATAGTAAAAAAGCTATTTATTTACAATCTAGGTACATGATTGTTTTATCAGATGATTGTTAACTGTTATAACAGTTCTACGTCAAAACGTTTCGTGGGCAGTCAATGACAAAAACCGAATCTGTAAGGTCCCTATATAGTTTATAAAAACTTTTTAACAAAAAAATAAAAACCGACTATAAACAAAAGCACAAAAAAGTAACTTCATTTACTATACATACCTAATCAAATATTTTCGAAGTCGGTGTGCTTTGGCTAAGTAATTAAAGCCTACTTTTTTAGTGTAGACAGTAGTAGCAAAGTAATAATTCTAACGTGCTAGGATTGTCAAATTAATAAATGACGGAGTTCTGAGGTAACAAACATAAAAAATAATACAGTCGAATTTAGAAATGCTCGTTTGTGATTTTGTTTAATCGTATCGTAGGAATGAAATTTTAGTAAATAATCGAAGTTAAAACGTTAAATTCACAGATCTATATTCTCGTATGAAAATTATTAACCTTAAACCTACACGCAAACATTTTAAAATTTTGAACTCGAAACGATCTACGTTATATTTATTTCATAATATTTCTGCAGAAGAGCCACAGGGGCATAAAGCAATATGTCGTCTATAATTTTATATAGGCGCTATTACAGAAGATAAAGCGAGAAAAATTAGGGCAGAAAGCCCTTGGGATATCAAGGATTATCTTTCTACCACGCCTTACCATATCATGACTAGTTCTCATGTCATGCTTTGATTTATAAGATCCAACGTTTAGCACTCGTTGTTTATCGAATAATTTAAAAAAATGTGTTTAGTTATTTAATTTTATAATTAAAAAATATTTTTTACTAGCGAAGAACTACCAGGTACGTTTTAATTTTTTTGAGCGGAACTCTAATTCTTTTTCTAAAATAAAAGTAGCCTTTGTTACTCCCTTTAACATCAGTAATACTCCCTATATCTTCCAGTGAAAGTCCTGTCAAATTCAGTCCAGCCGTTTCAGAGATTATCCGGAACAAACAGACAGACAGACACGAAAATTAAAAAAAAGGTGTTTTTCATATAAGTACCGTATATAATTTCGTATGCTTTTAGTAAAACGCTGTTATTTTGACATTACAAACAGACACTTCAATTGTATTTATCTGTAAAGATTTTTTCTCTTTATTAAAACTTTCCGTGTACCTTATGGAACATACGAAAAAATATATAGCTGAATTGGTCGGGCCGTTCTCGACGTTTGCGCTTAGCAACATTCATTTTAATTTATATAGATAGATATATTGAAGTTATCTATACTTCTTTTGGCACGCTTGGAAAAAACTATGAGAGTAAAAATTACGCGCGCGTACACCGACAGCCAAAAATCGTCATAATGAAGTTGGCTGAAAGCGTTTTTGTTCTGTTACGCCAATGAAGTATAACTTCTTCCGTGGGTACATAAGCACACACAAACGTTTTTTCAATGATTAATCATTGTTAAAGTTCTAGGTTGGCCATACAATAATATATATTTAGACTTTTATTATTTTTACTTACATAATTGCTTACTAGGGGAAAATATACAACCTGTTTCATTGCACACTTCTTAATATCATAAACTGAATACAATTAAAACATAAATCGTTTTTACTGTATTGACCGCATAATACTAAAAGCTTTTGGGCGACCGCACTTTAATGACAGACTGACGCTTTCATGTAATATAATTAATTAAGCCATATCAATCGCTTCAAAATCCAATAGCTAAAGCTCGGATACGGGATTATTATTGGAACATTTCGCAACCTGATATGATGTACCTATCCATGATTGATTACCGCCGTAATACAGCGGCCATGCTAGTTGACTGATAGCTGCACGATAATTGGATATCGGGATGCCTAAGATGCATAACTCACAATGCTAGTTGATAATATACTGGTATCTTCTATTTCTATCTTAATGAATAAGCGATTTACTCTTGCTTTGCTCGGGTGCGCCCCTAGGTACGCGCATTTTGCTTACAATTTCATGTGATTTAATTTTGTGCGCGGAACCCTAATCTATTTTCTAAAATGAGAGTAGTTTAAGTTACTGCTTATAACAACAGCTATTTGCTAGTGTAAGTTCTGTTAAAATCCGTCCAGCCGTTTCTCAGATTAGCCAAAACAAATAGACAGAAAAAATTAAAAAATGAAGTTTTTAATAGGTAATAAATATTAAGTATTTATTAGTAGGGTACCGTATATTGTTTCATAATAATGTATTAATTAGTAAAAAGCTTTTTTGTGTAGATGGACTGTTTTACATATGTTTCCTTACAATGATAAAGCAGAAAAGTAATCACGACTGTTGAAATGTTTTTATTTTTAAGCCCATTAATTTTTTTAATCATTGCATATCTTTTAATTTTAGCCAGGGCCGGATTTACCTTATGTGCCGCCCTGGGGCACCGTTAAAAATACCTCCCTATTACCTATATACTGCATTACCTATATCTTACAGTAGGGTCTCTAGGTACGTTCTATTTTTTGAACGGGGCCCTAATTCTCATTCTAAAATAAAGTAGCCTATGTTACTCCTTATAACATCAGCTATATGCCAGTGAAAGTCCTCTCATAATCAGTCCGGCCGTTTCGGAGATTAGCCAGAACAAACAGACAGATAGACAGATAGACACAATAATTTTAAAAATTGTGGTTTTTCTTATAATTACCATATCTAATTTTATATGTATTTAGTAAAAGCTGTTATTTTGTAATAACAAACAAACATAATAACCAGGCGAATAATCTCCGCGGCGACATATAGACAAGGGCTGATAAAGTGAAAAAAAAGAAAAAAAGGAAGAGAATATAACAAAAATGAAAGAAAAAATAATTTACAGGCGATCTTTAAAGTTGTAGGTAATAAAAAGATCTACAACTTTAATATTTACACTTTTTTCACATAACCCCAAAATTTATTTGAAAAATTCAAATAACCAAGTTTTTGGTTTTTATTTTTATCTTTTACAAAAAAAAAATCCTTTTCACGAAATTTGGTGAAAACTTATCTTTTTATGTCTCAAATATACTGTAATTTTTGTGATTTATTTTTTCACCTTATTTTGACTTAATATCGAAAAAGCACCCTAATTTTCAATCGAAAATTCTCGCGTTAAAATATCTGCGTTTTTAAAAAAGTCGGGGGGCTTTTTGTTCGTTGAAATCTCTACTTTCTGATGGTGTAAAAAACATTACTATGGTAAATTTTCTCAGAAAATGCAAAAAGCATAGGCCAGATCCTCCTAGCCATTTCCCCACTTCTCTATGAAATACGTTTTGATGGGCTAAAATTTTCCGTAGGTAACTCAGGTATATAAGTTATCTTAAAATAGCAATAAATAGGTATTTATGCAGATAATTTCAAAAAGATTCTACAACTTTCTCAAACTATTGTAGATGTCTTATTAAATATTAACTTTATTAATTGCAAAATTTGTATGTAAAAAAATGTACTATATACTAGATTTCAAATCGTGAAGATCCAGTGAGAACGCGATTATTAAAAATCGGTATAGAACCAATAACTTCCAAATTTTTCAAAATCATTGATTTTCATAGCATAAAGTTCAATTTTTTTTTCTCACACTCCAAATTTTGCCGCCCCTAAAAAATTGCCGCCCTGTGCACTAGCCCCGAGTGCCCCTAGTGTAAATCCAGGGCTGATTTTAGCACTAATACATTTTGAGAAATTAACTGATCACTCCCCTATTTCCTTTGATAGGTGATTTTCTTCAACGTATAATTAACTAATCTAGAATATAGTTATTAATTACTATTATAATATGTCGAATAGTTTCTTACCTAATGTATATAGTATAAGTAGGTAAGTATATTGTTAACTAGAAAAATAATGAGAACGAATAAACCCGTAATACCTAATAAGAACTAGTAAAAAGATAATAAATGTAAGTGAAAAGGAAATTTTTAGAGTTACGCTTTTAGTTTTATAGTTTTATGTGAAACACTATTCTAAGATCTAAATTGAGGTCGTCTTTGACATGTGGACGTGGAGATAAAATAAAAAAATAATAAAAAAAAGTTAATTAAGATCTTGACCGTTTTTCATCTTCACAGTTTTTATCTGGTACACAAAATGAGTAAAGGGCGACCTTACTTTCGAATCTTCTACTAAATTTTAAAGAAAGCTTTGATACCGTAGGAATTCTTTAAATGGAACGTTAAAAAATAATCATAGATATGATTATTTTGTAGTATTGTTTTGTATACATGTATTCATTAATTCATAAGTACCTACTAAATAATTAGCCAAATATAATGATAATAAATAACTTTTAACCTGTATTTTTATTCTAGGGATCAAAAACTTAAAAATGTTACTACATTATGTCATTAAATATAACAAATTTTATCTTTACAACATATCAAGTACCTAACTCTACATATTTATCCAATCTATGTACTACATTTTGATTAAACCTAGCCATTAAAAGTGCGTACATATTACTTTAATAGGTAAGTACATAACATTTAATGTGCCGGCGATTCAACTGTAATAGTCGGCTGAGAGCGGATACCTCTCACAAATACCTGTGGATTTGTCGGCGAGACTATCCAATATTGTGGACGTGGAACACGAGGATAATACAAATTTCAATTTTCTGCAAAGATTCGGCTCTTTCTTCTTGATTTCCTTCTGATGTCTTTGTATAGATTTATGAACAATAAATGTGGTTTATTTTTATAGCTTATCTTCGTGTATACGTACGTATATTTATTCTAGAAAATCGAATAAATAACCATTGATATTAAATAATAATCACAATAATATCTATACATATAATAAAATTCTAACTAAGTCGAATCTGTACATTAAATATTTTTTTGAAATTCTTATTAAAATAGACATTATTATCGATACAG